CTTTTCGCATTAATGAGACACGATAATCATGCTGCCTTGCGTCGATTATGTCAATAAAATGTAATTTATCATTTTTTCTGTGACAGTTTACTCTTTTATTACATTGATATATATTTATGATATTTTTTTTTATTGTAATTGATTTAGAACGATTTCAAATGAAAAATAATTGAACATTTATATCAAAATCCAGGGTTGGGTAATAACTAGTTAATTAATGAAAAGTGAAAAAAAAAGTTAAAAAGTCAATAATTTTTAACTTAGCTTAGATAATTTTAAATGTATTCATTTTTAACTTCAACTACTTATTTTTTACCTTAATCTTATTAACCTTTTCAAGTTCAATTTTTTTTATCCTTGAATATCATTATTGTTTTTTTATTAGTTACAAACGTATTATTTTTAAAAATTAAAGTATTTATAATTTTAATTTAAAGTACCAAAAACTATATTTCTATATAAAAATCAAAATTTCTTTGTTATTATAAATTTTAAAAGAATGAACAAACAAAAAATTCTAATTTAATATAAATAATATTTTTAAAAAAATAAACTTTTGATTTAACTTCAGTTAATTTAATCTTAACTGAGTTAACTTTTGTTCGTGCAACTTTCAACTCAACTAAATTAATTTGAAGCACTTAACTTGAACTTAACTTATTGTTAGTTTAAAAAAAAATCATTAACTTACCCAACCCTGTCAATATCGAAAGAACGACATGGAACCGAGAGTGCCTGCTGTAGTTTCCGACTGCTGGACGAAATCTTTCTTCTGCATGATGCTGTTCTCTGTATCATTGTGCTCACACAAGACACACAGACACTCGCACAAGCAGTATACATATATACTTGGAATGCATTTTCGAAATGTACAAGCTCGATGTCCGCGGCGTCTTTGATTTCTTTGATCGAGACGAAAGTATAAATTATAAACGATAGTCGGTCTATAGTTGATCACAGTTGATCGCCTCCTCATCAAATCATCATCAATCGTATACGTGTGCTATACGCGCGAGGGCTATTTCGCGTAGAAAAATTAATTAAGGCGTAGGCGAACGGATTTTCAGATTATGCGCTTTATCCGTGACGGGGAAATCAAACGTGACGAAACGTGGAAGACAAAACTCGGGCTCTTCTCCGAAATATTATTTCGCGAAAAGTAGCCGAGTGTTTTCCGGCATCTTCCGTCGACGTTTAAAAATTCGCATTCGGGGAAGCATTGGTCGCAGTAGGTCTGTTTTTTTCAGCCAAACTGGCTGCACTCATTCGGGAATTTATCTCTTTTACTCCACATTGCAGGGAAAGAGAGAAATTGTGAACTATCGCTACCAATTCAGCTGAAAAGAACAAACCTAGTATGTTAGAAAAAAATTATATCATAGAGCACGATAGAGTGCGCGATATATCGCGAGATATATATATATATATATATATATATATATATATATATATATATATATATATATATATATATATATATATATATTATATATAAATATATATATAGTATGTGTATAAAGTCCCTGTATTTCAGTGTTCCGAAATTAGTAGAGAAAAGAGAGCGACGATTGACACTAATGTTAGGCCACACAAATTAACGTAGTTTCTAAAGTATATAAATATAAGAAAACTATAAATATTATCTCTGTTTTTTGTTTCATCTGACGGAGAAGTCGGAGATCTCTCATTCTTTTCGTGGAGGAATGATGTATCTTTTGTGGCGTATCGATAAATTCACATTTGATTTATTTGAGAAGAAGAAACTGCGACTGTATATGTGACAGCACAGGAATATTTTACGACATTCCATTTTATTACATCGTACGCTTAAATACAGAATAGTAAATATTTGATTTCATGAAAACTAAATATTTTCAGAAGAGACGAGAATAATAAGCGCACATTCCTTATTTATATTTCTCAATGATAATACTAATAAAACAAAGATGTGTGTTCAGAAAACTAATAATAATTAACGTTTTATGAAAATAGAAAGTAATAATTACACGCTTTTTGTACTCGATACTTAAACTTTGACTGTGATAAAAATCGGAAGAGAGCAAAAGATTAATTGTAAATTTTATTTCTTGAATATCGATCAAGAATTTAGCGATACGCTGCAAATAATTCTGCGATGAGGCTAAAAGTTTCGCAGAGAAGTTTCGACTTTCTTCGATAGATTTTTCTGTATAGGCTGTATAGAAGTATACTATAATGAATCGGTTTAATGACAAGATGACAAATCAAACTTGATATTTTCTCTCTCGATTAATTAAGTATTTTAGAAATTTCCTACAGGTATATAACGATTAAAAAAAAGTTTGTAATATTTTTTGAAAGTAAAACACAACAGTGATATTTTCACTATTATACTATATTTATTTGAAAATATCGCTGATAATAATGACACAGTCATAGCTCTTAATTATCGCTATTTATTAGATTTATATTATTTTTCTAAATTGGTTTTAACGTTTTTTTGTGCGACAAAGAATTTTTCTCACCTTGACGATTTTTTTTCGTTTATCAAGCAAATAACAATTTACCTTTTTCCGGTGTACTGTGCGAATGACGATGAAGAATTAAAATACGGGCGCGAAAATTAATATTATTTAGGAGAGAGTGTGTGTGTGTGTGTGAGAGAGAGAGAGAGAGAGAGAGAGAGAGAGTTCTTTTTCGAGTCGCCTGTAGGATGATTAAAAGTTTTTTAGAAACGAGTACGAAGTCAATTGTTCATATAATTAACGTGCAACAAAGAAAAACGTGCGCGCCTTTCGACCAATCGAAATCGTCGATACGTTATGATTAAGTCAGGGCGAGAAAATTACTCGAGCTAATTACATTCACGCGCGCATGCAGCGGTGTGGACACTTCTAAATATATATATATAATAATATGTATATATATATATATATATATATATATATATATATATATATTATACATATATACACACGACACGAACAGGTCATACTCGTAACACACACACACATATATGCGGAGAAGAGGGAGATTATAATAAATATAGCAGAAATTATATAGAGAGCATTAAGAGTAATAAATTTTATCGTCGCCCAGGTAAGTCGGTAGTTTCGCGAGATGTATAGCAAGAGAAGTATATAATTAAGAAAAAAAGAGAGACTTATATATCCTCGATGGGCCGTGCGTTGCGCGTCGCTTTCTTCCGAAAAACCCCGCAAAAACCGGCCTCGAAAGAGAGCTGAAGAATTTCTCGAGAAACGCCAAGTATCGTGAAAGAAAAAAATCAAATTGCCGCATTTTTTATAAAATGAGAGAATACACGTGTAGGGTTCGATCGGTTTTTTTTCGCGAAAACCGATCGCACTATTGTCTGTCTTGATATGTATATGACAGATTTTTATCATCAGGTTCGACGCGCATACGTCGGTCCGTGCGTTTGATTTTTTCGTTGATATTTAAAAGAGTTATACCGCCCACACACACACGTGAATTTTCCAAGATGCGCCGTTAGATCGAGAGAGAAAGCGAACGATGCAGACGATGCAGCGTGGTGCATCAGATTCGTTAACGAGGGAGATATGGAGACCATGTCGCGGAAATTGTCTTTCTTTAGCATATACAACAGTTCCGTATATAAAACAGATAATATATAAAAAGTATGTGACACATTTCGCAGTGAATGTCAAGAGAATTTAATACAAATTTGAATTGTAGATTAATGGATAAAAAATTAAGCAACACGTTTTTCTTTCTCTACAAAATCGCTCGTTCACCAGATTCTAAATGGAAAAAAGTGGACGACTCGAAGGTATTTTTGCTGTTCTCAAAAAAACATTAAGGATGTTGAGGAACGATATATTAAGATGATAAAAGTGGTTGTTTCAAGTTTCAATTAGAGAAATTGTCTCATTCTTTTAATACTGCTCACGAGTAACTTTAAGTACATATTTTAACTTTTGGAAAAAAAAGAAAAATATTCCGATTGTTGACATGTATAGTAACGAAATGAAATGAACCGCGATGAATGTTCATAGTAGTTTATGCCTCTCCAATTCCATTTTCGATTTAATGTTTTGCTCCAATTTATATAAATATATAAGTCGCGAAATATAAAAGATCCTTTTGAAAGCTGCACAGATTAATAAAATTAGCTTTTCGGGGCATTTCTCGAGCGAATTTTGATCGCAAATTTTATTGAACCGTGCAACTTTTAAGACTCATAAATATTCGATGAAAAAATTACAGCACAAGCAGCGTCCACAGGTACAAAAATATATATCCGTCAGAAATGAAACCAAAATATACTTTGACACATGCATCTTCTAATTTAAATATTGAACATTAAGCATTGAATATTGCATTCGCTGGTGTAGCATATCGGAAGAGAGGAAAGAGAGGGGGCAGAGAAAATAGATAGAAACCGAGGGGAGATTATAAACAGATAGTAAGTAAAGAAACAAAAAAAAAAGAAAAAGAAAAGTACGCGCGCGAAGAGGATCGGAGGGTATCGATCATCCGAGCTTCTCGAAGTCAATGCGTTTGACGTCTAGAACAAGTGTGTTATATATAAATATGAACATTATAAATACATATTAAAATTTAGATTTATATATATATAAATATATATGTAAAAGAGAATGTTATGTATAGAAACGACAACAGGACGGGGCCTGTAGAGGCACACAGGGAGAAGAAAAAGAGAGCGAAATATCGATTATATTATTACAACACTTTCTTGACACGCAAAACGTTGCTATTGATATACTTTTATTATTATATTATCGTTATATTATTATTATATTGTCATTATAACTTCATTATTATCTCTCGAGCGAGATCAAATATTATCGACAATCTTGTTAATAGCTGCCTGTCACTTTCGTTATCCGGATCAACATAGCGATTACGCCACCATCACGACAAGCGTGACAAGTGATTAGCATGCGCGAGAAGCGGCATATAGATCTATATATATATATATATATATATATATATATATATATATATAGTTGCAATATCGATCAGCTGTAATTAATTTTGGACGAGTGTGTGCGGAAATCCTCGAGATTCGTCCTGCCGCGTTGATGAATTATTATTACACGATCCACTTCGAGCTTAAATCGTCCATGACAGTCGCTGCTTATGGTATGATGACTACGATCGAGAGTTCTGCTCGATGCAAATATCGAACTAAATCGGGCCAGTAAAAAAAGCAGAAACTTACCTGATTAATGCGTAGTCTGATATCTAGCGAGCCAGTTGCATTGCGTTTTCGAGTAAAAAAAGGCAGTGATCCTTCGAGAATCGCCAGAAAAAGCCTCTACTTTAAATCCAGATCAATTTCAATCAAAGTGATTCAGAGAATTCGAGGTAAACTCTTTTAAGTGAAAAATTTTAACGTATTTTCCGATGTTGTGTAAAATCGTCTTGTTCGAAGTTTTTCTGAATGTAATTGAGATGTTAGGAGTATGATTTGGTCAAACTGACACATATCGTGTATGCACAATCTAGAGTTACGTATTTAAGATGATTTTATCATCGAGTCTTGTATTAAAACTGTCAATTCTCCCTGATAGGTTCTCATTATCTCGCAACTGTATATAAGAAGCTGCGATTTTTCCTTTTTTTAAGGATTTTACTGTTTAGTTTATCTCATTTATATGTAACTTACAATTAGTATTACTTTATGCGCCGAAAAGTACTATAAGTATATTTCCACTAGTGTGACAGGTGAAGATTGATTGGCGACGATGGCGATGATTGATGCTGATTTTAATTATCCTTATCCTTAGTTCTGATTATTATATATCGCGTATATATCATACTCCGTTGTGTATTGTCCGACAACATCCCAGCATTATTTTGTAAAGAAGAATAAAAATATCTTGACACATAAAAAGAAAAACAAACTCGAGAAAAACGGCCCCGATTCGATCTGCTTATTTCATCTGAGATTTTATTCTAGATTTTTCGCTTGCGTAAAAATGGTCGCATCTCTTCCTAAAGGATATATGTACGTGTATATTCTGTCGTATTTCACAGAACGTTGTAAACGACGTAATGAAGGGACAGCGGCGACGTGTATCTGATGAAGTTGGAATGCGGCGAACTCAGCGGAATTACATTCAGTGGTGCAATTGCATTGAGAGCGACAACTTGTTCGTTCGCTTCTCGCGTCTGTTGCAGTGTCTGTTGCTGCTCCTGCTGCTGCTGCTGATTTTGCTGATTTTGCTGATTTTGCTGTTGTTGCTGTTGCTGTTGCTGCTGCTGCTGCTGCTGCTGCTGCTGTTGTTGTTGTTGTTGTTGTTGTTGTTTCTTCTTCAGCGTAACTGTTTCATCGTTAGAAATTTCTGCGGTCTTCAAGATCGTCGCCGCCGGAGTGATCGTGCCTATGATGCAAAAACAACAATTACCTTCGATAATTCGACTAATCCTACGGCTTATAATTTATTGCCGGCGATTTGCCGGCTCGATCTTGTTAATTGGCGAGATCGGTTTATAAGATTGTATCAACGAGCGAGTTTTGCGAACCGGTCGCGATTCGAGAAGGGCAACCGCAGACTTGATTCTCGGTCCCGGAAATACGACGACCTTCGAAAGAAGAGCGAAAAAGTCGAGCAAGAATAATGAAAGAAGACTGATCTTGTTTAAAGATATTTTCTATCTAGCCCAATTTTAAATTTTTTTCAATGAAAAAATAATATGTAGTCTTGTCCTGTCAAATTTTCAAATTAATCTTATCCTAATTATTCCGATCACAAGATATTTATAATTTATAATCAGAATATAATAAGAAATTGCATCGAACAAATTTACATATATAGGAATTTGAACATGTTTGTCAAAAAATAATTCAATCTAATTGTAAGGTCAGATGTAATTGGAGTAGGAAAAGATATTGAAAGGCGAGTTACATGGGAAAATTATCATACAGTAACCTTGAAGGATCGACGACTCCGGTATGGCGGAAGGTTCGAGCTCATGGATTCCATGGGAGATGCGGAATATAGGCATCGCGTTTCCACCCGGTGTTTGAGGCAGCAGACGAGAGAAAATTAATGGAATCGTCGGGATGTTTGCGCCGCCGATAATTTCCTGCGTCACTCTTCCGGAGGATTCCTGTTGACCATTTTTGAAAATATCGATGAGGAATTTCGGGACGGGAATACTTCGTGAAATTTTAAAATACGCTGGACATACCATTAATTACCTTGTTTAAGAATTTACAAATGTTACAAAAAGAAATTCTTTCTATTAAATATTATTTAAAAATTGATAAAAAAAATTGAAGATAATTTTTCTGTCAAATATACATATTTTTTTCAAGAGAAGAATTTTAAGAGAATCTTCAAAAATTCTAAGACTCCAATAAATAATTTATATGCAAGGCGGTAAAAAATATTATCGCAAAAATTCTTCTTTGGTGGTTGGGCCAGAATGATTTTTTTACAATTAACATACCTGACGAATGTTCTGCGGGTTCTTCTCGCTCTTGTCAACACCGCTTCTGGAAGCAACCGCTTGCAGAGTCTCGTCGTTGTCCTTCTCGTTATTCTCGACCTTCTCCGCGTTCTTATTCTCCACCTTTAACGGAAGTTCCACGAGCTTGGCTTCCACCAATGGTTCTTGCGTTTTGCCGACATTTGCGTCACCTTGATTACTTTCGAGCTTCCTTTCGTAGACCTCCGGATGCGTTTCATGACTTTGAGCCTCCTCGTCCCTTCGCGCAGCCAACTCCAGGGCCTGGAGATGCGCCGTGCGCGCGGCCATCACTTCCGGCGTGTCCTGGACCGGAAGCGGCGCCTGCGGGAGATTCGTGGCAAACACCCGGAACCCATTTTCACCATCGGCGACGTATTGAGCGGTCTGGATCACGCCGCTTTCGTCGACGTAGCTGTAAGTGCCTCTGGTCGCTCCATTGGATGTCCTGACCTCCGATCTGGCTGATCCTGGCGCGCTATAGCCGAAACTGTACTGACCCAGACTGTCCTGGTAGCCGAGGAACACTGCCGGCTTGGCGAAGCCGGTGGCGATCAAACAGTGAACAAGGAAAAGCTGAAAACGTATGTGTCAGATCAGGGTATTAGGATTATGATTTACAGCGATTTACATAACTCGCCGCATTGCGGTTTCCACTCTTTATTATAGATTTGCGGGAGGTGTCAGGTGTTTAGAATTATGGATTAGTATCATTCGGATGATGTTACAGCGAGATAAAAAAATTCCTCGTGCTCCGAGATTTTTAAAACAAAAATATTCTGTTCCTCGTAAAATAATTTAGCTACAGATAAAATATATTAAACAGATTTTTCCGAGTGGGATAAAAATTGCACGACACGAAAGGGAGAGAAGCGAACCTCCTCGGCCGAATAATGTATACCACGAGTAGCTTTTTTGTTATAGAGATAACATATTATCCTGCAGTTGTAAACCCGACGCAGGATCACCAACGCGACGCGTGAATCTCAGGATCAGTCTTCCTACGCACAGGATATGGCAGGCCTACGGAAGGACGAACACTTACGAACGCGAACTTCATGGCGTCTTCTTATCGACGACCTGTCGATTGATCCTCGATTCCGACGCGCAGCCAGGACACCTTTATATAGGCGATGGCGTGCGATCAACCACGCCTTGAGGCGACGCGTGATCCTCTTCCTCCTCTCGCGTAGAGAAATTCGTGAAGCCGGCGAAGATCACGAACACGAGAACTGGTCCCACGAGGTCTTCGAGGTCGCGAATCCGGCTTCGCGACAGAGAGACGTCTGGTTTCCATCGGGCGCCTTTTTTCCGAGCCAGGATCCGCCTCGCTCTACGTCTCTCTACCAAGGTTACGCGTAATCGTTATCGCGGAAGAAGGGGAAGGTATGAAGCGAAATCACAAAGAGGAGGATTATTAGGACGCTAATTTATCGCCCGTTTATATCCGTGAAATTCCTCTACGATCGAGCGCTTAGGGGTGCGGAATCTTCCGACTGGTTCGCGAGGATCGGTTATGTCTGCAAGATCTCATTGAGGAGACGAGATGCGGAATATTTTATTACCCTCGTGCTATTTGAGTTCTGTCGAGACGAGTCGAATGTTTGAGTCGCAGAATGTATGTGCAGAAGGTAAACGATTTATTTTATATTCATATTTTGTAAGATATAACAATTCTTTTACAACCTTTTACGGGATACGTGTAATGGTTTTGTGTAAATATAGTCTCCGTTTCTGTAAATCTAACGTGCATAGCGTCTTCTTGGCTTAAAATAATCATCCTATAATCATCATGAGATATATAAATATACTATCCTTATTCTATCGCATCTTTTATTCTTTTCTGTCGATGGAAGCATTTTACATTTTTAATTTTCTTATAGAATTTTTTATTATATAAAATTTTGTCTTTAGATATTATATGTGTAATTATGTAGCAAAATAAATTAGAATATTAAATTCATCCTCAATTATATTAATTGTCTTTTGCAATGATTTAATAAATCTTTATCATATAATTTTATTCCTTGTTTAGTATAAATTACAAATCTTACTATAATTACATTTTTTTTTTTTTGCAAAAAAGCGCAACTTTTCAATAAACTTACTTTTTATTAACAAGCGTATAGAGTACATCTTTCCCACAATAAAAAAATGGTGCAACGAGAGAAAGAAATAGAAGAGAGCAATTACCTATACATAATTCATTACCATCTGACATGCGATTATCCGATAATAAGCTACAAGACGTGTCTTCTCCAAAAGAAACTTTGAGTAGAGAGATCGATCCTTCCTTTTAATAAATCAATCTGCCATAAGCGAAAACTGGACCCGCAACTGCTAGAGCATCCAGGGATCTCGCGTTCGCCGGATTCTGACGGTCGTCGTGAGTTTGAACCACCGTTTCCGGTACGAGCACCAGTGGCACCACGGAACCATCCACGAGTCGTGCAAGCGTTCCCAAATTGCTCTTCTGGTTGCCTTTGGTTGCTGTGGCTTCCGGTGCACTCAAAACTCTGCCATCAGGATCCATCACCGTTTCAGCGAGGATCAGATCGCTGGTTCCCGAGGAATCCAACGCGCCACTGGACCTCGCAGCCTCGTTCACCAGGTTGATCTTCTCGTTGACGTGCGCGGCCACGTGGGCCGCTCTGGCGGCCGCGACTTCCGGGGTGTCCACGACTCTGCCATCAACACCGAGTGGCGCGCTGTCAAATCGGGATGAATCTTGTTCTCCAACCGATGTCTCAGCTGAATTCGTTCCTCTCTCGTCGAGATGCGCGGTCGAAACTTTTAGCTGGTCCAGAATCTGTCCGCGACTGGTACCAATTTGCGTACCGGATGTCAAGGATGTCGCGTACGTCAACGGGACTGACAGGAGAGCGGGCTTGGCCGAGACCAGACTGATTAGGCCCAGCATCACGATCGCGAAACGTCTCATCTTAATCTCTCGTGGTATTTCCAGAACACCAAGAAGAGGTAGAAGGTCTTGTTTAGCGCAATCGACGAACAGGATAATCGCGCAAGATGCACTCGTTGCATGCTGATGCAGCCGCTTTTATAGCTCTCCTAGATCACGTAATGGGACGGATCTAGATCACGATCGATAGGGACGACGCGAAGGGAGGAGACCTAGAATCATTTGAGAAACGAAAAGCTGCGTGTGCGATGATCGACCACTTCCGGAGCAAGGTAAGCCTGTTTGTAAAACGAGAGCTTACAATCGGCGACACGGCAGGATGAAACGGAGAGGGATTTTCTTTCTTACAAGGTCGAGAAGACACACGATCCCGTTTCCATTTCTCCACCAGATCGGTCGCGATTTACAAGGTCGCGCTTGAGATCTAAAGGCTACGTCGATCGCGTAATCAATGCTAGATACAGGTTCATTGTTGTTTTTGCTCCATTAGGTAAGGATGCCTTTCTACCTGTCTACCTGCTTGCCTATATTACTTAATCTTTAATTACTCCGACGTGGAAACGAATTCGTCAATCTTTTTACATTTTACAAAAAACATTTAATTAAGTATATGTTTAGGTTTTAGAATTCACTTTTTTTCGAATAAATGTAAAAAGTAAAATTGAAGTGTTTAAGCAATAATAATTTACTCTTATGCTCATTTGTTTACAAAGTAAAAAATTGTATTTTGCATGTGTGAGAAATTGGATTGATTCCTATTTTATTGATAATTAATTGCATTTAGATAATTTCTTTAACAAAGAAAATTAATTTTCAAAATAATTGATATATACATATATCTTACAATAAGCATTGATTTTTAAATATTTTTTTGAGCTGAGAATTATATAATAGTTACATTTTTATAAATTTTTGTAAAATTGAATTATTGCGAAACTTTTGATCGTTTATCATTGCAACAATATAGCACTGCTAAATAGGAAGTCTTTTCTTCATCAAATGATTATAAACTGTCCGACAGACAAAGGATTATATACGTACGTCAGTGATGGAATTCAAAACATACCTAAATGGGCGACGCCAAAAAAAGCGAATCGATCGTTACTACGCAGATTCGATCGGTCTAGTTGAATAAAGGAGGAGAGGGACCAATTTAAGTGAACGTCGTGAGGGTCGCGAGTGCCGACAGAGGTGAGGCTAATCGCGATTACACAAACGAGAACGAGACGACGAGCGGGCGTCAATGTCAGATGCGTATGATATACCGATTATTATAACATGCCTTGACGATGGACGCACACATATCCTGGTAACACGAAGCGTTCGGCACAAAGTCTCTTTTTCCGAGGGAGTATATAAAGCGAAGTATTGGACAGAGTGCAGGACATATTATTCCAGCACCTTGGCGAGTACTGATCATTGGTAGCGCTAAAAAGGAGCTAAGAGATTTCGTTCAACATGAAGCTTCTCGTAAGTAATAGTCCAAGTGATTTTATATCGATGCATCTGCTCCCATTTCTAAAAATAATTTCATCCTCTCATATTTTAATATTTTAACATAATTTAAATCAAAGATACATTAAACCATTTTAGATTAATATGTATTATTAAAATGTTGTAATGCATGTATGTTAAGATTGAACAATTCTTTTCACAGGAAAGAATTGCTTGAATAAAATACAGAGGATCTGAAAAAATAAAGCTGCGAAAAAATGTTATTATAATAATATTAAAAAACACACACATCTCTTTTTACATTCTCTAGATCGTCTTTTCCGCCGCTTTGGTTTGCGCCTTCGCTCACCCAGCACTGATTTACACCAATCTGGTATCCGGTGCGCCGATCGGTCCGGACGGCCGGGTGGTGGACACCGCGGAAGTAGCCTTGGCCAAGGCCGAGCACGCGGCCGCTCACTTCAACGAGAGAATTAATCTGGCCCAGGAAGCTGTCAGATCGGCCGATGTGCTGACTTACGTCGCGCCGACGAACGTGGCCGTGATCGGCCACGGAGCCCCCCAGCTGGTGGAACCGGTTGCGGTGGCGACCAAACTGGTACCCGGAGCACCCATCGGACTCGATGGGCGCGTCGTGGACACACCGGAAGTGGCCCTCGCCAAGGCGGAACACGCGGCGGCTCACGTCAACGAGAGACTCGGCCACGAGGTCGCGAGATCAGCCGTTGTTCACGAACCAGTCGTCGTCCTGGATCGCAGTGCGTCGCACGGTTATTACTATGTTTCTTCTTGAATTCAATTCGGCGATAACAAAGCGAACAGTATAATGGGATGCGAATAAATCTGGATAATCTTGGCATGGCGTAATTCTCCGAATATTTTATTTCGATTGTCATTCTTCTTTTCTATGTTAAAAAAAATTAGAACCTGAATTTTGGAAGATGTTCTTATCAGACTTTCTCTGACAATGAGTATAGAACTCTGGATTTTAATATTTTCCACAGAATATTTCAAGATCATTTTTTTATAGTGTCCCTAATTATAGAGCGAACATTTCACCTTCAAAGAGCATACATGGATATAATGTAATTAACGATAAGTGGTACCGGTGTATATCTCTTATGTAGAAAATAATAAAAAATTAAGAAAATACATTTTGTTATAATACAATTATTATGCTTCAATATAAAAAAAATATTTATTACTTCAACTTTTAAAAAATAATATTAAAAATAATTATTATTTGATTAGAATTTTGAAAAGCACTACCCTAATAGCACAACATATCTAAAAGATATTCAGAGGATATTTAGAGGACATTTGAATATCCTCAGGATGTTCTCTGAACGTCTTCGGGATATGTGTGTTGTTAGGGTAGTATTATATAAGTATATTCATATATGTAATAATACTTAAAATATTTCGGCAACAAATTGTGAATAGTATATGCAACTCTAACATAATGATATGTATATTAGGATCTAAAATTTGGAAAAAATTAATTATCACTCTAATGACTGAAACTAATTAAAAAATTAAAGCCTCTTTGGAAGAGCATTGCATATTTTCTGAACTAAATGAGAACTGTTCAATAAAAAGCAGAACTATCGTAATACAACCAGAAGTTCACATTTATATTTAAAAATACGAGTTTTTTTGGATGAAAGAATTGTTTAAATAATTGTATAATTATTTCAGATACCTATTATTCTTTCAATTATTTTCACACTTTCCTTTTAGTCGAATTACATAACGAAACTATATAGTAGTTTGGTGTCGATATACGAAAAATGCATATCTAATTAGGCATTAAAATATTTTATATAACAAGAATACAGAATTTTTTTATATACCATAATCGTTTGTGCAAAATATGCGGAGCTGTCAAAGTGATAATACTAAAACGTTGAAGAGACGGCTTCTTAATCCCAAGAGAGACCGACTATTTACACTGCATTGAATAATTTATTTAGATACAATTATTTCGTGCTTTTTATAGATTTAACGAGTCAAGTCGTTGACTGTGAAAATTATCATTAACGCATTTGTCATGCATTTTTACAAGCTTTTTGTTTAGGCTCTTCTCAATCTCTCAAGTTTTGCTTGATCTATCATCACGATTAAATACTTATTTTTAAACAATAACAATAATGACATAATTATTGAGACGAGAAAAATAATAGACTTGTTGAGCACGATTTTCAGCCATTGCTTGAATGATTTATTTTTTAAGTCATCCTAAATAAATTCTATATGTAACATCAAGGCAGGCACCCCTTCGTGTCCTCAAATCAGTTTCGTTTTCCGCGAGAGACTGAAATACCGATTAAAGTAGCAGCGCTTTGCTTTTTCGTGCCTTATACACACACGTCTCACTTTCCTCTTTTTACTTAAACGATTGCGCGATTTTGCGTTTCACCGAATCGCAGAACAATGCGAAATTTGCCCAATCCAAGTGTCGGCAAAAATATTCTCTCCGTCGCCGCTTTGCGGTGAGATTTGCGCCAGGATGACAATATCGCGCAATATAATAGTCACACCGACTGTCACTTTCGTAACGTCGATATTCCACGCTCGTCGAGCGAACGACTCGAGGGGTGGCCGCAACAAATCACTCGATCGATCCGATCGAGCGCGGCGACGCGGATTGATAAGCCTCGTGATGGCTGATAGCGAAGTAACGGCGGGTGTTAATGAGCAAAACGGCGAGGAAAGGCGCGGCCGCTCGTACGATGACAGTAACGCGGTCTCACCTTGCATGTCCGCATTTACCGGTGCACTTTGTAACGCGAGTTTTTGCGTCGAGCGATGTCAAAGGTGTTTATGCGACACACCTCGTGCGGATACGTCGATCTATTCAACACACGTTCGATATATAGCACATACGCCTTTACAGAGGATATTAAAATTATCTCTTTCTCTCGGGACACGCCTGTGAAATATATTGCAATATTGTAACTAAAATGGTGGAAAACATTTCGACCTAATAGATTTTTATTAATTAAAAAATATGAAGAATTATCTTTGTTTATATGACGAATATGTGTTTGAAGACATTTTATTGCAGAGATCCGTATACGCCACAAATGTACTGCAAGAAATGCGTTTTGTGTCGGGAATTGTGCATTCTCAATGTACTTCGTCCTTCGACTTTGAGTCCTTCGGATCGTTTGTTCAGGGCTGTTCAGTCGTTTATCGCTGAAACATGCCTCTTTGTTGTTTCTCAGTATCGAGATCCATTCTATCAGCACACGATTTAATCGGAATTATTCGAGGCGAAGTGAAAAATGAACGTTCCTTGGTTCGATAACACGATAAGGACACTGAATATTAATATATGTTATTAAATTCCTACCTCAGAATCTTGATGTGCACGAAGGAAAGAAGAAATATCGTAAAAGGAAACTCGTGTAATCGAGATATATCTTTTCGATCTTAATTCCGTGAATGAGAATTCCCGGCCTCATCGAGAGATTGATGGCAGTTGAAGTTTTATCAATCAAGAACGAGGTGCACCATTAGCTGCTGCAACGCGTTTCCGCTCACGAGTGCAGGGACCACGTTCAAATGTCAAGGTCGTTGATGGCAAAAGAGAAAAAAGGGAGAAGGAGACAGCATTCCCTTTTCCGATTCGCGAGCAAACTTCCCGGGTTAGCCGATCACCTCTCCGGCTTCCCCCAGGTCGATCGGTCCTCGTAGAGGGGACGGACGAACACGACTATAAATGGTACCGACCGGCCGTTCTCCAGAAACATAAAACGCCGAACCGACGTCCGGCCCGGGTCCCTCCAGTCCTGGGAGCGAATACTGGCAGAACAGCAGCGCTCTTTTTTTTTAATCAGGAATAAGAAGGTGTGGGAACCCAGCGAAGAATACACGCCCCCGGATCATCATGAGAGGCCTGGTGAGTGATCCCACGATAAAGGAAAGTGAAAGGTTGATCGAGAGTAATTGAGAAATGTCGATCGCGCAACTCGATGATTCGATGAGCGACGAATAAATAAATCTAGAAATTAAAAAAAAAAAAATATTGAAAAGAGTTAACTGTACATAAAAAATGTTTTCATACGAGGCGACATTTTTTTTCAATCATCTCTCTTCTAGATTTTCCTGCTCGTCACAGTAGCGACCTGTAGAGCCGCTTACGTCGGTTCGTCCCCGTACGGGGGTCCCTTGGTCCACCAGCCCCAGATCGCCCCGAACTACGCACCACCCGCGCCAGTCGGTCAGGACGGAAACGTCATCGACACACCGGAAGTGGCGCAGGCGAAGGCCGCGCACTTTGCCGAATTCGCGAGGGCCGCCGCTCGCGCTGCCCAGGACGAGAAGGATCATCAAGGAGCATCCGGTTACAATCCGCATGTCTCGTCGCCGACTTACAGCTACCCAACAGCCGTTCAGCCTACCGCGGTGCCCTTCCTGAGACAGGATTATCAGCAACCTACTCCGATCTATCAGACGGCGAACCACGTGCCGGCGCCACCCGTCTACAATTATCAGCAGCTCCAGCAATACGACGCCGGGGCGAACTTCGCGAACCAGAAGGGTTACACGTTACCCGCTAAAGCCACCACCTTCGTGCCGGCGCCATTGGCCGAGGACGGGACGGTCTTAGACACGCCGGAAGTCGCGGCCCTGAAGGCAGCTAGACTGGCCGAGCTCGCCGAGGCCGAGGCTCGAGCCTACAAGCATGCGAGTGCACATCCGGAAGAGAACCAGGGTCAAGGTGAGCCGAGGAAGAACCGATGACGCGCTCTGCGTGGGCCGCGTAAAACCTGACGTAGGACGTGGATAAAATAGGGTCTCTCAGCAGCGTATACGATCTCGAAGTTCAAATTGCAGATTGATGAGTTTTGCCTTAACGTCCCTAATAGCACATATCCGAAAGGAATTCAGAGGATATTCGGAGGATAACCAGAAGATATTCGAACATCCTCAGGATGTTCTCTGAAAGTCTTCGGGATATATGTTCTGTTAGGGATGGAAGTATAATAAATCAGAAATAATGTAATAAAGAGAGATAATTCTTCTAATAAGATTGTTAAGGGCTAAGTCTATTCGATGAGTCCAATTAGTTCTGTAGATTATATATATATATATTTGCGCGTTCTAGCTTGTTCCTTTAAATCGCCAAGTGTCTAATTTTATTTTACGATGTTTTATTACGTGTGATTTCAGCTTATTCCGGATCGCCGGTCGGCCCCGTCAACTATAATCCTAATCTAGGACATTACAGTGCTTCCCGAGAATTTCCAGGATCCTCGTATCCTGGAACTCAGCCTTACATCGCGCAACAAGCGTACAATCCGTCGTCGGGTTACCAGCCTCATCATTATCAGTCCCAACACTTAATAGGAAACTACTAATCCTGATGAATCGGTCGATTGACACGTTCCGAAGAATGTACATAATCTAGATTAATAAATTGTTTTCCTCTTTCCTACGGATTTTCGTTTTAAATTCACATTTATATATTCATGTTCTTTTCTCGATATGTTCATCGCAAAACACTTACTGTACTGTACCTTTTTTTAAACATCCAAAAAATAATTGTGATATATAAAGACTGCTGAAAAAAAGATTTAATAGAAGGATGAATCTGAACTTTTGTCCTCTCGTCCACCCTCATCTTTCTATTTGATAAAATTATTTTTTCAAGACATTTGAAACAAATGTCTTGAAATACCTAATTAAATTATATTGAATTTTATATCTGTTTTTTTATAAATTAATGAGCGCAATAAATTGTAATTATTATTATCATCACGAATTGGAGCTATAAAAGTGCATCGAGTGCGTGCTTGTATATGTTTAATTATAACTAATTTTTAAAATTTTTAAACGTAGTTTTTATCATTTATTTCTCTTAATTGTGACATTGACAGATTAATATCGAGAGATCGAGATATAAATAAAAAATAAATCAAGAAATGTAAATTAAGATTCATTTCTCTCATCAACACATGTGGAAAGGAGGAATTGGAAATTCTTTCGCGAAATTTCTCTCGAAAAAAATCGCGATGGTTCTCGTGTTGCAATTTTTATGTCTTAATCTAAGTAGAAATCGGAAGAAGGGAGCAATCGGATCGTCGTGGGATACCGATTAGGAAAGTTCTTACGTTTTGCACCGCTGCGGGACAATATTGTAATAATCGTCCCGTACGACTGCGTGCATGCAATTTTATACGCAAGCAAAAAGTCGGTCGTCGAGAAAGACATAAATGCAATATTGAAATTAGTATTACATGACTGCATCGATTTTTATCGTACGAAATTTACGCACTTTCAGTGTTTGCTGTTATCCACATAAAATTATATACATGATTATCTAGATAGATAAAAATACTTAAATAGTATATAGAATAAGCAATAAAATACTTAAATATTATAAATATTTATAAAAACTTATAAACAAAAAGTCGGTCGTCGAGAAAGACAGAAATGCAATATTGAAATTAGTATTACATGATTGCATCGATTTTTATCGTACGAAATTTACGCACTTTCAGTGTTTGCTATTATCCACATAAAATTATATAGATGATTATCTAGATAGATAAAAATACTTAAATAGTATATAGATAAGCAGTAAGCGATAAAATATTTATTATAAATATTTATAAAAAGTTATAAATAAAAATATGAATATACTTTTATATTCCTTTTATAATTTATTGTACATTTTTTTATAACTATATGTTTATATAAGCGATCTTAAAAATATTATCTGGAAATTATCTAGATAAATTGCCATATAATTTTATCTTTCTCTCATTTAAATATATTTAAAACAAAATCACCTTATCTAAGATAAATTTACATATTTCTATCTCATCTTTATCTAGCTAATTTTAAATCATCAAACACAACACTGCGCACTTTACGTATAAGATATCGATTGATAGGGTTTGATGTGACATGACGAAATATTTTTAAAGATACATTCTTCATATAGAGACTTGCAACGACAAATATATGCAATACTTAAATTTATGAAAGAAAACATTGCATTTTTTTCGAGCATACTTTCCAGGAAGAGCACGTAATATTTACGACACTGCGTTTCAAACTCGATTTAAATCTGGGAACCGAGAAATATCATGTAAATCTTTATAGAAACATCGTCATCTAACGTTACAGTTGTGGATGTTGCCACATAGGTCACTGGTGTACGAAAGACGTGAGAAGAAACGAATGAGAGAGCGGAATAATAGCTTCGTTCCCCCTTGAGAATGGACTCGAGCATCGTGATTCGGCATACCTCGCCATGAAAAGGTCAGGAATCGTAACTCTATGATGCGGAATATCCATGAATGCAAGAGAGACTAAACGCGAAGGAGCGGATTGACGCGAGCTCTTGGGGAAGATTAAAAACGGGATTACACTCGCGAAACACATATAATCTGATCATCCGATATCTTGCGCGAAAATTATATCTCTCATCGAAATTTTCCGGTGGAAAAAATCCATTTTATTCGCGAATGCAACCACCCACACTTCGGCGAACGCGATTTACTATTATAAAGTCGATCTCGATATAAGATTCGAATTAAACGGTATAATATTATCTATACTTAAGAGGAACTAAAAAAATTTCGCCGAGTTAAGATTCTGCGCAGAATATCATAGCCATAGTTTAACTTGTTACGTATTATGGGTGGATTATGTATTACGAGACTCCCGTTTAGCCCAAGCATTTATTGCGCAACAATCGGTCAGCGCAAACAATCGACCGAGCTCTTCTAGCTCGTGTTACGAGTACAAATCAGCGTCGATTCGCATTATAACGAGGGCAAGATCGCATAATCGTCTATCGTCTTCCTCATACTGATTGCGAGACCCGCCTCGTCGATTTTCAAATAACACTAATCTAATTTGACATCGTTTTATCGTCAGGAGAAATTAGAGATATATTTGAAATATTTCTTGAAATATTTTTAAACAGAATTATGTAATCTTCGAGCCTTGCGGAAGTTTCAATTTTACTTGTTTTGCCGAGGTTCATTCCTCGAACGATGGGATAGTAATTTCCGAAGGCACGAAGATGGGTATAGTAAGAAGTAAGAAGGCTACCTTGAAGGGATCGCCAGGTAATCTATGATCCTGGCTGGTCGTCCGTGAATCGGGCGTGTTTTGCAACCGCAGAAAAGTTCGGTCCAATGCACGTCGCAATGGTGCGTTGCGGTGAGGAAGGTGGTTGTGTAAAAAACACCGAAGCGAATCAACGCGACACCAATGCATCTCAATTGAATACGCAACTATAAGCAAAAAAAGCAAATTATTAAATAGATATAGTGTGTGTGTTTAGCAACAAAAAAGTTAGAGCAATCAAACTTTTTTTAAATTCAAATTTTTATTATATAAAAAATGAACCCTTTCACCAATCTTCATCAAATTCAATTATCCTTTAATAATAGTCTGTTTATGTAAAAAAAAATTTATCTTAATATCTTAACATTTACGAAAGTTAGAGCGATCACAAACATTTTTTGAAAAATTGAAACTGCATTAAAATACAGTATAAATTTTTATAAAAATGACAGTAAATAAAAGTGTTGTACTTTACTTGCATGTCAAATTGGAACGCTGTAAGAGTCAAATAGTTCTTGAGATATTTAAATATAAAATATATATTTTTTACTATTTATAAAGAAATATACGTACTTTTGAAAAAAAATTTAATTGATCACTGAAAACCTGAAAATATTAATGTACGTATGCAGAAAATGTGCTTATTATATCTGAATTATTTAATTATTTTCGATTCGTGACAATATTTTTACAGTATCATCACGAATCGTTCGAGTACTCAGCTTTCTCTTCAGGATATATCTTCCAATTGGGAAGATTTATTTATATATAATTTTCAATATAATATATAAATAACATTATTTCCAAAGATAAAGTAGGCGTAAATACGAGACCGCCTCGCATTTGTCTACACATGCAGCTGTCATGGTCAGATCTCGCGAAGGTTTAATCGAACTATCATCCATAACAAAATCAGATACGACGACGGAAATCCTATCGAGAACAATGACGACACTTATAATGCAAATTGATAATTAAAAGTCAATGGCACTACTTGGACAGGATGAGCATGTCATTGATACGCTAGAGTTAAGAGATTTTATAAATGAGATAGAGTATTAAATTTCAAATAAAAAAATGGCAATCATAGATAATAAATCAAGACTATAATGTTTCAGCATTTCCAAGTCTGTCGAAGTATCTCTAGAAATAAAAACAAATATTAGAATTTAATTAGAAAGGTTTCCATTTTTTCTTTTCAAATCAACATTGAGTTTTCAACAGAAAATCGAAGACCGAAAATGTTATATACAATCGTGTAGAACGGAACCAAAACGGGACCCACGCAAAGATAATAGCAGCCTGTGACTATTGCATTGCTGAACTAATCAACTTCCAAGAAATACCGTAGGCAAGGCCAAGTATCTCACGAATTTGACGTCTACCAACAATCAGCTCTACTTGTCACCGATCATTTATCGGGGACTATCAGCAATTATAAGGTCGGCAACCCGATCCGCATGAAAGAACCCACGTGCACGTGATTACATTATTAAATCTGTCATTAAATTTATTAATCACTCTCTGTATAATTAATGATTATAATGCAATGATTAATCTGTTAATTAATTCACAAGATACGTAAGGAGTGTTTGAGAAAATTGGAAAGAGAAATAAAGCAAAATTCTAATTAATTATCTGATCGGTGATAAGAAAGTAAAAGTAACCGGTTGATGAAAAATTAGTATGAAATATGAATAATAGTATTGTAGAACTTTTGAATGATTGATTAAGACGACGAGAGGAGAAACCGGTTTTGTGTGCGACTGACAGTTCGAGATAATGCGAGGCAGTTGTTCTGCTCGGTTGTTATCCTAGCACAGCTCGTACCACTAGCAAGGACGCGATTAATCGTGCCTGACGAAGTATGCAACGACGGACTTCAGCAGATAACGATCTCCCATGTCGCGGAAGTAGATCTAAATAACGGTATACATGCACGACAATATTAAATTAAATGACTGTAAACGAGAATAACAAAGCTCAAAATGAGGATCTGGAATTAATACACACTTGCGAACACTTTTTTTTTATAAATGTATGCAACGGAGTTTCTGAATATTTATTTTTTCGAGTTTTTATAAAAATTCATATAAAATTGAAAAATTTAATAATATCACTCTTTCATTAAACGTCGGACGGATCAAAGGACAGACAAAAGCAGGAAGTAGTCATTTCTATGCCTCTCTCATATGCATGTACATACATATATTTCGTTCCAACCGTATAAACCGGATACAAGTACTCGCGCATGACAAATAGGAAGTGCATGAAAAAAAGCGACGCTGAAATTGCAAGCGGGGAGATGATGCATCAGAGTCGCTCGGGAGGTAGTCAATGATATCTTAGTCTTTTTTTCCAATTCTCTGAGGTAGTTGGAGAGGAGATTGACAGGACCTCGAGTGGTCCAGCGCGACCGATCGATCGATCGATCTCGCTGCCCACGTCGATATCCACGTCGAACGAGCGGGAGTGCGTGTCTCGGGTCGTGTCTTGGATCCAATTTTTGCGAATTAATAGTAGCTGCCAGCCAGACCATTCCAAGCAGGATTATAGGCGCCGGTGTTCCAGGACGGATCGTAGGCGCCGGCGGAGACTGGATCAGCTGGACCGGCCGGGACACGTGCGGCTTCCGCATTGTAAAGAGAGAAATGTATGGCCTTGGCTTGCTGGACCTCGGCTGTGTCGACTACGCGACCGTCCGGACCCAACGGGGCCGGAGGTCCGCTGCAATGATGAAAAACGATGATGAAAAAAATGACAGTTTGGGAACAAATAAATGTCTTAGCTGAATTACAGTTCTCTTATTAGATGAAGAAAGTAATGACACGAGGATGAAATGTTGAAGACCAAGTTATACAAGCTCGAAGATATAAAGGTCTGCATTTAAATATAAAAATCCTAAAAAAGAATTCAACTCAAAGCGAGATTGAAATGTCTGTCGGAAACGAACCTGTAATGCGGAACTGCGTAATTTCCGGAAGTGTAAGGCACATTAGGCCCGGGGTAGGCCCCGATCGATCCCGGTCCCTTTGGTGCGCGTGCGTTAGCTTCCGCTAAAGCGCTCAAATGAGCAGCTTTCAGTTGCGCGACTTCCGGCGTGTCCACCACGCGACCATCTGGACCTAATGGGGCTGGAGATGCATGAGGCCCATACCATTGTGGAGCTGCTAGAATAACGCTCGATGTTGCGAAGAAGAGGACCTACAATGCAATTTTTATTTAATATTTCAATCTTTATTATTTTTTTTCAACATCCATTCTTAATTATATATATATTAAATTTTATATAATTTCCCAATACATGAATTAAAAATAATATTAATATTCATAGTATTATTAATATATATATATATATATATATATATATTATATATATATATATAATATATATACATATATATTTATATTCAATATTATTAATATTAATATTAATAAATATTAATAATTATTAATATTAATTAATATGAATATTGATGATATACAAATATTAGAAAAATACTATTTAGTAAACATATATATCAATATTGATAGGATTGATAATAATTTTGAGATAAAAAAATTCCCCGAAAATATATATTACAGTATCTCTTTCCAAGGTACTCACGAGATATCGGATCATCCTGCTGCGTGTATGCACCGAAAAGAAAATTGATCCTCAAGAGACACTACTCGACACGTCGACACGTGCGTTTAGATCCGCATTACGACTGCCATGAACGTGCACGATGCAATTTATAGGGGGTACGATCGGGATACGCTGCGCCCCTCCTGATCCTGTCTAACGCGGGGTACAACCACACCCAAAGAGAAATGTTCTCCTCAAGTATGACACGTGCCCTACCCTGTAACATTTACGCGGGTTGTTAACAATGACGATCGACGTATGTATATGTTTGCCCCGCAATCTCGTGTCGCGTGCATAAAAGTTGCGAGCTATGCGAGTTCTATATGCAGGCCGCACTTTATCCGCGGATGCGGGTCAACGATTGCTCGCTGGCTGTCTCGCCAAAGTGATTTCGGGGCCAAGGGGTGACGAGGCTTAATAAGGATCTTTTAAGCATGATGCAAGAGTGCATTGTTTCTTCATATATGTCCACAGTTGGAAATTTATCTCTAAATTTAATATCCTTTCTCTCTTCATTTTTCATCTCTAATTAAAAAGTACAACTCGTATAGTTTTTCATTTTTATTATCATAAATAAAATTAATATATAATAAATTTCTCGGTAGATTTTAATAATTATATATATTAAAGAAAATAATAAATGATCTAGTTTAACATTAAGTAAAAAACTCTATCGATTTGTTTGACATAAAACAGTACCGATCTCTTATACGACTCTCTACGCAATTTACGATTATGATGTCACTATTAAGGGTATCCGCGAGTCACATTTACCGTATAACGTAATTTATGGAATTATTTATCCGTGCGTATCGAATCAATCACAATTGTGTGTCACGGGATGGCAATAACAATAGTTGTTGAGATACCAGAACGGACACGTGGTGTCGCAATTGACCACCTCGTTCATCGATCGAGCCCTATTCGTATACGCTCTGATCTGAAAGGAATTGCGCATTTGTCACCAACGCAATATTCCCGACGAGGTGCGAGTGGGTTTAGGCGTTTAATCGTGTCTGACAAGGTGACTGGTCACGTGTCGATCGCGATCGACAGCTGAACTCGCGGATCTCTATCGCCGACTATGTGCGACCCTTTCGCAAAACTGCGAGAGGAACTCTTTTACGTTATCTGCGAAAAATAAATTTAGAATTTTGCTCTCTGCATAAATTATTCAAAGGACAAAAATGATAAAGAGAAAAGGAATATAAGTAATCTTTTTTTTTTCCAAGTTAATAAGGTCACCTGCTCGTGATATCCTTGCGATTGAATTATATAATGTAAAGGAGAAATTTTTTTGCGTATTGTTTCATCTCTATATTATATTTTATTTGCAATTGTAATATTATTACATTTATGGTGCGTATACGCACACGTGACGTTTTTACATTCATCGTGGAGATACGATCGAAGCCACTACTACTCTCCTTTGTACTACGAATGCAAATAAGCTCTACTCTCTTAAATTAAATCAGTGAAAATGTCACCGGTCTAAAAGCTTCATCTAAGATCAGCGAATATTTCACTAAATGTGACGGTACAATTTTTTCTTTCACTGAAAAAAAGTCAACTACTATCGCTGATTTTGCTCAATGAGGTTTCACTATTTCGCCATACTACAAAACCACTTATCAGTGATAATACACCGATTCCATTTAAGAGAGTACACCTCCATTATTTCGTCAACGTAGGCTAACGAATTCACCAGGAACCGTGCGCGTAAGGATAAGGATTGCGATACGACAGATGAGCGATCTTGGATAACTCCGCGGCATGGGCGGCCAAATGCGCGGCCTTGGCATGGGCGACTTCCGGTGTGTCCACGACCCGGCCGTCGTGGGCAAGCGGCGCCGGCGGCCCGTGATATCCGGCACCCTGATGATGATATCCTCCGTCGTGATACTCGCCGTTATTGTAACTTCCGGCCGCGGGATATCCGCCGTAATGATGCTGCGCCCGAGCGGCTTCAGCGGCGTAAGCCGCCAGATGCGCTTTCCTGGCGTGCGCCACTTCCGGTGTGTCGACCACTCGGCCGTCATGGGCCAGCGGGGCCAAAGGGCCGTGATAGTGTCCGGCTTGCACCCCGTATGCACCCTGATGATAAGGCGCGTACGTGGGCAACGCCAGCGACAGTGAAAGGCACGACAAGACGATGATCTGCGAATGGAGATTACAGAAATTACAGAGAGACTTGATTACATACGGGTCCGCGCTGATGTTAATTGAAGAGTATAAAGAGATGAGGGTATACATATAATATATAATAAACAATGATAGAAATCACAAAGGGATGAAATCTGGTGCAAGAAGATTCTGTTGAAGGCTCAATTATGTGAAATGGATTTCGGTTGAATCAGCTGGTTTTTTCATGTGTTGTAACTTATGATCTGCTGGACAAAAAATGTAATAGGCTATTACATCTATTATTAAGCTACAACATATGAAAAAACTAGCTGATTCAATCGAATCTATTTTACATAAAATTGGTGCGCGGTACTTTTATTTTCAAATGGAATTTTGGATCTAGATTCTTATTATGTTGTTCGAAAAAGATCCTCTCTCTCTCTTTTTGTAGATTAAACAAAAAATTATTAGAATCTTGTAATGTGCGAGAGATGAGGACAGAGTATCTGTGTACTCACGAAGGACTTCATGACTTGTGCGAATCTATCCGAGATGAGGCGAATCTCTGTCTATTCGATCGGACCATGTAGACCTTATATAGTCGACGAACACTACAGGCTATCTCCCTATCTCTGTACGTCTGTATTAAATAGTGTAAATGAAACGTGGACGCAGACTTTGCTTGATTTTCACATCATAAGAACGTGAGAGAAGGGGCTGGTTTTTCTGTTTGATTCTGAGAAGTGAGATGAAGGTGCATATCGAAGGGGGTATCTTGACTAGATTAGAAAAGAAACTAAAATATTATAGCGAGAAAGAGAGAGAGAGAGAGAGAGAGAGAGAGAGAGAAAGAGAGGGAGGCTGGAATGTTAGTAAGAGCGAAATTATGATTGCGTCAACGAAAACGCGAACGAGCGATGTTGTACAATTGGTTCGACAAAAAGTATCGGAGGCAACACTTCGATCGATCGAATATTCGTCGATTTCGATTACCGCCGCAGAGATACCAAAATGCTCTGAAGAAACACTCGAGATTGAAATCGAGATAAATGCCGTGAGACAAATGTGAGATAATTTATTACAATATCTAATAAATAAATTTGTTGTATCTATATCCAAATTGTCTACTATTTTACTCTTTAGTATAGTATTAATTTTATTTTTAATTTTTTTTTTTTTATTTAATACCGTCAATAATATTTCTGAAGAAAATATTTCTGTATATTTTCAGAATTAAAGTTTCAACATAAACATTTTTTACCACAATGAAATAATGAAAATTGTATGACGAAAGTCATAAGTGTGTTCGCACTAATGACCATAACAATGATCTGCGGCTATTACATTGAATTGAAGGCTATTGAAAATTTCGTCACGTAGATACTGCGTCTAATTGCTTAATGAACTATTGCGCGATTTACTTTGAAAACAACACAATAAAGAGTAATTAAATATATCTGGCCTGATTCCTTCGCGTTGCAGGATCTAAGTAAATGGGATCAACGATTAGACGGACGTGTAACCTGCGTGTAAATATAGTTGTTATATTAAATTGAGAAAAATTGCATTGGAAGACAGTTTCGCGTCGCTGATGCGATGCAGAAATATCGAGAAATGTGCATCCGGCAAAAACCGAGCTATCACCTTGTGCGAATGTTGGTTGAACGGTATTCGCGGTATTGAAGTAGAGGGAGTGATGCTGTTAGGTAAGATTAAATCATCGATTGTATATAAACTGAGCATTTCGCGATCGATACTTATAAAATAGTGGCATTTCATTTAAGATTGAACATAGTTCAAAAATGAGATCTCTGGTAAGTGATCTTCTCGCGAATTGTTTATCACAAACTTTGTCAAAATCAGTGATATATTAAATTATCGTTTATTGTATCTGTATTCCGTTAAATAAATTTTAAAATTACAATAGAGAATTTACGAAACATGATCACAAACTGTAAAAATAACTCTTCCCAAAAATTGACAAAGATTAACTCTCTGTTATACATTTTTACGTTTGTAGATTATCTTGATGGGTATCGTTGCCGTAATTTCGGCTACGCCAACGCATTATCAATATCATGGACCACCTGCGCCTATAGGTCACGATGGCAGAGTTGTGGATACACCGGAAGTAGCCCATGCCAAAGCGGCGCATCTCGCCGCTGTGGTGCAAGCTGCCTCGAGAATTCCGTACAGTGTAGCTTCCTACCCGGCAGATTCGGATTATCACGGATATTCGAAACCGATAGCAATCAGTCACCAGATGTATCACAATGGACACGAATATCATGGACCACCCGCTCCGTTAGATCACGACGTAAGGATTCTGTCATATATACTGTCATATGATCTATATTTTCAATTATTATATTTTATACTTTATTACACTCTTTTAAAAAGCAGGGCAAAAAATAATCCCGAACAAATCTTGCGTAAGTTTACAGATAAAAGTAATTTACATTTATTTTGCACGCAAATATTAGCGTGATATCAATTAAGATTTAATTGTGTCACGTGTATACAACAGTGCATCAATGTGAAATACTTTTAAAATACATATGCAATGTATCAGTTTTCACAAGTCTTTGAAAATTAAATTACGCGAGATTTTTATCTTTATTAAATGAATTTAATTTGCGTTTTCTAGATGACGGAATTTATAGTAATTAATTTGACAAATACGTTGATGGATAAAACGATATATCGCTACCGTTTCTCTATTCTCATTCCTTTCATCTTCAGGGTCGCGTGATAGATACGCCGGAAGTGGCTCGAGCGAAAGCTGCGCACTTGGCAGCTTACAATCACATAGCTTCCTCAGCACCTGTCAGCGAGAATCATTCCCCGATTTACAATCATCATTATTATGGCGCTCCGCATAACAACCCTGAAGAAGAGCACTCTGGACACGCTCATCTCACCGACTATGATAATAATTATCACGGTTACGATGACGATGCTTACTGATTTTGTTAATTAAGGAAACACGGCATTGAAACCGCCTAATTATTGTATTTAATAGACACTGTATATAGATATAACGTGATAAAATTTAATTAATTGTAAAACTGGTATATTTTATGGAGAACGAACGTGTTTCTCAATTTTATGTAATTATATAGTGTAATCTTTCTTTGAGTTTCGCGATGCATCATAAATCATTTCTTATTCCACTTCGATTGTAACTTTCAGACTGAACCACAAGACTCATGATTATTATCTAAGATGTGTTTTGTATCATAAGAAATATAAAGCATCTTTTTTGTTGTTATCTGATTTCTCTTATTTCATATTATGACGTTGCTGCTATACTAGCTTAAATATTTCTTTAACTGAGAATATAACTTCTATAAATGAAAAAGATCAGATTAAGTTATAAAATATATCGCGTATATATTTTAATATTTTATATTTTAATATTGATGCTTTGTATACATGTAACAAAATTAAATCTTAATTAATATCACGATAATATTATTTACTTGGGTATAAATATAAATTATTTTTATCTGTAAAATAAAAGACCATGATTTTATATCGTGAAAATATTTAAATGGAATATATAGAATGTAGATAGATTTAAAAAAAATGATAGAATATCACTTGTCGTGTAGTTACAAGTGATTTAATTTAAGAGATATCTGTTACCTCGATACTATAAATAATACATGTGAGTGTCGAGAACCAATTAACGTATGCAACTCATGTAGGTATCAATATCAATATACAACTGCGACCTCGCAAACACATCGTCTCTTTTTTTATATTCGCGAATAAGTCCGAGGAATGATTGATTCGATCACTTAACTACATCCCGAATATGTCGCAGCCGAATTCAAGGCTCGCAACATTTCAGGTTTCTTTCAAGCAAGTGATTCCGAAATTAATATTTTAAAACGTTACTTACAATTGTAAGTTTTTTTCAATCCACAAAAAATACAAATGTCAAATACTTTGACAAATGATTTGTTACATTGATCAATTTCATAAATTAAATCTTTGATATTTATTTAATTTAATTAATCTATTTGTGTTTAATTAAATATTAAATATGATATCAATTATTCTTTCTATTTTTTTACTTGTTCGTCAAAAATTATTAAATATGATATCAATATTCTTTCTATTTTTTTACTTGTTCGTTAATTTTGCGGGAATTTCCTGAAGAAAGCAATTTTCCGTATAGGTGAATCTCAGCATCTTATCTAACTTGTAACCAGTAATTATCTTAACACGCAAAGAATCCGCCGTTCGCCTAACGACATGTAATCACTCGATCTTCCTAATCGGCATTTACGGATCGCCCCGAGATTGATGCTTTTCGGCCCACGCGTTACGTATGCTCGAAGGAATATGTCAAGTTGGTTTAGCTAATTGTAAATGTCGCTTAATGGGCATTTATAAGATACCCGCCTCGATTGCGACTTGTGCACTTATACTACTAATAGACAATAAGGTCATCGGGCGTGCCGAGATAATCTCGAATTCCAAGGAAAAGGGCTTTTGTTCCTCTAAGTTGTTGCGCGAGCTATGCGTTATTAAAACGCCCACGAAAGTATAGGAAAAATTCCGCATTTCAATTTCAGACAAATAAGGATGACTGAAAATTATTCGTATTTTTTTTTCACATAGAGATTGTTCAAACATTTCAAATACTGGTGTCACTGACTTTGCAAAATTATACGTATATGTATAATGTATATTAATTAGATATGTCTCTATTTTCTATCTATATATTAATAATTAATATATTAATTTTTAATATTTCTCAGAAATATACACTGTTATCGATTTTCAATTTTACTTTTTGATATCTTTTTTTAATGGCCCTTCTTACTATTTTTTTTATCAAATATTATTTTTATAATTATATTGTTTTTATCAATTATATATATATATATATTTTTCTCAATTATTTAAATGTTCAAAATTTTAATTATCAATCGATTATGAACTCACTCTATTTATATACAAATTATAATGGAATTATAACAATGCATTTAATGCAAATGAACCTCAACTCGAGCATTGTTCAACGATATTACGTTGGCGTAGAATGTAGAATATATTTACACTGATATAACATACTTGGAAAAGTGTTACAATTTATCATGTTTGTTTTCAATGATTGTTGTTAATAAATAATATAATAAAAATTAAAATGGATTAATATTACCAAAAGAGTAGCTCTCTAAATTAATTAACATTTTTTAATTTTAAAAAAACTTGTTTCTTTAGTAAAGTAATACTTTTCTAATCTCTTTCAATTTATATATACATATATTTGCGTTGTCGAGCGATATTCAACACCCATACAAAAAAAATACGAACAAATTACTACAATAATAGTTCTTCAATAATATATATTATTAAAGAAAAAAATGGTAAATTTTTTTATGTTCTTGTAGTTTTTTTTCGTACAAGAATATGCATGAAATTTGCACAAAGAGAATTTCGTCAGGAAGTAAGACCTTGGAGGTGAGATCCGTGAGGAATTTCCGACAGGGAGTAAAAAGACGTGATCGCGCACCTGATACACATGTCGGCCACCTCAAAGAGCAATCCGTTCCGTCCGCTCCGATCATCCAGGAAAAATCTTTCGATCTCGAGGACGGCACGATCGACCTTCATTCTGACCGGACGGGCGCTCTCTTTTTCTCTACGTCGCACTTCATATATTTTAATCATACCTCGTCTCCCTTTCCCTTCCATCTTTCGGTGGAAGCTTCGCTTTAATATCGGCAAGGACGGCCATTGATTCGGTTTCTTTCTCGATATACCGATAATTTATGGTAATAAGAGTGGAGAAATTCCCTTCTACCAAATATATACGCGATATGCAACCTTGTCATTTTTTTGTATAAAAATATTTAAATTCTTTGTCTATTAAGATAGGAATCTTAATAAAGAATTGATGCTATTAATAGATTATATGTGATTGTATTATAAAGAGCACAAATAAATATGCATTAAAGTTCCAGCAAAAAATTTAATGTTATCTAGATGAATTTTGCATTCTATCAATTTTATTTTCCTATTTGAATAGACATCTTTTTTATATACATTCCATTCGGACAATGACAGGATTAAATAATATTAATTAAATATTAATTAATATTAATTAATTAACACGTGCGATTCAAGACGGGAAATATAGATATCTATGTCATTTAATTATTACACAAAATTATTGTCACTTATACGCGCGAAGATAACGCGCTTATCAGTAAAATTTATTAACACGTTGCATAAATATTGTATGTATAAAAAAATCTACCCTTATATTTGTTATATTTATAGATTCCTCGCGAAAACAGTCATTAACTACCACTTTCGTGGTAATAAAGAAAGATTTATGAACTGAACCTGATTACCTTTACACATGCGATATCCCTCCAGCAAAAACCGATCGGTTCTTCGGCAAACCGCGCTAGACTTCCTGATATGTCGGACCCTTGACGTCAATGATCGCTCTTGACGATGATGATAAACGTGAGAGACTCTCGGCGAAAGAAGTAGCCGACAGTGACCTTGGTGATGCGTTTGCAGGTGCGAGGAGGAGAACATCCCTCTCCTTTCTCCCTAGAAGATTCAGGCAAGTACGGTATGGCAGGGTCTCATTAACGTAATGTCAATGTCAGCACTTTGAGACGTAATGATTTGCTGCAGGGCGTGGTCCCCACCTACGGGTCGACGACTCCCTACCAAGATTCACATATATAAAAGGAGATCCGAGTCTCGACACGGTGCGACATAGCAATCGCATACCTTAGGGCGAGTACTGGTAATCCAGCAGCGCACTGATAAGGCATGAAGGCTCTCGTAAGTATATCTGTTGGCGACAGATATCGACAGAGAGAGCCCTTTTCAAACTAGCATCTTACAAATAAAAGCTTAATTCGATTTAACTTAATCGCAATAACAATAATATTTGCTTATCGCAGCTTAATCAGTATTCTTCATCATCGCCTATCGACTCTTTTTCACACAATTAGATTTTTCGAATTCAATAGATTAAAAAAAAATAATGACACAAAAATTATCTTCGCAGATTGTTCTCTCCGCGCTCTGCGCTATTGCAACCGCACAGTCGGCTTATCTGGCTTATCACACCGGCGTGCCACTCGGACCGGACGGCAAGATCTTGGACACGCCGGAGGTGGCGCAGGCAAAGGCAGCGCATCTCGCTACCCAGGCTTACGAGGCCGCCAGAAACACGCTCGGCTACAGATACGCGCCCGCCCTGGCCATTTATGCACCTGCAATTACGTACGGCGCGCCCATCGGCGCGGACGGCCGAGTGGTAGACACACCTGAGGTCGCCCAGGCCAAGGCTGCCCATCTCGCCGCTCACGCCCAAGTACGAGACGTTCGCGTTTAAACACGATTGCACAATTCCAATTGTACTATGCTGGCGAATTGCGCAGAAATAGCTTGTGTCTCTTTAGAGAGGCGAGCTGTGCAATTTATATCGCTCCAATATTCCTTTTCTCTTCCAATTTCTTCGCAACAATTTTGACTGACGATTTTTCTTCACACAGGAGGCTGCCAAGACGGGCGGACTGATTCCATACGGGGCTCTGGCATATCATGCTCCTTCGCCTCTGCTCTACGCTTACGGTTACGCTCCACTTGCATCCGATGGCAGAGTACTAGACACCCCCGAAGTAGCGCAGGCTAAAGCCGCGCATCTCGCCGCACACGCTCAGGAGGCTGCCCGAAACGCTGCTTAACAAGTCTATATAATTATTAAACAATGATACACCACGCGTATCGATCAAAAATTGTCGCTTGATCTCCTGATCGGAAGAACCACGCTCTCTATGGATCTGAGGAAATTTTGATAATAAACCAACCATCTTCAAGTCATATCACGCAATTTGTATTATTGTTCCTTATTTAATCACACTCGGCGTATGATATTTTGAGCGTATAAAATTTTGTTTCCTATATTATGCGCGCGATTCGAGAATATAGAACATGACCAGGATGTTTAAATAAATTGGAAATATATATAAATGTAAGATTCCAACTATTATAAAATAATTTATAACAAAAATTCTAAAAAAAGAAAATTATCGACTATAGATATCATCAATTTGAATGAGCGTGTCCAATTTCGAGTGCTTTCCGTGCCATGGCTAATGCACCTTCTTTGGTTTGTGGCCGCCAATAAACCGAATGGAATGTACAAACACGGCACCTTCGATGCCGCAAGCATCCTCAAGCTTGTTGTCACGTAAACCACCCCACGCTTCCGGTAAAAACATCCTGCATATAAAACTGCCCACTGCTACCGGCACGCACTGAATCCGATAATTGTCATCTTTGAAAATGGTATACTTTATTAACGGTGTAATGTTCATTTCGCTTTCCAATTGAAACAAATGTTCCTTCCACGGTACCGCTTCCGACAACAATATTATCTCGCCGCTCGGATCAACCTTTCGAAAATATTTTACATTACATTTAAACATTTTTATAGTTAGAAACTTACATATATTATATATTTTTAAAAATTACTTACATTAAATCGATCCTCCACAGCGCGTTGTACGACATTCCTTGCCGGAAACCAAACGTTTTTTGCGTAATGTACGAATTCTAGAAATTCTTCCAAAACCAAAGCCATAGCTTTTTCAAATCGTTCCTCGACATTCACATCTTGATTATTCCATTGAGGATTAAGTCTGCTTACTCGCGCGCTTAAATCAGTAACTATTCGATATCTGAAACAGACAGAAGTGCAATATATCGAAAATAAAAAAATAATATATAACATACAGCGTTAAAAACACTTACAATGGTTCTGCGTCATACATCGGCACACCGTTATCTATAGCGTCAATTTCTTTGATTAAGGTATCGTAAACTTTTTTGAAAATCTCATCAATGACTCTGTCCTCTGTTACTTCTGGAAGTAAACTCTTCAATATTTCATGACCAAAGTGACAGTAGACCAAACCTGCGCTGCTTAATTTTACCGTCCATTTGTACTCTGGTTTCTTCATAACACTACTCACAGTTTCCTTAAATTCCCTGAAAAAAATTAATGTGTTGGAAGTTTACAGAACAGTATCTCATTATATATAATGAATCGTCATACCTCATATGATGATCGTATCGGTGCTTAGAGGGATCATATTCTCCACCGACATCCACTACAATATCACAGGTTTCTAAGACACTTTGAATTCGAGATCTAAAAATATAATGCAATACCAATGGATTCTGTAATTCAATGTAATCCTACTCACTTTGCTTCCATTACATTTTAATTACAAATAGTTTTCTCTCAATTCTGTCGACAGTGCCTTCAATTCCAAGAGTTATAAATAATTACCTCACAATAGAAGCATCCTTATACTGCGGTAACAACTTTAAGAGTGCACAGGCGAGTACCTCGTCGCAGTGAAAGGTACCATTGTGCGTGCCGATTTTGACAGCTGACTTCTCCGACATCGTCCTGAGCGTAGTAAAGTCGAAGCACCAATGTTCCCTCCGCTGGAGAAGACTATGTAAGACTCTACCGGAACGCGTACTTCTTAATAGTAGACTAAAAACTCCGATCATTATAGCAAATTACTAATTCTGATTTTACAATATATTTCATCGACTTATATAATTATTGAGCCTCACCAAATACTGATAAAGCAAAAGGATAAGCGTCTTGCGTCCTTTTGGATTCAGGTTAGATCTGCTTCAAACAACTTTGAAAAACACGCACGTGTTTACGAAATGTCAGTCGGTAAATGAACTTCGAAGATACCGCCATCTATAGTCATTTGAGAGAATTACTTAGACAAAATTTACTTTCCGACACTGCTGGAGGAAAATAAAAATATGTAAGTTACATAGAGGTTAATTTCGGCATAAGACCTAATCGGTCAAGTGCGTTCTTGTACGAGAAATCGTTTAAAAAAAAAAAAAAAAAAAAAAAAAAGAATATTGATACCTCTCGACATAACGAAATAGTGCAGAATAATTATATGCTAATCAAATTAGCTAAACTCTGGCTTTAAAATGCCGAAACGTCCTTGTCCTTACGAAGCAAACTTGCTGCCGCAGATGAAGGTGCACGTGGGACAGAGACAGATGAACAACGGCGTGTCGAGAGACGAACGGATGAAGAATATTTACGGTAAGAGCAGGGTTTGTTTTGTCACGTAAAGTTAAGTGTTCTGTGGAAATTTCAATTCATCTTTCTTTGTATACAATATTAATATTTTGACACTACCTTGTTATGGTTTAATATCTTGTTCCCATTTAATTTTTTAGATAAAACTCTGACTCTGCTCAAGACAGGTGCGAAAGCACTCTCCTATAAATTGAATGCATCTGTGCAAATGGATCCTGTAGAGCTATCTCCACTGCGACAATTGTCTCCTTGGAAATTAAAATCTACATCCAATCTAAAACAGATGGTACTGACTGATAAATTGCAACTGAAAGTTAGTGATAAAGTTATCAAGGTAAGTTTTGCATTTAATTTTTTACTGTAACTTGACTCGATGTCTATGTGTTTCTGCAACATTTCTTCTAGGATAGTCAGATGGATCTTTGCGGTTGTTGCCGGTTGATAGATCAATTTACAATAAGCAAATGTTATTACTGTGATCAGATACTATGTTCTTCCTGTCTGTCTACATGCGCCAGCTGTTCAGAAATGTTCTGTCAGAATTGCTCTCTACCTGTGTAAGTTATCAGCATGATGCACACTGTTGTTAGAGCTTTAAATAAATGCATGATTTGTAACTGAATTAATTTTTATTTCAGATATAATTGCGAAGAACAAACTATGTGTCTTAATTGTTACCGATAGTTCTCAAGGAAAAAAATATTTTTGTCAAAAAATTTCTTTACAAATATTCTGATATTTAAAAAATTTTGCTACTATAATTTTATATATGTGCATAAATTATTTGTATATAAATGCTGTTAATTTAGTAATTGAGAATATGAAGAATCTTATAATTATTACAAAATTTATGTACAAACAGTATTAAAATGTTCCATGAAATTGTTTTATATTATAATTGTTAGTGGAAATATATGTTAAGATAAATTGTAATGTATTATATGAAAATATTAACAAAGTTGCAAAGATAAAATATCTGTAAAAAGTGTATTTTTATAATTGATTAATCTTTGTTTCTAATTAATTAAAATCGTTAAAAATTAATTACAGAAAATAATACTTTAAATAAAATTGTCATTCTGAGTGTAATAACGTATACAAAATAAAAAAAATAAAGCTTAATTCTTTTATCGTTTTTTTCTCATTATTGAAAATACACTTGGATTTTTTAAGTTCTTTTTTAAACTAACAATAAGATAAAACGATAAAGTCAAAGATATATATTCGAAGATTCATTAAATTGAACAAAGCGCGTTTTTATTGTCCAATAAAATCGTTCTTGGCAATCGTTATTGGTCGATCAAGAAAGATAGATAAATTTCAAAAAATTTCTCCAATGAAATAAAGATTGATCACATAAGGTTGGTTAACTTAGCTTAACATTTTTCGCTACGTATTGTACATATTCGACAAAGGACTGAAAAGAGAACGTTCTGGACATTCGTTAGGAATAAAAGACTTTCTCGAATATTTCATAAATTATATCGAAACGTTTGAACAATATTTTTATTAGTTAAGATGGAAAATCAAGGTACGTAATTATAATCAGAAAATTAGCACGAAATTCACGTAAAATTAATCGCACAACTGAACGGCAATTTCCTTAGTTCGTTGACTTCTTTTCTATTTTCTTAAAATGATAAAATTATCGCAAAGTTTTATTCCCCAATTCATTAACCAAATTAAACAACAAAATGCTGCAAGTTTTTTTGAAACTTTATCTAAATTATTTTTTTGCAGTTTATGACAAACTGCTGATTTTTAATATATTGTTAATATAGGATATTGAATTGGGATTTGTATATATTGTTAAAGTAGAATTGATAATATGGAATATATTGTTAATATGGGATATTTCTTCTTTTTACCTTAGACTCAATAAAGAATGAAGCTGTAACAGAAGAATTTGAGACAATCCAATATATTCCAAAGATTGAGCCTGACAGTGCCAATGATGTGTATTTGCCAAATACATCAAATTCCATGGACCCGGAGAAAGATCCTCTTCAAGGTTGTGAAGATAAAGGAGTACATTATGAAGAGAGATATGTTTCTGTCGAAAATAAGGCATATAAACAAGATGAAATTACAGCGGACAAACAAATAATCAGTAATAAAACTAGAAAAAGTAATCGTTTGTCAGTAAGTAATGTCAGTAAGAAAGAAAATTTGAAGAAGACTATCTCGAATAAAGTAATCAAAAAGAGGACAACAAGGAAATCAAGTAAGACTGCACAGAGCACGATATCAAATGATATATTGTACAAAAAGTTTGCATCTGAAAAGGATGAAAATTTAATGCCACTTAAATACACTAATCCTAATAATACTACCGCATCTCAATATATTCCACATGGAATAGCAAAACAGGAGGAATCACTTAATTACAGTTTAAATAGAAACATGTTGCAATATCTAGATTACAATGATTTGAGACGTGAAAATTTGAAACAACAAATCTTAAATTCTCATTCTTGGTTGTTCACACCAAAAAATAATCAGAATTTCGCATTAAATAATATTAGCAATATACAAAATCAAGTAGGACAAACTAATTATATTAATGATCAATTCTATCATAATTCATACGCTACTGCTGATTATAATTCGAAACAAGGTGAAAATCCATATTTTCAGTCTTTGATTAAATCTGATTCTCATAAGTTATTTGGTACAGAAAACAAAGTTTTTCGTTGCTCCTGCAATTACTGTATAAATAGTGTGTGGAACAATACTGGCATCGAAGCTTTTCCAAAAGCAAACAATACATTCCAGCAAATAGCCGGTAATAATATTTCGAGTAATATTCCATTAGCTGCTACTTCTAATAATTTCTGGAATACAGGATCATTCAATTACTCTTCTTACCCATCATTACAAGCAGGTTACAACTTTAAAAGATTATTTTATAGTGGTTTCAATACAATGAACAATGTGAACGATAGCGGATTCAATGTCATGGCAAATAAAAATGTAATGTCTCCGTTAAATAACTGGAATACTTCTGTAAATCACTTATCAATTCCATATAATAGCAATTTAAACATTGCTATGGACACATCTATTACTTCTGAACCACATCCTGAACTGTCGTCTTCTCTTTATACAGGCAATATTAGCGCACAACTTAGTAATTATTATAACAAAGATCTGATGAAAGTAGATATGTCTCACAAGGAGAAAGATAATTTCAACTCATCCACATTAGCTATTTTTGAAAATTCATTATCTGCTACTAATACACATGGATTAGATTCTGACTCAACAAATACTTTGTCGCAAAACACTAACTCATCCAATGAAATAATGTATGACATGACAAATTTTGTTCCTGAAACAAATACAGTCAATAGATTTGAAGAATCTCCATCTTATACATATATTAAAGAGATGGATAAAAATTGGCAGTAGTACTTTTACAACATATCTAATATTTAAAAAACTTTTTTATTTTATATTATAGATTAGATTAGCAATATTTTTACACAAAAATGTAATATGATTTGTAATATTGCTAATAAGTTTTTTTTAACTATGTCCTTTAGAAAGTTCAGAAAGTTTTATAAGTTTATTTTTGTTAAAAGAAATATTTTGAGATATATATATATATATATATATATTTTTTAAGTAAAAACTTATATCAATATATATATACAATAATTTGTGTTAAGAGATTTTTGTTTATAATATATATAGATTTGCGTTTTATTAATGCAGGCATAATTGTAGCCTAGCATGTTTTTACATTTTAAATATCATTTACATTTTTAGTTTGCAAGCTGATTCAAGTATGTTTTTAAAATAATAAAAGAACAAATGTATAATTGAAAATTAAATATAATTACAATATATTTATATATTATATTTTTTTAATGTATATTATAGAATATAATTTTCTTCTACTACTATTTGAATTAAGTACATCTGTATGCAGCACAGAAAAATATACGTATAAAAAATACTGATATAAGACTTGTATGTGTTAACTGCTGTAAAAAAGTACTGTTATAAAAGATTTATAATTAAATTGACATGCATTCTTTTTTATACCTACAAAATATATAAAGCTTTTGAAGATGGTCAATTCACATATGCAAACATAAGTATCACTCAAAACTACTCGCAAAACAAAGTCTTGTATCAGTTATTGAGATTATTTTTTATGAATATCTTATATCTTTGTAATATGCGGCAGATAAAAATTATCTAATAAGTATCAATAATAAAATTATGAGTTGACTATTTATACAATTATTTCTCCGTTAATTATTAAAAACACGATATTAAAAATATAAATAAGGTTTCATTAATTTACTGCGAAATATAAGTCAATGGAAGAAACATTCGTTATACATAGCTCTGTAAAATTCATACAGGAGTTATATCCATAGGGTCTTTGGCATTTTTACAATAATTTGAAAAATTCACAGCCAAATCAATCTCGTCTACTTCCTCATCAAGAAGATAGCCCTCTGCATCGAGTTTTGACTTTCCAAATATTCTGTAAATAGATTTTACAAGACAGAGTTGGATAACAATTATTAAGGACAACCTCTATATATTAGTTAATTGCTTCCTCTATCAGTTTCTCTATTAATTAATTGACCACGCGTCACAGAAGTATTTTACAATAAATTAGTAATTGTAGATGTTTCTTATCACAGAAATGTTGCCACCATCAAAGTAGCTGTAAGTAGATATGTTAGTATGTTTTATAAATGGTACATATATTTCTCAATAATTTATTATTTTTACCAATAAAAAAATAACGAGAAATTATACCTGAAATGTATAAAAATAAAATATCTTGCATAAAGTATAATTACATTCTAATAAGCAGACAAAAAGCAATTATTATACAAGTCCATAATGAATAATTAAGATTGATTATAAGCAATAGATCTATCTGAAAATGCACATGAGTATTTATTCATAAAGTTTCTGTACAATAAAATTGCAAATTCATAATACATCCAACAGTTCATCAAATATTGCACACAACAATCCATAGATTTTATTAATTATTTACAAAATGCAGCATATGTAGCAAAAATATATTTATATATTGTATATATAGTCCGTGTTACATATAGTTTATTTCTTTCAAATTACACAAACTTTTTTAATCTCAGTCTTGTAATTTGTTGCAAATTACTCATCATTAATATTTCCAGAGAATAAGCGAAATATTTTCGAAAGAAAATCTAACACACAAATTGTAAATGCGACTAGCTCTAAAGAAACATTCTTGAATAAAGCAGTAATATAAATTAATATATGATCACGATTTACAGTTATCTATAAAAGTTGGAAAGAGAATTTCACCAATTTTATTATCAAATGCAAGTGATGGCATATGAAAAAAAAAATTAATTTTGACATATAGTTTCTCAAGAAATATTCACATTATTGTTGATGTTATAATTCAATATAGTTACAAGAAGGAAGTCACACACATGAAAATAATCAATATATAAATGTTGAAAGTAAATTAAATACAAAGGAATTATGTACAGGAAGCCTCGATAAGGTTACCAAATAAATATAATTAAATTATAAATTACAAATAATATTCCAAGCATAACATTTTTGCTAAATATTATTAGTTAGTTTAATTTGATTTAGTTCTTCAGCAACATATTATTCGTATTAATAATCTATGTGTGCATTAAGGAAGAGCGTGTATTATTATAAATAACTCTGATGCTGTACAAGATTAGTATAATAAATAATTAATGTTCTTCTTATGCTAGAAAATTAGCTGGTATATACATGCGTTTAAGCAATGGAGTTATTACAGTCCCGCGGGTTGTCTGAAAGCAGCACGTTCGTTTGCGCATACCTGGACAATGTTGACGTCGATCTGTTTATAACTGGTGCAACCGAATCGTCCAATCCACGATGAAGTGATATCGTGTCTAAATCGATCATTCGCGCTGTGGAGTGGGCGTGTATAGCTGCTAGGTATTCCGAAGTTTCCAACTTGGCTTTAGTCGGTTTCCGATAACTGTACAAAGAATCCCATTAAAATGCATGAATTGATAACCCGTTCGATTATGAAATAGATAACCCGACCACTAGAGAGATTCAAAGATAACAAAGATTTCAAATCTATTATTAATCTATAATTTGTAATATAATTAATAATCTAATTAATTAATAATTTATTATTAATCTAATTAAAGATTCGGCAATATCTGTATATACTTACAATTAATTAATAATTTATTATTAATCTAATTAAAGATTCGGCAATATCTGTATATACTTACAGTTTCAATAGTAAAGAACTTCCCACCACGGAAACTGAACTTAAAGCCATGGCGGCGGAAGACATCCACGGTTGGAGGAAGATCCCGAGGGAGCTAAATATTCCAGCAGCTATGGGGATGCCCAGGAGATTATAAATACTAGCGAATAAGAAATTCATTCTTATTCTACGGACCGTTCTCCGCGATAGATCCAAGCATGCAATCACATCCAAAAGATCGTTCTGCAACATAATGTGACGTTTTTTTTCTCGTGCAACAATCAGTAAGTCGCGTCATTTTTGCTTGTATACTGTTGAGGCTTACGCGCATCAGAACCACATCGGCAGCTTCTACAGCAACATCAGTGCCCGACGCGATGGCGATACCGACATCCGATTGAGCTAGAGCCGGACTGTCGTTGACGCCGTCTCCCACCATGGCGACTCTTAAACCCTGATCCTGTAGCCGTTGAATTTTGGCCACCTTGTGAGATGGTAACACTTCCGCGAAAACCCTGGAGATGCCAACCTATATATTCCCGAAGAAAAACGAAAAAAGTTAATAAATATGGATCTAGTTACGAAAATAAAATTCTTCTGCAACGGAATCTCCTTCATACCTGTCTGGCGATCGAAGCCGCGGTTTTCCTGTTATCACCTGTCAAAAGAATCACTTGCAAGCCCATTTTCTTCAAGGTGTAGACCGCGAGATGTGCCTCGGGTTTCACGGTGTCGGCGACGCTGATCATAGCGATCAGAATATTATTTACAGCAACTAAGACGGCAGTATGACCGAGATCCTCTTCGCTAACCATCCTCGCGTCGATCTCCTGTGGGATATTGATCGCATTCCGTCGCATCCATTCCCGATTACCGATGCAGACTTCGTACACGTCGTCGGCGGTGTTTCGATCGCCCTGCGAATCGGGACTTAACAGTAATTGCAGATCTAAGTTTTGCCTCTCCCGCGTCGACTCTACGATTGGCACATTGTCAACAGGCACGTCATTAAGATTATACGTCCCGGCCGGCGCATTGCTCGTCTGATTCACGTAGTTAATGATTTTCTCGGACTTCAGAGCATCGGACAGAGCAACGCTTAGGTGGGACACCTTACATTTGAGGCCGCAACCAGCAACCGCTTGAAAATTCGAACACTGTCCGGTAGCACCCGATCCAATCGTATCTTTCACGTAGCGTACGATTGCTTAAAAAGGAAAAAATAACAATTATTGAGCGATTCAATGTAATTACAAAAAATGTGATACTTACCCGACGCAATAGGATGTTCGCTGTTTATTTCCGCCGTGCCGACGACCAACAGCAATTTTGCCAAGGAGCAGACCTTCTCGTTCACGAACAAACCGATTTTGGTAACAATCGGTACACCGTGCGTCAACGTTCCCGTCTTGTCGAAGACTATGCATTTAACTTTGTGCGCATTTTCCAGCGGTTCGGCACCCTTGATCAGAATACCGTTCAACGCACCTACCCCCGTACCGACCATAACCGCGGTTGGGGTAGCCAAGCCGAGTGCGCAAGGACAGGCAATCGCGAGTACCGCCAGGGCACTCCGAAAAGCATACTGAAATATGATCTCCTCACGATTCATGCCGTGTTTATTAATCTGGTCGTTGTGCAATATGGGCAGCTGGTTGACGTTCATGTAGCCGACGGTGATCCAGATTATCAGTGTCACTATAGAGACAACTATAACCAGAGGTATGAAATAACCAGCTATCTTGTCCGCCAGCTGTTGAATCGGCGCCTTGTTTGTTTGCGCTTCTTCTACTAAGCGAACGATCTGCGCCAGCGTCGTATGCTCGCCCGTGTGCGTGGCGATGATCAACAACGGTCCGTTTTGATTGATCGAGCCGCCGATTACCACCGAGCCCTTCTTCTTCGGCACCGGCATACTCTCACCCGTAATCAGACTCTCATCACAGGTCGACTGACCGAGCAACACGCGGCCGTCGACGGGCACTTTGGCGCCCTGAACTACCTTCAGCACGTCGTCGCGTTGCACTAGATCGATGCTGATTAAACGCTCGGATAGTATTTCGTTATTCGGACCTAGCGTGACTAATACCGCATCTGTGGCTTTCAAAGATAGCAATTTCGAAAGAGCTTCGGATGTTTTCCCCTGAAAGCAAAGCGTATTTTTGATATCTTGTATATCTTTTCGCAGACGTAATTTATTCAGTCATCGTTGAAAAGATACCTTTGCCACGTGTTCAAGCCATCTTCCTAGACTGATGAAGACTAGTAACATCGGCGGAGTGTCGAAGAACGTCTGTGGACTGACATTCTCTTGCATTATCATAGCAGCACTTAGAACTGCGACAGAGTAAATGTAGGAGATCGTAGTCGTCATTGAGATTAAAACATCCATGTTGGTCGTACAGTGTTTCAGAGCTTTGTAGGCTTGTACGTAGAAATGCCAGCCGCCGAAAAACTGTGCAATAACGCAGAAACGGTTAATCTAAATCGTGCGTAACTGAACAAGCGAGAGATAAACGTTCCATCTCGTTGTGCATACCTGCACCGGTGTTGAGAAGATAAAGAGTATTAGATTTTCCAGGGAGAGACCAGGCACTATGCAACACATTTCCTCATGTGTTTTGTTACCAATGGACATTGTTAACATGAAGTATGTCATTGCTATCATACACGGAACTCCAAAGATCAATGATATCAAAAACGCCGTTCGCCATTTGCTTATTTCTTCTCTGTAACGCGAAAAATAATCATTCAAAAAACAACTCCTATCTCACTATCTTACGCGTATCTGAAGAGAATTATACTTACTTTTGATCTAAGTAATCTCTATTCTCTTTATCTCGGTTACTTAACAAACTTGCCGAGAAGCCTAATTTATTAATACTTTCGACAATATCCCTAACACCGTTCTTTTCTACGTCGTACTTAAACTTTCCTCGTTGCGTCGCGAGAGCAACCACCGCTGATCGTATACCAGGTAATTTCTTCACGGTTGACTCTATTTTATTTACGCATGATGCGCATGTCATACCCAAGATCTGAAATTAGTTTAATTCATTATTTAATTAATCAATTAATTATAAAAATAATTAATTAACAAAAACATAATGCATTATATAAATGTTATATAATATTATATATAAATCTATTACTGTCAATCTAAAATTATAGATTAATTGTTTAATTATCTTACTTTTAATTCGATCTCGCCTTCTCCGGTCCCGGATTCTTCAATTAAAGTCGTAGGAAAGCCCAATTCCGATATACTGGAAACAATATCCACTGCTCTTATTTTATCGGGATCATATGTGACCTCCGCCTTGGCGGCCATCAACGCCACCAATATGTTGTTTACGCCATATAATTTTTTACAGTGCTTTTCTATCGCGGTGACGCAGGAAGCGCAAGTCATACCCTTTAATAGGCAAATAAATCCATTAGCTGTTAATCGCTATACTATTGTATGGAGAAGTTTAAATGAATGAACTTATAAAATTGAAGAGTGAAGTATAACATACCGTTATATGTAAAAAACATTTTGATAATTGTCTCTTGACATCACCGACGCCATTCGCTTGCATCAATTCCGTCTTTTTATTATTATTGACAATCGCATGCGATTTCACAGCTTTATCGTCCACTTCCTTCACGTATGCAGTGAAACCCATGTCTTCTATATACGCTGCTATCTGATCAGCTGTTACGTCGCCGCTGCTGTAAGAGACTTTGGCTTCCTTATCTTCAAGACTAACATTCACGTCCTTTATACTGGGTTTTTCGGATAGAACACCTGCCAAACATACACACAATTCCTATAAAAATGTGCCTACAATATATATGATCCGCGGATATAATTTGAAGATAAAAAACTTTACAAAGTTTTAAATTAATAAATTTAACAATTTTTGCTTACACAAGATATAAACAAAAGTATTTCTTTCCACAGAATTTTATCCAGACTCACCGGTGATGTTTTTAACGCACGACGAACAAGTCATTCCGTCCACGTGTATGCTGCAGGTGCTGCTGGTAGATACTACGGGGATAAGGGTATTCGCAGTTTCGTTATTCGCGATGTCGTCGGACGTGGGTAGACTGACGGTGAATCCCATATCCTCGATCGCGTCCCCTAATTCTCGCGGCGTCGTCTCGCGTGTTCTGTACTCGATGTAGCCGGCCATCTCCTCCAGGACCACCCTGATATTGACGACGTCCGGCCGCTCGCCGATCATTCCCTCGATATTCCTCACGCAACTCTGGCAGGTCATACCCTGGATGCCGATTTTAATCGTGCTGATCTCATTCGTGGAATACCGCGTTTCCGACTCCCGGGGCACCAGATGCGCCGTACCCTCGAAATCGGTGTCGTCATCGCCATCCCTTTAACAATTTTTACAGAAAATTCAGATATTTGTTGGATTTCTCCAGATATTTCTCAATAAGAGCAGAAAGTGTATATATTTGATCTTGTATATATTACTTTCATGACGCAGTGTCTTGTAATTAAAATTGAAATATAATGAGCGGAAATGATAAAAATTCCAATTAATATAATAATAATTAAATTTAATTAATTTTGTATTAAAATATCTTTAAAGATAAATTGTTTTCCTGGGAATAAAATTGTTAATTGCTTTAACAAATTAATTATGTGTATGATGTGAAAAAATACACATGTTTATATTATCTTCAATTTATATTAGATACAGAGATATACCTACACATTATGTCCATTATGTCTATTGATAAGACTGATAAAATATTTTGTATATTTAGATATTTTTTAACAATGCTAGCCAAACAACCCACACTACGCCCCCCCCCCCCATTTATCGGTTTTATATTAAGAAGATTGATATTTAAAAAACATAACATAAAGTTTATTTAAATTTATCCATTAATCTCCTTCGACAAAAAACAGCTGATTAAAGAGTTAATTTGCTAATTAAATTTTAGTTGTGTTAATTCCAAATCTTATTAGGTTTTTATATTTATCCATCATCAACACAAAAATTATTTCATTTCTATATAGAAAGATAGACCGTATAGGTGTATCATTTAATTGAAATAATCAACAAATCAGACTGAAATTGCATTTTTAATATAGATAAATAATTAAATGTTTATATTAATAAAATGTCACAAAAGTAAAAATAATATATTTTAAATATGTTATCATATACTTTAAATTGGATTAATAGTCTTTAAATATTTTTGACAGTTATCAGCTGATTTCTGTCAAAAAATATTAATCGAGTATAGTATAGATATACCAAAAGCGATGATACAAACTTCGATACAATCGAATAATCAATTTTACATGCTCTTTTTAATAATGACACATTTTAACAAATGTTTGTAATAGATTATATGTCAATATATGTATAAGATGGTGATAAAAGTACTGAAAGATGGCCTATTTGCGAAATAAATTATTACGATGATTTCGCAATACTTTAAACCGATTAATGTTTTGTTTATTCTATAGTTATCTTTTTTATTAATTCATGCAATACACATTTCTATACGATAAGTTGCACTGAAAAGTGTTGTATTCATTATTTCGCGAATACAATACATCATGATCAAAACACGGAAGAAACTTCAATCAATGATTTATCGTTGATTTTGTCAAAAATTTTCGCTTCTTTATCCACAATCCACGTCTCACAGATAACGATATCTCGATAGCAGATTTTTCCGACTTTTTTCAACAACGTAACATATGCTGAACAGATAAGCAGAGAAACTAATAATTAGACAGCAATATAAATTATTTACTCAAAATGCAGAAAAAAGCTGTTCTATCATATAACTTAATTCGTTTTCTTGATCAAATAACAAGATTAATATCTCGCAGATTTGTTTTATTTAATTATACTTTCCAAAGCTTGAATATACTCTGTTATCTTATATTAGTGAAAGATATAATGAAATCCATAGCTAAAGATCGCTTTCGAGAGCATCAATCGAAATTATAGTTCTATCCGATTTTGTCGATTCTACATCTATAAAAACCCATTTAAAAATCACAGATGTTTAACTAAATTTTACAAAAATAGTTTAAAAAAATAGATATCAAATCTTCCTAAAAATATACAACACCAATTGGAGTACTTGACAAAGCTTACCAGATGATATCGAAGGCGCCATAAGTTTTATTAAGAAGAGGTTGTTCGTCCTCTTCTTTCATCATTCAAGAAGAGATTGAAGTTTCTCGATCAACACTATTAAAAATTGCTCCGCGGTTCTTTACCTTAATTTCGACTCTTGAAACTTATCTATTTCTTATCAATCGAGTATAGTATAGATAAGAACGATTTTCGCCTCTTTGTGGACAAAGTTGTATTTTTGAAAACCATGTAGAACTTTGTTACACCAATTTTAGTCAACCGATAAACGATAACAATAAGATTGATAAAAAAATTACAATTGATTTTATCAAATAATTTTTATTAAAATTCAATCATTTTTGGAAAATTACTCTGAAAAGATAATTATATCTTGAGAAATAATTGTTTCGAGAAATTTCTATTCATGCGTATTGTTGGAAAAGATAAGCTTTTAACTTTTTGCTAATTAAGTTAATACAACTACTATATCATGTATTGGAATAGATAAAATAGATCTGGTTAGTAATTGCTGAAAGAAAAACAAGGAGCACGAATTTCCGTAAGATTAAAATGTTCAAAGGAAATTCTAATCACGTTGCGATAAGAATCGTGATGAGTTGCAATTTCAATTTAATCACCGTTAATCGTCATTTAGAAAAAATGAAGGCTCTATAAACCATCGTCTATTTATTTGGAAAAAATTGCGACGTATTGTGGAGAGAAAAGAACGTGATCGATCTCTCTCCTATTGATGATGTGCGTAAAAAGAAATCGTTTCTCCGTCGATTGCAATTTCCATCGAGCGAGTCTCGTTGAAGGTGGGGACACCAAAATATACACACTCTCGACACGAATTGATATCACTGAACGACTGATAATTCCTCCCAGTAATCGCTATCCCATGGACAGTTGCTCACGGTTCGCTCTTTTTGCTCACGGCACTTCTTCCGCCGAGAATATAAGAGAGCCGAACAACAATCGAGCCTGCTGATATACGCGATTATACTACAATAATGAAGTAAAACGAGAACTCTTCAGACAATTTTGCATTGCAAAATGCTGCTAATGCGAAAGAAAAAATATTCATCGAATGTATAAGTATACACAGGTCGTATAATTTTTCAAAGATCGTGAGAAATGATTGTTCGATGAAGAGCGAATACTTTAAATTCCATGTCATCCATCAAGGAATAATTAAAACCGGATTAATTTTGCCGCCATCGAGAAATACGAAATGAAATTCCATCCTGCGTTTTTCTCTTCTTGCATCAATTTCAAGGAAGTAATCTCTTTCTTCAATTTTTATTTATAATTTTGATAAATTTTTACGATTTATATAATAAAGTAAAATTAGACAATAGGATGCTTCATCATTTCTTTTCATTGAATCGTTATTTTCTACGCGGAGAAAATATTATAGTAAAAATTATAATTTTTTAAATCGTGGAACATATAAGAGAAATTACAATATTTGTAATCAATAATATTTTACAAAGAATGTAATTATTCAAACATTTTAATGCACACACAAATGCAAAATCGTTAACAAACAATAAAGCAAATGCATAATTAACAATTTTTATAATAATAAATATTTTAATAACGTTATATTCTAGCTTTACAATAAATGCTGCAAAAGGTGATGCATTTTTCAGTAATTTGTACTCTAAATTTTTCTTCGTGTAGATGTGCGAGTTTGTTAATCATTGGATCTTATCACGAATGGAATCTCAAACTAAACAGAGTGTACGCGCGATAAATCGAATATTATCAAAGGAGTGATTGTGGTGTGCTGAGGTAAAACAAAACTTTCGGCCGATTTTGTATTGCAAAATATTGCTAGCTCAAAAAAAATTGATCTCTCAGTTTATCAGCTCGTTTATAAATATATCTTACGTGTACAAATCATACAGAGAACTGTCGATCTTAATTTTAATGAGCGTGAAAGTCACCGCGATTTGAGTAAAAGGCCTTCACGCTTTCTGCTCATGATGAACTTTCATCTGGCAAGCTTGACGCATATCTACGCATGTCTTATTCATAGAATAGATAGTGCGGAATGTACAAAAGGAACTAACGCTAGTTTCATTCTAACAAAATATATGCAAGATATATTTGAAGATTTAAAGACTCCTCTGCGAAGAGATTCTCCTCTGAGAAAATGTGTGGAGTTAAAAAAATCAACGCGCGAAATATTAGCTCTTCGAAATCAGCTTTAAGATAATTTATTGTTAAAAATTATGCAAGATATATTTGAAGATTTAAAAACTCCTTCGTGAAGAGATTCTCCTGAGAAAACGTGTGGAGTTAAAAAAAATCAACGCGCAAAATATTGTATTAACTCTTCGCAATCGGCTTAAAAAGATATTTTATTATTAAAAATAATCATACTGACCCGAGCAGCCTAATATTTTCGCGTGATCTCGAGCGGTCCATATCATTCGCCACTGAAATATCCGTTAAATCGCGATACACCAGTTTCATGCGATGAACCAACGGACCCGTGAACTTGGTCATCTCGTGTCAGATTAAACGGCGCGATATACGATATACTTTTATTCTCGTCACACGAGAACTCGCGATTTATTGTTACATCACGTTAGCACAAGGCATAATATTTCTCTTGAGGCTCTGCTATTTTCAGAAACAATATAATCACATCACTATAAAAAAATGAGACAGAGAACAGGAACTGTAGGCGACCACGAGCCGAGCGATAATTCGTTTAAGTAAACATCATCGTGAGCCTAGAAAGACCTTCCACAACGAAACTCACTTTCAAATTCTCAAATCGATCATTATCACAACGTTGTAACATTCCATTTCTTCGCACACACAAGTAACAGCACTATATTATATTTTATATTTAAAAAATACAAATAAGATTGAAAAGTGAAATATAATGAAGTTTTTTTTAGATATACGTGACAAATATGCGACAAAATTACCGTAGTACTTTATATGAAAAACGGTACGTGTTTAACGAACATAAGTTAAGGCAAGAGTAATATACTAGGAACTAAATACAGGTTCCGACTGCCTGAATCGACTACTTGAATCAAGTATAACGCGGACGAGAGAGAAAGGCGTGCTCCAGATCGCGATACCTTCCGCGAGATTGAATATACTATGCATGATGGAAAGAGCGAGAAAAAAAAATCCCCTTACTCCGACGCAAAATACCTTAATATTCTCCGATATTAAATTTTGGAGTAAAATAAAATATCTGCAGGGAGAGAATTTTCTTTTAGAATTTACCCTGAAAATCATGGAAATCGACAATCGAAATAAGACAATATATGGTATTAAAAAATTGTATAAGAGTTTCTCTGATTAATATTTACTACAATAAAAAAATATTAATATGTACATAGTGAATTTTACAAATTAATCAAATATATTTTATATTGTGATAAATATTAATATTTTTATTATGGTAAATATTAATCAAAGAAATTTTTATAAAATTTTTCCAATATATTATATGACGATTACCATGATTTTCAAGGTAAATTGTAAAAGAAAATTCTCTTTGTGTACAATGTTGATTTTATATATTTGTCCCGAAACTAGATCCCGGAACTAGATGAATATCATTACTTGTATTTTTGATACTTACGTAATAAAACGTAAACGCAAATTATTTTTACTATCTTTGCTAGATGAATAAACTCTCTAATAATAAATTATAATTGACAACTGATACGTAATTAATATTCGGAATCCAATTGTAGATTAGTAACGTTGCAAAGTAAAAATATCTATAATATCCTTTGATATATATGTGTGTAAAATATCTTTATAAAATATATTACGAATATACAATTTACAAATAACTGTTAGTTAAATTCTTTGAAATTATTATATTTAAAAATAATCATGATAAGAATATTTTAGCTATTTTATTATAAAGATATATTGTTGTTATAAAGATTTTATTTGAGAAATTCGTTGATAATAAATGCCTCTAATTACTTAAGATATATACATTTTCAGATAATCACGTATGTAATAAATGTCTTCCGCAAAGCAAGATTAAATAGATAAAATATCTTTCTAAAAAAAAAAAAAAAAAAAAAAATTATTCGATTAATTTAAAGTCAATCAATCTTTCCTTGCCGTAAAAATTTTCCTTTATTTAATTTTCAATATTATTTGCAATTAAATAATATTTGCCCGATATACACATATATTTTAATAAAAACAACAGTTACATTTGCTTCTTCTATTCATGCATGCAGTTTTTCTTAATACCTATTAAAACGAGCGAATCGAGAACAACATTTAATTTATTGTCGCGATTGCTGTTTATCACGAGACACCGAGGATCGCAATGCTACGTGCTTGTGTTTTAATAAAGTGAGAATGAGGATTAATCCAATTTCGCCGGTCAGAAGCTCTGGAGATCTATTTCTCACCAAACTTTTGGATTTCATCAATGAATGATGAATCTTCAAACGGAAAATACGCTGATTATAAATGATTGGGAATAATGATAGAAAAATAATGACGCTCGTAAGTGTGATTCATCATACCCGGAAGTGTGGAAATTCCTAGAAAATCTCAAATACTTCCATGATAATAATAAAACGACTTACCAAAGTGTCTCGAGTAACACATTGTATTTCCAGGAATCTTTAGACTTTCGCACCATTTCGCCACGTCACTCCGAAAAGAATTCCCCGAATTCTATGAATTCCTCGAATATCTCGTGTGCTTTAATTAAACCGATTTTTTCGCCTCTTCTATCCACGCGATCGTTTCTCTCTCTCTCTCTCTGTCTCTCTATGATTTGTCGCGTCTCCCCGAAACGAGGCGTGTATAATTAAAGCATAAAGAAATTGTCATGGTACATCTCACTTATTATAAGAGTTCGATTATGAATTGATGATCCACCGGACTCTATGCACACGCGATAACACGCAAGAGAACACACGAAGCACCTGTTAATACATCCAGATTATACTCTGCAAGCGAACTCGGGACGACGATCTATAAAACTCAAGTTTCGATATTTGATTGGTGCTCCGGTTACGAAATGACGCTACAGGGATGCTTTCGTAACTATGTTATTAAACAGTGTCATGTTCTCGTGCTTGTGTGCTTAGTCTATGTAAATCATGCGCGTAATAAAAGAATTCGATTACCATCAAATGCATCGCGTCAATAACATCGCATTTTTATTCATATAATTATGCGAGTTTTAAGGAATTTTCTTACGCGTCGCAGAAATTGAGATTTGCCAAGATAAATGTCTTATTTCAAGAAACTGTCGTGTGTTGGACCAAGAAATTCGGCTACATTTAAATAATCGTTAATTACTTATAAAAAAAGTTTAATTCAATTCACAATTATATATATAATTATATATTAATACATATCTAATATATAATATATAATATAATATAATTGTGATTTTTGAATTAAATATTTTTTTATTATTTATAATATAATTATGATTTAAATTGAACAATTTTTTCACGCACAAAAAAAGTAGGCAAAAAAATCGAGCACTTTGTCTGACAAAAAACTATGCGGCCTTGCATGAATCGAGTCGACAAAACTATTTTTGAACTGATAGTCAAACAATGCATGAGTGGGTATTTAAGGTAAACTTTAGACCTTGTTAATAATTTATCGAACGTGATAACGTGGCAAATGTTGTTTGGAGCTGTTTCGTTTAAACACAATTAAAATATAATTATATAGAGCTCTCGGTGAAACCGAGCGCGACCAACTAAGTCGTTTTTGTATGCAAATGTTATATGAATGATGATGCACAGCTTACATAGCGGTTTATATAGGCAGACAGAAACAGATAAGATAAAAACGAAACGATAGACCTCCTTGGGAGTTTCTTTTTAATGCTGCAAGGATATACCTTTTACACGAGCATTCTTGTTAACTAGATATTAAAAATTAAAATCAATGCCACAGTCTTTACACATGACTTACTGGCAAAATGTTCTAAGATTATCTTGACGATTGTAAATTATATTAAATCAATTGGAAAATATTTTTCTATTCAGAGAGAGAGATACTTTTGTCTCTCTTTTTTCGTTTCTCTTCATTTGATATCAGGATAAACATTCAAAAGAAATTATATATTCATATAGAAAATGTCTTACTCACTTTTTTCTAAATTGGATGTCAACCTTGTCAATCCCAGTATCATTTCTATCATCTGTAACAAAAAGTAACTATTATATTATCAAAGAATCCTCTAAATATTTCATGAATCGTACTGTTTCTTATTATGATACAAAAACTTTTGAAAACTCTTTCCATATAATATAGAAAAACCAAACAATAAGATTTCTTATCTTGATCATTTCAACATTTTGTACTCACCTCTATCTGTATTCATGTGATCCACAGTCCCCTGACATTCATCTACCTTCGTCATATTTATGCTCCTCTGTAATCAAATAAAGTTCAAAGACATTAAAGCGAATTATGTCAACCAACTGTCTCTATTCTCGGCATTCACTTCATAGAAGTTACTCATACACATAAAAAGAAACATACAGATATACAGACACACAAGAATGTTTTTCACATCCACTTTCGAGTACACACATTCCAACAAACACATTCGCCTTATATATACGTACCATTCAACATACGCGTCTTCTTCTTACGATTCTTCATATGGGGTTCTAACCTAAAGGCGTTGTCCGCCTGAAACTCGATCACGATATTCGGGAAGAAAGAACACCGTGCATCGTTTTCTTTCACTCTTTCTCAAAGACGCAACGAAAGAAAGGCGATAGATTAATCTCGCACGGAGATTGATCTATGTCCGCGGAGAGTCAAACGCACGATCCCGACTCCGAAATCACGCGGCACGACACGCACAAAGGAAGAAGCGAGACGCAAGACGCTAGTCGCGACGCGTGCAAAAAATGCACACTCGCCTGTCAACTCGCCGCGCGAGCCCACGTGACTTCGCGATCGACTATCGATATCGATATATCGAGACGAGCGCACAGCTGACGCGCGCAACTGACAGCTGACATTGCGCGCAATTTTGCGTATGAGCTGATATTCCGATATGATTCAAGCTGAAAAACACTGAATTTTTATTTACTATTATTATTAAAATTTTTTTAGTACAATATATGCCTGATATATTTTGTTTTCAATTTTAATCTCATAAAAAAAGTTACATCGTTATGCAAACAAAATCGTAATAATTACATTAATATATTGTTGAGGAGAAAAATTAAGTTTCTTCCTTTTCCCTACTTTTTAAATTGAGAAAATTAAATGTTTAATTTATGCGCTCATCCTATAATTAATCAATTTATCATATATGTGTTCGATTAAATTGATGATACTTATATAAGGAAAGAGACTAAAATCATTGTGCAATCACAGATATACTGAAATTTTTTACATTTTCTCGCATATATTTCTCGTTTTACTTTATAATATTAATTTGTTTTCATTACAATTATATGGCACTATAATTAATTATTGACTAATAAATACGTGTATATAATGAACAATTAATGGTCTAATTTTTGTAATTACGTGATTATAAGTAAACAGAAAATAACGTTCGAAAATGAAGAAAAATGATCCTCAAAATAAAATAAAATCTCGAGAATTAATTGTACTTGACTGTTCCTTGAAAATTAATATTTATCCGCGATATTTTGAGTGTTTTGTGAAAGAATACCTTTGATCCTGTGAGGTTAGAATCGTGCGAATGCGAGGTTAGTCACTCGCTCTTATGAGAGATCGTCAACAGTGATTAAGATCCAAGAATTGCCGCAGGTACACGTCAACAAATCCGATTGTTCCATGTGCAAGTCTACGGGCGGTCGCAAGCATGATCCTTCACTTTTTAACGTAAGGACACTGGATTAAAACAGCTCATTAGTGCGATCCTCTGCATGGTGTGTAATTGCTAATTGAGCTTTCTTCTAGAGATAGAAATTCCTTTTAATCTGTAACATAGTTTTATTTTTTTACTTCTCTTTCTGATCAGATTAGATTTTATTTTATGTTATTCTGGTTTAACTTAAAGAATATAAAACTTATTATATTATAAAATTAGTATTTGCTATGCAATTTAATTAGCTTGTAGTTTTTATTATTAAATCTTGCTTATATACTGAAATATTATATTCTATATTATATTATAGAATGTATTTATAGAGATATTTTTATTGAAATGTATCTATAGGAGAAATTTGTTTATAAACTTACTATATTACAGGACATTCGTCATTCTACCCATAAACATGTTGTTACTAGTAGCAGTGTGTAACTTAATTTGCATACTTGTTGCTTTGCCAATCCTATTGATAAAATGGAGAAGGTGTTACTCCAAGAAGCGGGAGGAGAGACAACAGAGAGGTACAGTTATCGGAATCTTTCATCCATATTGCAATGCAGGTGGAGGAGGTGAGAGAGTGCTTTGGGCTGCAGTTCAAGCTATACAGAATAAGTACGTGTCTCAATATAATTTGTAGCAACTAATATTAAGAAATTAATAATCTATCAAATTTGAAATATATTTGTCATTATAATATTATTATTGAATACCTCTAGATATCCTGATGTACACATAGCTATATATACTGGTGATCTTGATGCTGAACCCGAAAAGATTCTTAAGAGAACCGAAAAGACATTCGATGTTAAATTACGTTCAAACATTGAATTCGTCTATCTACACAGACGAAAATGGGTGGAAGCTTCCATGTATCCTTATTTCACATTGCTGGGGCAAAGTCTAGGATCTGTCTGGTTGGGCATCGAAGCATTGAACAGTCTTCCACCAGGTGACATGAATTATTTTATATATTCAGAATACTATCATACAATTTCTATATATTAAACAAAAGATATATAAAAGTACACAAATAAAATTATACACATGTTGCAGACATATACATCGACACAATGGGTTACGCATTTACGTATCCTTTATTTAAATATATCGGTGGTTGTCGGGTCGGATCGTACACACATTATCCCACCATTTCGACCGATATGTTAAGACATGTTTATAGAAGAGTAATCTCGCACAACAACCGACGAATCATTGCCAGAAATCCGATTTTCTCAGGAGCAAAAATCATTTACTATAAATTATTTGCACTTGTAAGTGTATATACAATTACAATATATGTTTACAGATACAAAATTGAATGAATTATTTTATCAAAATAAAATAAGATATATTACCTTCAAACAATTGATATTAAATTATTGCAGTTGTATGGATTAGTCGGTAGTTGCGCCGAAACTGTCATGGTAAACTCCTCGTGGACCGAAGAACATATCAATTATATCTGGAAATGTCCATTAAAGACGCATCGAGTGTATCCTCCATGTAATGTAGAGCATCTGCTCAAATTGCCGTTTCTCAGTGATGAAGAAAAAGGTGGAATACGAATAGTGTCGATCGCACAATTCAGACCCGAAAAGAATCATCCGCTCATGTTGAGAGCCATGTTCGAACTAAGATCAATTCTTAAAGAGGAAGTTTGGGAAAGAGTAAGCTAACGATTTACTTCGAAAAGAGAGATAAAAATATATCCTAAAATTAATTATATATTATTTAGGTCAAATTAATCTGCATCGGTTCCTGTCGAGACGCAGAGGATGAAGCGCGCGTCAAGGACATGCAAGATTTGGCTAAACACTTGGCTTTAGAGGAAAATGTCGAGTTCAAATTGAATATACCATTCTCCGATCTCGTGTCAGAGATGCAAAAAGGAACAATTGGTCTGCATACTATGTGGAACGAACATTTTGGTATCAGCATTGTGGAATGCATGGCTGCAGGCTTGATTATGGTGGCCCATGCTTCTGGTGGACCAAGGTATATATTAGGAACAACTTTATAATAAACAGTTATTTTTTACTTAATCTGTTTTATGATTCTAGGGCAGACATCATAGAAACGCAGACGGGTAGTGTGACTGGTTTCCTGGCAGAAGATGAAGAAGAATATGCGAAAGTATTAGCGTACATTATACACATGCATCCGGACGAACGAAATGCTATTAAAGTTGCCGCAAGGTATACATATTCATAATTATTTAATATTAAAACGAAAAAATTCATTATTTCTTCTTTCCAGATCATCTGTAAATCGTTTCTCGTGTCAGCTCTTCGAGAAGGAATTTCTACGAGCGCTGGAGCCGTTTTTTCGAACGAAACAAGAGTAATTTTGTTGCCTTATAATTTTCCTAAGTGGTAAATACATTACACTGATGTGTGTAATTTATTTTAAAATTAAAATGCGCATTTTCAGTACATGTTACATTATCCTGTATATGTAATAGCATGTGTATATAACAAATAAGTGTGTTTTCTATGTAACAAATCAATATTTACTCGTTGAGAGATGCGAGACTTACTCTACTCCATTAATTTTAGAATACAATACATTAGAATAATCATGATTTAGCGTACACTACATTATGTAACAATAATTGTTAATAAAATGTAATATTTATTCAAACGACTTCTCGTTCAAAATTCTAGAAATATTATGTATATATATATATATATATAGAAAAATTATGAAAGTATGTTAATATATCGATGTTGCAATTTACTTACTGTAACAGCAAATGCAAGAGCCAATTATTTGTACGACATAACAGTTATTCCAAAACATATGTGAATTATAAAGCATCGTATGGTCATTGTTTAACCAAATTTTCATTAATTAATCCACATCCCTGACACTCTAGAACATAGGACAAAGTGTCTCCGCCTTCAGCGCTTTCCGACAAATTGAAAGCAAGTCCGCGTTTACCTAGCATCATTTCTGCGACCTGCATAGCGGTTTCTGTATGACAAGTGAGCTTCTTTTCTCCGACTTTAAGCTTTGAAGTACCTTTTGCCAGTGCCATTAGAATTATCATCTGTAAAGAAATAACTTATGAAAGCCGAAATGGCTTATCTCGGAGCTGCTTCGGACGCGCTTACTTGATCTTGTGTATGTTCGTCGACACATGCACCTGTTAGAAGTGGTTTTAAAATTTCGTTAGCTGCCGTTTCACCTGGTGACGACGCCTCATGACGTCCGGAGCCTAAGCCGGAACCACCGAGAACGCATCCAGTACTGGTGTTGCAAACTATACTAATATCCACATTTATATTTATACATTACTATCATTTATCTAATATGTAAGATTATATAGATTAGAAGAGAGAACTTTAGTAAACAATAGTTCCTTACTTGATACCGGAACCGTTTCCCACAGCCATTGCTCTGTCCTCCCTGTAAGCTTCGATCGTGATTGGTGGTACTCGAATATTGCTTCTTACCAATTTATTTGTTAAAACTGTCTTAGCATCATTGGCCATTTTATGTGCTTCCTAGAAGATTTGTGATATAATTATCTCAAACTTAACTTGATATTTTCTTGTAAATTCGATTAAAATGATACATACGTTTATATTAACCGCTCCAGCTACGTAAGACCATCCTGTTATTCCTCGCGGGATTCCTGGATCGAGTAAAGTAATCGCATTTAAGCTACCAACTGGTTTTATGCGTAAATGCACTTCGCCTCCTCCCTTTGGATAATACCCCCTTCATTTGTCATTAATTTTAGTATAAATAAAATAAAACATGGAAAATTCAGATATAATAAACTGAATGTATATACCTTCTCACAACAATGAAATCAAAATCTGCTCCAAATTTATTCAGCATTGGCTTGAACACTTCTGTCAAATATTCAATGTGTGGACCCATAGGAACGTTTGTGCCACCCTTGAGAATAAGTGTGACTATTTGATCGCATGGAAAGAAGAGTGCACATGGTAAAGCTACTTGGGCCAATAAGCAAATACATCCTGCGGTTTGTGTATCTGCTACAAACTCTCGCTTGTTTGTATTTAATGGGCCAGGACGGAATTCCAAGCGTGTGGATCCTATATATCCACCTCTAACTTGAGCATTACACATTTCTTTGGCGAGTTCCACACCTGTAATAATATATAATTTTTAATTTTCCATGTTTTTTACATATAATAAAAATACTGTGTGAATTCTACTTTAACGTTTCTTTACAGCGTACCTTTCAAATGTTGTGCTGCAAGACCAGGCTTAGGTCTTCCTGCACGTATATTCTCAATTTCAATAGGGATGCCATAGAGTGTACTCAAAGAGAGAGCAATCCTTAATACTTGCCCACCCTATAAAAAAAAAAAAAATTGTATAAGAGCCAAAGTGATTTCTATTAGAAGCAGTTAATACGGAAAGTAACAATCTAGCTGTCATATTTTTATAATAAGTCTATAAGAATCATTTATCTTGACAATTGCAAAATAAACTGAACGAATAAAGTAAACTGAATTATAGATAAGTGAATAAATTAAATAAAATATCTGAAAATAGTAAAAAAAAAAAGTAAACATGTTTCTTTCATACTTCTTTATTTATTACATCTATCATGTTTGGTATATATAACCTAATAATAAATATTTTATCCAAAAGAAAAATGCTAATATTTATGATAAATTCCCGCGTAAAAAACTCACCCCTTCGCCCAAACTGCCGTCTATTTGTACGAGGGACGACATGACACGATAATTCCTGAACATTCAAGCCGCATTCAAGCGGTCTGACGATTCCGCGTTTATTTTCGGCGCGTTGCGCGATTTCCGTGGAAAAAGGATACAAGCCGTTGTAAGCGGTTGTAGGGCGGGGAGAACATTTACATCTAACTATAGAACGAATTTTGCTCGCTCGTAAAGAGCTCGCCGGGGGGGCCTTCCAAGAAGCCACGAAGAGACCTGTCAAAGTTTTTGTTTTCACACACTTCTACGACCACAAAATATATGTATATTCACGAGAAAGCGTAAATTAGATAATACCACTTTATTGACGCAAGAAAAAAAATTTTATATATATTTTTTTAATTATAATGAAAAAAAATTCTCTCGTGACAGATAATCGCGATTGATTCGAATCTCCGAGGAGACGACGACAGCGCCATTTGACAGCGCAAAATTGTAGTGTCAGAGTCTCTTCTCTCTCTCTCGCTCACGTTTATATTTATTCCCGTAAAGCGCCAGAGCCCTTCGGTCCTTCCGTACGTAAAGTGTGACGAGGTTAAAACAGCTGTTCTGCTGGATGGTTGCTTTGACAGGGAGATCGACGGATCAAGCGGATGATTTATCAGAAATCCAGGCCCTTAAATGATATCGCGAATATTCCGTGGGGAAAATGAGAATGTCGCGGTCAAACGCAAACGGCAAATCGACACTCTGAAAATCTTTAATGACAAGTAAGAGTAATTCTAATGAGCTTCTAGTCATCATCATCGTCGTCGTAACCTCTCGTTAACCTCATTCATGTACTTGTTAATGTCAATCTTCGCTTGTGTCGCTCGAAAACAGCCATTCCTACTGCGAAAATAATCTCATTAGCCATCAGGTTTATCCTTTTAACGATATTTTTGGATCGAAGAGGGTTTCTATTGTCTACAGTGACAATAGAATCGCCCCCGAGATTTTTTTTTCCTTAAATTGCGACTGCATCATGTTATGTCGAATCATGATAAAACGTATCTCTTTGAATGAATTGTTTTATAATGGAGAAAATACAATAGAGTTGATGAGATAAATAGTTGATGCTCTGACTCAAGGTCAACATTGTTCTCAAGTGTTTGTAATAGTGTAATATATAAGTAATGTGTGTTGCAGTGTAATAGAGCTCAGAGAAAATGTGGACTATCAAGTGGAATTTCAAGCTGGCGAGAGACGAATGGCTATCATGGTTTCTTTGTTACCGAATTTTCCATTGGAAAAGCCAGTACTTAGAGTTTCCCCACCGATAAGTCATCCCTGGTGCAACGAGCACAGTGAAATCACCAGTGCGCCAGGATTACTCAATGTGAGTTAAAACATTGTGTATTCATAATTTGTGAATTGAAGATTTATGTAATATTTCCTCTTTATTTTTATATTTCTTTTATATATTGTATTTCTTGTTCTCATCTCGATGCATTTAAAAATACCTAGATAATTATTTTGTGTTTCTTATATTAGTTTTCAGTACATAGTGATCTCGGACGGGTTGTTCAAGCTATTATCAGAGAATTCAGTAAGAATCCACCAAAGTTATTAGAGGATATTTCACCTGGCTCTGTTAAATCACACAGAGGTACGTGTCAATATTTTACTTAATCTTTTGTGTGTCTATACCATAAGACATTTCTAATTGTGCGATTGCAGATTTACCAGGGAGGAACTCGCCGTCTTTCTCGCTTCAGCAGTATTCCGTTGAAATTCCATCGACGTCGTTCAATTCGCAGTTCAATTACAATACACAGTTTTCACACTTGTCGTCCTCCAGTGCAAATACGTGCATTTATAATTATAATTACACCAACTCCGGTCACACGTACGTCACGACTTCGAAATCGTTCGGCAACACGTCGCATCATTCGGCATATATTCCAAATTCGAGAAGCAACGTCCTTCACAACACCACACCTACAGGGTATACCGCGAATCATCATGGAACGCCTTACTTGAACTCGCATTACGCGAACGCGAATTATCAGCAGCCGTTGCCGAATCAATCGCAAACGAAAGTTCCGCAGAGCATAATATTCCCTGAATTAAATAATTTAACTAACGAGGAATTGAAGAGGCTTGGCGAAGATGACGATAAGCTAGACGATTTTCTGGAGAAACATTCCCAAATTAAAGATATAAATGCAGCAATCGAGGATGCTATGGATTGGGTTGAAAAAACTGCCGGTAAGACAACGTATATCTTTCTATTAAAATATTAAGTAATACAAATTTTAAAAGGGAGGTTTTAATCAATAAATTTTAATATACATATATATTTAAATATATATAAATTTTAATAATAATGTAAAAAAACAAGGAGGGGGAGTAATTTTTCCTTGTTTTATGTATTAAGATGGTGATAACATGTAATTTCTTTATATTATCTTTTTTCATTATCTTTTGTCTCTCATGCATCTTTATTAATCTGTTCTGATTTAATTAAATATCAACGAGTGACCATGTCTTTCCTCGTAGAAGCTAACGCAGCCAAAGAACCTGAGCTGGAACAGCTGCAAGCTGATGTGACAGACAAGGTGAAAACGGTGGCGATGTTGAAAGCCAGATACGATCATCTTATACAACGATACAATAAATTGTCCGAAGTCTTCACGCCAGATCACATAAAGGAGTGTTTGAGGCAAGCTGCAGACGAGAGCCACGAAGAGAGCGAGAAAATCGCCGAAGATTTTCTGAACCGCAAGATCGACGTCGAACGTTTTCTCAGCACGTATATCGAGTGTCGAAAGTTGGGCCAAGCGAGACGAACCAAGGAAGAGAAGCTAGCGCATCAGTTGAACGAATTGAAACGGGCCGGTTTCTGAAATGATACGCATTAAATAATCATCTTTTTTTTAATGGAATCGAACAAAAAAACTTGTAAATAAAACTTAGTTAATTTAAACGTTATTGTGAATTCAAATTTATAACATTCGTGATTACCAAACGTCTAATGTGGCTAGAGAGAAATCAATCGAGTATTCGGTTGAGAGAAACATATTTTTTCGCGTAAACGCTTTACGTTTCACTCGCTTCTATATATATATATATATATATATATATATATATATATATATATATATATATATATATAGAATATATATATTTACTCTTATGCTAGATTTCAAATCACTTTAAATCACACGCGCGTAGCATTCCAGAATTGAAGCATGTATACACACACAAACACAAGTGGCGCTAAATGAACGAAGTGATTGAAAAACCAGGAGTGCTTTAAGATTAACTTTGATGGAGTACTGTTACACTCTGTATTTCGGACAATTTTGCAAGATAAGAAAGCAATATATATAGTGAACGCATTAAATCCGTGTTTGAAACTCTCCCGTGTAACAAGTTGATTCATTATGAGTACTTACTTCATAGTGAAAGAAAAATAAACAACGTGGCTTTAATTATGTTAGTTTTGCACATGTGATCACACAACACATGTACCCTATCGCGATCAACTCTAAGGGAGGTACGTTTTTTACTGTGTAAATATATGTGCAGGGATGTAATTAAACTCGATTTTTGAAAATTTGCTATTCGGTGATGTTACTTTTAATTATTTATCCTGTGAATGTTCCTAATGTTGTAACATATTTAAAAAATTGTATAGATATACAATGAAGAGAAACGAAAGCAAAAAAATGTTGAACTTAAAAGATTTAAACCCTTCTCCTGTCTTGTGTCTAAAAATAGAAAATAAGAATTAATACAAATGATGATAAATATACTTATGCTCTCAATAACATTATTATAAACTTTATTATTGATTCGTATGGTTTGTAGCAAGTTTAAATATAATTATTGTAATTTTTTGCGTGTGTATATATATATATGTTTTATTTTTGTACAAATTTACGATTGCTAACTATAAAAAACACGCTTGGACATACATTTACATTGAAGTACAAAAATAATACATTGATTAAGCAGTTTCTGTCATTTCTGTTAAATGCACTATTCAGTCCATGAGTGGCAATTGACATTTCTAGCTGACAACAATGAACATTGTTCATATAGAATTACAGTTCTTTTCGATAGCTCACGCTATCTTTCGTAATCTTTTCTTATATTTATAATACATTGGCAGTTGAATAATTTATAGATGCACGATGAGTTCCATCACGGATCCACGAAGGAGATCATAATGTAACGCGTGCCCGCGGTCACTCGCAGCCCTTCGTGATAGTGCGTCAATCTTCCGGGATGCATTAGCATCCAACCAGGCTTTGTGTCGGTGACGGAGCAATTGTACCGGATGAATCTGCAGCCGCCACCCTCGTAGTCCACACCTGCCTGATTCAGGGCGATGTTGATAGTATAAGTCGAGGAGTCGTGATGCGGCCGCAAAGATGGCTGCTCGTCCGGGCGATATCTTACGACGAAATTCATGAGCGACCGCGGTGGCTGTCAACATTAAATTAAAATGGCACAATCCGTTCGACCTAGACTAATCTACCGCGATAAATATAGCTTTTCTTTTCAAAAGCTTTGTTGACATCCCAAGTAGCAAACTGACCTCATTAGACAATAAAATGTCATAAAAATTAAAATGGCGTACGCTTGCTATCTAAGATAATTCTAAATATGATGCAGAAATATTCCAATTCCATCCGTTACGAAGTGGTACAACCAGACTACGAAAGCAGATCGTATAACCCGAAAGCTATGCGTTTACCCGAGTGCAATGCGAGATATCTGTGTGCGCGTTAAGAACACTTCCATATACCGGCATTTCAAAATCTTACGTAGTCCTCGTATCCTGTAAAGACATGCTGTTGCAAGGGACTGACGTAATCTTTGAGAAATTTCAACCAGGCGTCCTCGAGATCGACTTGGTTCATGTGAATATCGCGAGTCGGTACCGCTTCGTATCCGGACTCCAGTCGAGAATCCTAAAAAGAGAACCGATATATATATAAATGAATCTTACATCATGATAGTAGCCAGTGAAGACGAGCTCCTGCAACGGTTTAACGTATTCTTTCAAAAATACAACCATTGTGGTTCGTATTGAACTTGATTCATGTGAATATCACGAGTAGGTACGTTTTCGTAGCCACCCGTCAAGCGTAGGTCCTGTCGAAAATTGTTATATACAGTATAAAGACTTTCAATTACATCATACGCTATAAATTAATGATTATATGACTTACATGATTAGTCCCGTCGGACCATTGTCCATAAGTCTCGACAATTCCAATAAGTTCACTAGTAAACTTGAGAGTAGAGATGGGGAACCAATAGACATCAGGACACGGCTGTAAACAGTAGGCTTGTATAAGTACAGGGAAATGACAAAAGTAGCAATTCTGAGAAATCATTAACGTAAAATGTACCTGTATTGGTTTTTTATCGGGATTGAAGTTCTCGCTGTAATTCGGATGAATATATCTCTTCTCCCAGTCTAGTTTATTGTCCATGATCTGGTACATTTCTGGATAAGTAAGCTGGATGTTGTAGGTATCGGGATTGACGAGATGGCCGAATTCGAGCCTGTTACTGACGTACATGAAGAGACCCCTCTGCCGGTTTCCGTGAGCGAAGGCCATTTCCGTATCCAGATCGGCATCCTCGTAGGTCGGTCGGGTCGCCTTGTTCGCTATAATGGTCGCATTGATCAAGTAGCAGTTACTGACAAACGGCACGTTCCACAGTCCCCTGAAACAGATGTGTATCAACGTGATTCGACGAACCGAGAGAGCGAGAGTCGAGAGACAACGGAAACGAGAGCGCGTGCAACGAGCGCAACAAGCAGACGTACTTGTGGACTTGAACGTCGCGTTTGTTTTTGCGGAGGTCATCGCTTAAGTGTTTTGTAAGGTGATGGTGGTAATTTCGTGGTAGCCACGATTGGCCGATGAACATACTTGGCAATGGGTTATGCATAATTATCCAATTGAGATTCATAACTCTTGTCACACCAGCGTGTGACTACGTGTGTCTGACGCGGGTTGTGTGATCCATTCGTATTTTAGGCGGTAGGGTCTAGCGGATCCGGTCTCCGTAATACGTTCTGCGTGTCAGGGATCAGCCGAGTCCTTCAAATTCTCCCGGTAAGAGTGCAGTAGAGCGTATGTCGCGTGAATTGCGTGAAACGCGCGCGGTTACATTATAGATTACCTTCATCATTATTGCCTCATCATCGAACTCTCACGCGCTCTCGCCAATAGATTTAATATAATATAATAGTATAATATAATAGAGTGACGGATTATGAGCCACGTATATATAATAGTGATAGACGACTTGGAAAGGTATATAAAGTGTCCGCGCGAACGAGTCCGTCTGCGTCGTTGGTCGTCCCGATCTCGTCAAAAGTCTCTCTCTCTCTCTATCTCTGGTTGTAGAACAAATGACGAGATGCCGGCTGTTCTATCTGTTCCTATTAACGGCCCTAATGATGATGACAGAAGCACAGAAGGGCGGCGGAGGTAGAGGAGGAAGAGGTCGCGGCCGAGGAAGAATATATGGTTCGCGGATGCCTATCCTGATACCTAATCGAAATCCTGCTAGCGCGCACTATTATGAAAACAAAGATGTGAGTTAATTCAACCGTGTGAGACGTGATAAATGGTGATAATTAGAAATCTAGTGATGAATCATGTGATAATCGAATTTTTCGCAGGGTGCCAAAATCGTCAAGGCGTCGCACTTTGAGCTGGATTATATGCTGGGCAGGAAGATCACGTTCTTCTGCGTGGCCACCGGTTTCCCTAGACCGGAAATCACTTGGTTGAAGGATGGGATCGAGCTGTACCATCACAAATTCTTCCAGGTAGGTCTCGATCTGCCGTTAAAGTTAAAGAGAGGAGATATTCACCGTCCTAAAAGAAATCCACACTAAATTAAAAGAATATTTATCACACGTGAGAATCGAGGGAATCGTTTAAATCGCCAGGTGCACGAGTGGCCGGTCGGCAACGACACGATAAAATCGAAAATGGAGATCGATCCTGCAACGCAGAAGGACGCGGGATACTACGAATGTCAGGCGGACAATCAGTATGCCGTTGATCGTCGGGGCTTCAGAACGGACTACGTCATGATCTCGTATTAAACGCGTCCGATCGTAGCTCCACATCTAGTGCACTAGAATGAATAATATTTTTTTTCAATCATAGCTGACAGATATTTGTTATATTAAGAAGAGATTTACTACTTGATAGATTTTTACCTGAGACAAAACAGACGCGTTATTAGCTACAGATGGAGAGATTGTGCGAGAAACGGGAGATCTCTTTTTGAGATCGTCTAAGTTGATCGAAAGTTCACACACTATACAATTGATAACAAAGCCCAAGCACTCTTTCTTCGCCCTTTTCTCTATCTATTCTACAACCTATAAATTAACGATGTAAAATTTATACAGCAAATATATAAATATGCATCGTGAAATATTTTGCACGACTGACTATAGCTTGTCTCTTTCTTTAATACGAGCAAAACAGATTCATTCAGATTCATTGTCAATGAGATGTGCGAAGAGATACGAATCCGGGAGGTTCCCCTCCCACAGATCTTATTTGTTAAAGCATGATTGAGTATTATAAAGGGTAGCGCGAGGAATATATATCGAAAATGGTTCATCATCACTGCGAATTTAACAAGGCAATTGTGTCGTGCCGCGAAAGTGTTATATGGAAGGGCATATTTCGCTGCGTTGCCATCGACGAACCGCAATCATCTACACAGCAAACATGAAATAAATAATTAGCACGGACATTACAAACGCGTTGGAAGTATGCTTATTTTTTTTACTGTAATTTCTTTTATTTTTTTCTGCGATTTTAATTTCTCTGTTATATACAGGATGCCCCAAAATTCGCGAATCACCTTTCTAGCAGATTCCTGAAATCATTCGGAGATAATTTTTCCTCAGCAAAAATGTCGAGATTTGATTAAATTGCCATCATGTATTTTTGTAATAATTATTAAGTCTTAAATCAAAATTCTATTAAAGCAAACTCTACATGAAATTAATTGAAGAATTTGATTTTGTTAATATTTCAATTCTACATGGTTTAATTTTCGAAAAACCTTCATTTTCTATCACTTATATCTCAAAAATTATTGGTGTCTCGCCATTTTTACTGAAGAAAAATCAACTCCAAATAATCTTAGGAATCTCCCATAAACAGATGATTCGCAAATTTCAAAATATCCTGCATAATACAATATATTCTCGTGAGTTTTAATTTCAATTGAACCGTGTCTTTCGCGTTGGACAATTAATATAAGAGAAAAAAATGCAAAAAAATAAAAATCGCAATTTCCAAATTGTAAACGTGAATCATCCGGAAGGAATAGATATGGTTGTTAAATTAATGGCTAAGCGGTCCGTAGATTTGATAGAAATTGATGGCGATCATGTAGTAGACCAAAGGAATAACCACTGCACTATAGCGAATAGACAGTTTATCTGCGTATAAGTCTGTAATAGATACGAGAGGACACTAGGGGAGTAATGAGTAGGTAGGTGACTGTCAGTTGCATCGGAGTTCCGTGTGATCGACGAACGTTGCTACATACGGTGAGTATCCTCATCACTCATTCGCTCCGATAAGTACGCTTGAATTGAGCAGGATTTCCAGCATTCACGTTTTACGCGCTATATAAATCTAGAATAATAAAACTTATTAATTGTAATTAATTTCGCTCGTTCCTCCGATTTGAAAATCAGTTAAATGAATAGTTTCGAATCTACAAGCTTCAAAAAAATTGTATGGAAAATATTAAGAATTTGATTCCGCTTTTATCAGATTATCATGTCACGTTCCATGCTGCTGCTGATCCTGCTGGGTATACTATTGCTCAATTGCCAAGAGACACTTGGTCGAAGAGGACGGACCAGAGGTAGAAGCAAGTCTCGCATGCAAATTGGATTGCCTATTACCGGAAAGTACCGTGATCCGGAAAGTGATCAGTATTACAACAATAACAACGTATGTTGAAGAAGAAGAGTGTCTAAGAAGAACCTCTTTATCATCCTATCTCTCTAATTGTAAAATTAAAATTATGGTTGAGACATTGATCCTTTTAGGGAGCCAAGATATTACTGGCGTCGCACTTCGATCTGGAATATGTTCTGGGACACAAAATAGCTTTCCTCTGCGTCGCTCGCGGTAATCCACGTCCGCACATCACGTGGTTCAAGGATGGCGCCGAGATTTACACGCATCACTATCTACATGTCAGTGTACATTTTCAATACATTAAAAATATTAATCTCTCGTTTGCGCTTAAAGATTCTTCTCGTTGGAAAAATGTTCAAGCATAAGCAAATTGACAATTGTCATAATCGATAAATTATGATATTTTATCGTTTCAATGATATATCTCTTTCGCTTGCAGATACATGAGTGGCAATTAGAAGGTGACAAAGTGAAATCGAAGCTCGAGATCGATCCTGCAACTCAGATGGACGCCGGGGTTTACGAGTGCACGGCGGACAATATGTACAGCATCGATCGAAGGTCTTTCAAGACTGACTTCTCCATCGCTTTCGATTAGTGCGAGAGATCCGAAACAATACGTAAACTAGGTAAAACACGTATAAATCCCAGGTAACGTGTAAAGTTTTTATAATAGACACTGAAATGGTAGATTCTAAGAAAATGGCTCAGATATGTATTGTTATTGTAACTTATACTGAGATGGAAAACTAAATCGTCCTGATTAAAAATAAAACAAAAATTCTTATTAATCCCAGTCGCGAGAAACGCAGTCTTAGATAATCGCGATATCTTTTCTAGAATAAATTGCTTCCTTCTAAAGTAGAATTATGAGTCAATGCAATCATAGTCAATTGAAAATATAGAAGATTGATATATACCTTCGCTCATTTTTTATTATCTCCATGTAGTCGAAACTCCGTGCATAAAATCCGTCGTCCGTTATGGCGCCCCAAAAGTTGCTCCATGCCTTGTATGGTCGAATCATTAAGGGTGCGACGATTCCTCTTTGCTGCTCTACCAGTAACTTCAACGTGTGTTCATTGTCCAAGTGCGCGATCGCGTCGACTGACAGATACCCGGAACACTCCTTCAACAAGCAATGCTCCCTGTGAAATAGATTGTCCTTTAACATTCCTAATGTCATTCGTTCTAACATTAAATTGCGCTTTAATTCTTTAAGTAGATGTCGCAGAGTAGTATACTAGATGCTTACAGCGCTAATTTTCTCGCGTCAACCTCGCTGATTTCGTCACTCGGCAATATTTGTTTCGCACTCAGATATTCTCGGCCGTTTTTCTCGAAGAAGTCATAGACTACGTTCTCGTGATAGGGTACATTATTGTGAATAAACAGATGCAGTCTCGATTTTGGATAGGCTTGATGATAGATAGCTTGAAAGAATTCTTCCAAGAACGGCGTAGGATGTTCGATGAAAATGGCTATTAAAATAACCGGATACGTTCCCAGTATGGTTTTATCGAGTTCGATGGTTCCGTCCCAACAGGACAAACATCCCTCGTTCGGTGTCCAGGCACGGGCCAGATAATTGCCCAAGGAATTTAAGACCAACTTACTGAATCCGTTGCCATGAAGGATCAAGGGTACCGTGTTGTAAACGATGTTTTGAAGATAAGCCTCATCTCCTTTGAATCTGAGCTCCACGTCGGCTGTCAATATCGCGCGACAATAGTAATAATTAAATTATAATTAATATCCCTTCATTAAATAACAAATTCGCGCTTGCCCTTACCTACCGCACCATAGAGATTCTGAAATATCTCGGATTTGTGATCCAGCTTGATCTTGTGTCGCAGCCTAAGTTCATCCTGTAGATAGACAGTCGTGTAAAACAGCTGATCGTCCTCCTCGTCCTTGATGGTCGCCTTGTCTAGGATCTCGTACACGTCGGAGGCGTATCCGATGAAACCCCAGAGTTCAGGTACCGTTTGCCTCTCGATACAGCCGGATAGTTAGCCGCCAAGGACTTATCCGGCCAGCAATACGCCTCTGCGGAGAATAAAACTCGAGCATCGGTATTCAGGAATCGCTCGACGATGGCAGACAAATCACCGAGAAATATTACGTCGTAACTGAAAGTATAAGAAATATGTATACGTATGTATATATATATATATACGTCTTCTGTAGTAAGTTAAAAATTCTAAAAATTATTTTTTTCGGCGGCATCACGATGTACCAACCTATCGGTGAACAAGATGATCTTCTTCTCATCGTTCCGATATTCTTCCAAGGCTTTTTTGAGAAGATTGATTTTATATCCACCGCCAGCATATTTCACGACGTTACCGCCTCTCCAAGGCTCGCCTAGCCCGAGAATCTTCAAGTTATCGCGAAATTTGTAGACCTCGACCGACCTCAGATATCTTTGGAAGCCATCCGTCTCGTTGGATGCAACGGTAAATACCAGGACATCTGAAATATAATAATTAGCTAAATTAGCGTAACGCGGAAGAAAGAAATAATAGTTGATGTACATTTACAATTAGTGCAATCGTATAGAATTTTTTACAACTGTCGTATTTTTTTAATAAAATTATCCTTCTTTAAAAAGAAGAATAAAGTGTCTCGTTGAAAAATAAAATTACAAAATTTAATTTTCGTCCAGAGGAAAAGACTCGGGGAGACCTAGTTGGAAAGCAGATCGTCCTTGTTTAACATCGGGGATCGCCTTGTTTAACAAAGCTATATGTCGAATCCGTCATTAAACTACCCAGCTGATGAACTCGTTAGCGTCGCGCATCGAGCTGGCGTATTGTGATGTCATCTCGAGAAGTAGCGCCCACGAGGACCGCAGCACGTACACCAGCTGCATTTCCACTCCGCTTATATTACTGAGCCGTCGAACACTCTTACGCAAGCTACTCTTGAGATATTCTTAGAACGACGATTTCGAACATCCATGGAAATTCGAGGAAGGGTTCCTTTAGGACGATTGAAGAATTATACATATGCCGAAACGTTATACATTTTGTTGAATAATTTACGAGAAAATTGTATAAAAAGTCTCGCAGAAATATGTGCATGCTATACAGGATGTTGAAGAAAAGGTAAAATATTTAGTATGCCTCAAAATAAGTTAAAAAGTCTGAACATGGATCTGCAAATGAGCCATTTTTGAGATATTTGCAATATTATAGATATTGCATAGACATGGAAGGCCATTTTATCTTCTTTAAGATATAGTAAAATATCAGCTGTTTTTTGCATAGATTATAATAAAAATAAAAATTTTTAATAAAAAATAAAAAAAATGAAAATAATATCTCAAAGACAGTTTATTTGCAGACCCATTTAAAGTTTATTAAAGACTCCACTTGTTTTGGACATACTGAATCCCCTTAAAATATTTTACCTTTTTTCATCCTGCCTAGTATTAATGATAAGATATATATATATATATTTAGTATTTATTTCGCAGGAATGTGATTTACGTTAATTTCCGAATTATAAAAAAGCAGAATCGTAGAATGAATCCAGAAATTTCGAGATCTCGTGTTTCCACTCGTGAGATGAGCAACAACGGAAATGAAATATGATAAGGACCACGCACTCGATCCAGTTACGTGCAGACTAAAAGAACAAAGTCATATGTATTAAATTAGTTCACGTTCCATAAACGAAACGATTATGTCACGCTGCGTTTTAGTTATGTCGTTCTCGATCATCGAGAATTGAATGATAAATTATTCTCTGACGCATAAATGCTATCCTTTATTTTTACCATATAAACAACGTCCCTGTTTATGTTGCTACGATAAAAATAAAGGATCGCGTTATATAATATATCATTTAAGCAATGATATGAAAGTTCGAAAGCACGCAAGACAGAAATATTCAACTTTAGATTATATGCCTCCCACAGATAGCCTTTGTGACCTCATCTTTAGCACATTCTTCGAATCTGCGTTTATCCGCGAAAAAATATTTTCAAAACATTCATCAGATTTCGATTAATCAGATGTACAAAACTATTGCAAAGTTTTTTCGCATACTTGAAATATTAATTACATATTATATAATATTGTTGCTCTAATTAAGAGAGCTAAAGATAAATAATATGTTTCAGGACTATTATTTATAGGTTTATTCAACACTTTTTTGGTTTAATTTAGTAAGGATAACGAGGTGTGTCTTGCAAACAAAATAATATATTATTTCAGACACGCATCTCGCCTCGAGGAAAAAAAAAGAGCTGAAACTTGTCACCCGAGCCGGGGTCGACAAACATCGACTTTCGCTGTTATTTTTTTCCACAAGAGAAGAAAAAATTAATTATATATTATTAAACTCTCTGCCGCAAATTTCGGTTTGCCGCATATCTTTCAGCAAAATCTCGATTGTGGCTAAAATAGGATTTCCTAAACCGGAAATTTTCTCATCAAGAAATCAACGTGCGTGGGTGTTAAGAATACATCTGGAGATTGATTGCAGAAGAATGAAAAAAAGAAAAGAAAATTAATGAATATTCTTTGATATTAAAAAATTACGACCTTTTTCATTCATAAATAATTTTAATTCGATAAAAAAATTTCTGAAATAATAAACTTTTAGAATTATGCATCTTGTTTTTATCTATATTTTAATAATTTAATTAAGAGTTTTAAGCGATTTGACTCTTATTGCCTGTTAGACACTTTAAAAATTTATATTAATAATTTAATATATTTTCAATTAAAAAAATATATATATATATATATATATATATATATGTATTATAATGAATATAACTTTTCATCTAAGTGTTATACAATTATACGTAAACAATGCATTTTTTAATATATGTAATCTCCTCTTAGTTCTAATATATCTTTTATATATATATATATATATGTATAAATATCATTTTGTCCAGAAAAAAATGCATAAAATATATGATAAAGACTAAGAAGAAGATTTAATAATGAATCACCTAAATGTTATGTTATCAATATTCAAATACACGCCTTTTCATTCAGACGTCTTATACAAAACTCGTCTTTCAGACTTCTGCATTATTGCGGCTGTTTGAAAAAATAACCAAGGCTGACATTTCTCTCTTTCTCTCTCTCTCCCTTTTTTGTATCGATCTCGTTGTTCTCCGAAAGGGCGATCGCGATGACATACCGTTAGCGTCAGCTGCTGGTGCCTCGCTGACCACGTGGTACGTCAGGAAGATGCAGCACCACGCTACGCAGCGTCCGATCGTCGTCCCTTTGTCGCCAAACATCGCTCTGTCTCTCTTTCTCTCACCGACTGACAGAATAACCCGGGATCCCGCTGATCCGCACCGCTCCTCGGTGACGAGCGTCCGCGTTCGTCGCTTAGCGCCGACTGCGCACCGCGAGCGCGGAAACTGACGGAAGCCATCGCCCAGAGCCGTAATCAGGAATTACGGTACCCCGTACGTAGTTTAGCGTTTTTACGGCGGGAATGTAGGAATTGTATGCAATGGCACTTCTATATATATATATATAAAAATCTGGGGAAACATCTAGAACTTCGGCGAAATCCTAAGCGACTTGTGATTAATCTCCATCATTTCAGATGATCCCTAATGAAAAGTTAAAGAAAGTCAGGAATACCATGGGAATCACGAAGTATAGTCGTTACTTTTGTTATGGCGGCCACAATTTATCGACTTTCTTACGCAGTCGATAAAATAAAACATTTCATGCCGAAAATCTTATTGCAAAAACAATTAAATATGTATTATAAATTACGTAATTTAAATAATAAATATAAAAAAGTTAAATATATCAAAATATAAACAGTGGAATTTTTCATGTATAAAAAATATATCAAACAAGCAAAATTATCTTATTTTTATACTTAATTGATAAAATAAAATATATATTTAATTAGAGATACAATTAATTTAATTAAAAATATAATTAAAATTTGATAAAATAACTTTTGATTTTATTTGATGAAATAAAATATATTTTTATATTGTAATATGTGTATAATAAAAATGTAATATTTATATTACATAATATGTAATACATATTTATATTTATTACATATATAAAATAGAATTTTCTACATAGCAGATATTTTGAAAATATTAACTTTTGAATGCAATTAATGAAACATGCTGAGATAATTAAAGTACCTGTTGCATCAAAATTCGACATGCAAGATTCCTTCGTAGGTCTGTATCGCTCGATGACACATAAATCATTATCCGAGGTATTGTCCTGACACCGAAGATCATTCGAAGACACGTAAACGTCATGATTTAACTTCAACTTGCAGACTCCTTCATCGTTTCTTGCCGCAAGATGATTTCCTTGATACAGTAGCAAAATAATCGACAACGTCAATCTTCTTGTGACACTTGGCATTTTCATATGTTATCAAAATTGTTATCAGTTCAATTGTAATGCCAGAATTACACAATATCGCAACGTTCTATATATAGCTTTATTTAAGCACTGATTATGAGAACTGGAATTGTCATTTTACTGTACTATTTCACGATAATTGTTTGATTTACCACGTTTGTCTTTCAATTCGATTGATATATCTACAACATAAATTTATATTATCTTTTCGAATATATTACGATTAAGAAATATGCGTTTATCCGGCGCCAATTGCTGTCCGATGAATCACATCGATATCATAAATTCTGGCATTTATAGGAGAAAGTGGGAAACTCGAAAGCGAAACGGTCGACAGTTTTTGTGGTCGAAAAGAACGGCTGGTCGTGTCGACAATTTGTTCCTGGATGAACATGTCATCATCGGCCCGTGACGTTTTGTAATGAACATTCCAGTCTAATCTGGCCTGTAAAGAATATGCATAATTTACGTTATAACACCAAATACTATCTCTTAATTAACTATCTTCTTTTCTTTCTCTTTCAATAAGATATATCTGCATTTTATACAATTTTTTTTGTACCTGCTTCATCCTGCGCTTTGAGAAATATTTGTGTACTTTTAAAAAATAAAATATGCATATTTTCTCTCCGAAAAGTGTCACTATGTATGTAGATAATTAAATTATGTGAACGAGTCGAACTAATGCCCAACAAATCGAATTAACCGACGACTTAATACAATTACTGGGGCAGTAGGGTAGATGATCATGAGGCTTCTTCTGTGTTGTGGAAAATCGTATTTTGCCAGTTTTCGCATGTCAGTGGTGTAGTTTAGTTTCCTTTTGCTTCTACGTACGTTGGTCGAAAATCGCGTCGCATACACAAATCGGTAAAAATGGGCAAAGAGGATGCAGAAACTATAGCTCTGAAGAAAGAGTTGGAGGCTCTCATTGACAAGTGCAAGGTTTAAACATTTTATAATGTTATATCCTGTCTATGCGATTATAATTTTTAATATGCATAAACGATAGTTTGTTCTTATTTGTCTTATCCCTGTCTTATTACTTACTCCATTAGGAAGAGCAAAAAAAGCAGCAGGACGCGACATTAGAACAAGCATGTAATGGAGTAGCAGATGCTCCGAGAGTTAAACTGTCGACTAAGAAGTTGCTGAAGGGACATATCAATAAAGTTAACTCGGTGCACTACAGTGGCGATAATCGGTTAGTTCTGGTCAGCTTTCAAGTACCTTAGACGACCTATAATTTGCATATAATTTGCATATAATGTGATATTTTACTTTTTAAAATATATTTTCTATTACATAAAACATGAAATTATAATACAATTTCTCGAATTTCATTGCCTATTATATAAATCGTCTAAAGCAGATTTCATGAATCTTCAATAAAGAATTTATCGTACCTTGAAAATATTTTACAGTCGTCAATACTGAGAGAATCGATGATCTAAACTGATCTACGCTTTCGCACGTGTAGGCACTGCGTGACCGGTTCGTTGGATGGAAAGTTGATCATCTGGGATTCATGGAGTGGAAATAAGGTGCAGGTCATCCCATTACGTTCAGCCTGGGTGATGTCGGTGGCTTTCGCGCAATCCGGCAACTTTGTCGCGTGTGGCGGTATGGATAACATGTGCACTGTCTACGATGTGAACAATCGGGACGCTACGGGATCCGCCAAGATCGTGAGGGAGTTGCTGGGTTACGAGGGATTCCTGTCGTCTTGCAGATTCCTGGACGATAAGAAGCTCATTACCGGATCCGGCGACATGAAAATGTATCTGATTAAGTAACGTTGAGATGAAAGATAGATAGGCAAATTATACTTCATGTATAGTTGTGGCAAATGGCAAAAATTGACCTGGTGTATACCTGTAGATGCATATGGGATCTCGAAGCCAACAAGAAGACAACGGATTTCGAGGCGCATGCGGGCGACGTGGTGAGCATCAGCTTGTCTCCCGATGGCAACACTTATGTCACCGGCTCGGTCGACAAAACTTGTAAACTGTGGGATCTACGAGAGGAGAAAGCCAAGCAGACGTTCTTCGGTCATGAGGCCGACGTCAATTCCGTCTGCGTGAGTACTTTCAAGATATTTCAGCAGATCATACGTTGCGAATTTATTAGGTTCATTCTTTATTCTTGACGTTTTGTTCATTCATCAGTATCATCCTTCCGGCCAAGGTTTCGTAACAGCGTCCGAGGACAAGACGGCGAGACTGTGGGACTTCAGATCCGATCAGCAGTTAGCCACTTTCAAGCCGCCGAGCTCGAATCCCGGATTTACGTCGTGCGGCTTGTCTCTAAGCGGCAGGTTCATATTTTGCGGCAGCGACGACAATTCTATTCACATATGGGATACATTGAAGAACCAACACAATGGTGAGTCTATGGATTCGTGTCTCGTGCTGAAAAACTGTATTTTTAGAATGCAAAATGATAATAAAATATATGTATCATGAGATCGATGTCGTTGTATTATTTTTGTCAACGTTAAAAATGCTTGTTCTTATTTCAAGGTGTTTTGTCGGGCCACGAGAACAGAGTGACGTCGCTGAGCGTCGCTGGCAACGGGATGGCGGTGGCAAGTTGCTCTTGGGATCAGTACGTTCGAATTTGGGTGTGAAACGTAGCATGCGATTTACGTGACTACACGTAGAAGTGATCGACGAGAAGACATCGGACGAAGTATATTAGCAAAAATATATTGATGCTAAAAGCCGATCGATTCTTGCACGACACCTGCACAGCGACCCTTGTTCAATTATTAAGCTCTTATTGCCATAAGCTGCTGCATTTAGTTTACAATCAAGTCATAATCAATATCTCGATCAACGTTAAACTGCGTTTGCAACCTTCAGCCATCATTAAACTCTAAGTGTTACAAAATGTATATACATTTCTTCGTCGAGATATTGATTCTGGGTCCAATATACATGAAATAAATTTCCATTTCATGAACAATTGTATATTAATATTATTTTTTCTTGTCAGCAGTGTAGCTTACGAACGTATAATTGTGCGTGAGCGATATCGAATAAATTCTAAAATAAATTTTCTTGCCGTAAAAATGGAGATATATCTAATTAATTCGTAAGCCACACGTTTGGTTGTGGCAATGCGAGATGCACCTGCATTGTTTATTTCTACAACATGGACATATTACACGGTTCGTTTTTCTTTTCTATCGATGCTGCAGAAGAGTGCGTTAAAAAAATCGTATCGCGCGTGTGTTTTGAGATTTACTTACTAATGCAATACAATTAGGGATTTGGTATATCGATTAGGCGTGAAGCATGGGCGTCAAAAATACTTGTGTTCTCTTCGGCGATTCTAATCGTCACCAGCGTAATATCATATACGTACTTCATTTACGCTATTTGATCTCGTGAGCATCAACCTAGGCCAGTCTAGCGACAAATATATGGGACGCGCGTGTTAAAACATTTAAAACTTAAGGTAAGGTCTTTTATGGTGCATCACAAAATTTCCAGCTATCGTTAGCTATCCGTGGCGAATCTCTTCCTAGTTGAAGCTCGAGGATTCTACATATTAAGTATATTCTATGTATAAATAAACGAGAACGTAAACTCTATTACAATTATATCTGTACTGTACACAATAAACGTTGAAAAGAGATGATCTAGAGAATTTGGATTAATTTCTACCATGTGAATCATGATGACACAATTCTTAAATGGCTGAACGCGCACGAGGATAACTTACGCGGTGTCTAACATAAATATGTACGCGCGATTTCGACGGAATTGAAACATCGATCACGAAACTGTCTCTCAACATGGTCGGCATATCGTATGTATGTATGTATGTACAATCACTCACGGTCCGTAGATCGACGTAATGACACTTGAGTCCGTGAAACACTTTCAGAAACAGACACGGATTAGAATCCGTCCAGATGAACGAGCAGCGCGACAATCACAGTGGCTCCGGCTTCTTTGGTGGCCCATTTGCTGGATTCGCAATGCAACTCGGTGCTATCTTTGTCGCCGGGACTGATCGTATACGAGCCGGGTCTTACTAGCAATTGGAACGCAGTTGACGCGTTCAGTTTTTATTCGATTGCGTATCGATATACCTGCATGTGAAAAAAATTGACAAAGTTAAATCAGATTTTAGTAGAGGACCTCGCACCAAATACGTAGGATTTTGACTTTCAGTGAAATTGACTGGTTTTTTTTCATATGTTGTAGCTTATGACTTGCTGAACAAAAGCTGTAACTAAAAGCTAAGTTTTTCATACTTGACTGGCTGCAAATCAGTAACTGTCTATTACTTTTGTTTAACAACATATGAAAAAAACAGCCAATTCGACAGCTAAAATATGTATTTGATGCGAGGTCCTAAAAGAGTGAATATTTTTTTATATAAGATAAGAAGCTACTTACGGATACTTTCTAGTAAATTCATCGGACGCAGCGTACTTGATGCTGGGCGAGAATGAAACTTGCGGATTTTGTTCCTCGCTTTTTGTACCCGCTGTCAAGTTGCTCACGTCTAATTGCTCTTTGGTCATAAGCTCTCCTCTATCTAGAATCAATCTATATACACGCCAGACATAAGTTAACATGATAAATAATATATGATCAAAAAGAGAAAAATGTCAAATCTCATTACCTTATCGCATCTAGTCGTATACCGTAAAACGCAACGTGCCATTTGTCCGTTGTGCTCTGTGGCATCTGATTAGCGTTGATGCTTTGCTTCAACGGGAACCTGGTCCAGCCGACTGGTATCGCGAATTCCGCAGGCGGTTCGCCCTTCTTGCAGATCGCGTTATCGTCGTCCACCTTGTAACACGCACTGCAGTAGCACACTATCTCGTCGGCGGAGAAGAATTCGTCTGGCAGAACAAGTGACTTCTTCAGCTGTATGCATGCCTTCAGATACTCGCATTTCCTCGACGACGTGACGATGGTAGAGCCGAGTGGAGTGGACGGTAACGATGACGGTATCAGGGGAATCGAGGACGCGTCCCGCGTCTGGTTGATCGCGTTCTGGCTCGGAAGTATGTTCCCGTTGAAAATCGAGTTGTCGCGCATCATCGACGCGGCGTTGTCCCGATTCGCGTAGGATCGCGGCTCATGGAAGCCAGAACAAACGTTGTTGGGAAGATCCGACAAATTGTTCTGCTGCGCGCTGCTATTGACTTGACTATTGGACGCTATGCTTTCGTTAATCGCATTGTTCGCGTTCGTCGCTGTGATCGCCGCGTTCAGGCTGGTCATGTTGCTGGCGCTCGCGACCATACCTTTCTGTATGTTAATGTTAGTCGCGTTATTTATCTCAACGTTTGTACATTCGTTTCTGATGCTTAAGCTGACGAGCGTGCGATTCTCCGTCGAGTCGAGATTAGACTCGCTCGAGTTGTTCTCAGCTTGGTTGTTCAACGACGTTTGTCCGGCGTTATCCAGGTACGCTCTGTTCTTGGCACTTCGCACCAACTCGTTACTCAACTCTGAACACGAGTCCGAATTATTGCTGTCAACGCTCGACGCAGCTTTGCTGGCTAGGCTATTGTTTGCCAGATTCGTGCTGTCGAAAGATGAATACTCGGCTTCGAGATTGCCATCCCTGGTACTCGAACCACATTGACTCGGTACACTGGGAGACGTCGAGGACGGTGAGAGGTCTGAAGAAGTAGTCGCCATTGCATTCTCCTTCTCGTGTCGCTCTAGGTCTGCTTTCTCGCGCGAATTTTCCACGTCTTCCGCTTCTACACTCGTGCATTCAATAGGGGCCACGAGCGCATTGTCGATGGCGACGTTTGTGTAAGTGGATTCCTCGTTGACGCCCGCGATGGACACCTGCTCGCACTGACCGTACAGATCGATCACGGCGAAGACATATGGCGGCAAATCGGTCGCGGCCACACCCTGATCAATGCCGTTGATGAACAGATGCAATCGAATGTCTTCGTCGATCAGTAGACCCACGATAGAGTTGCATTGAAGATTTTCCAAGCCGGCGCCGTACTTCGTCTTCACCCTCATGCCGTTGTGAAATATCCAATCGCTACAAATGATCCACGAGTGTTTTTTAAAGCCCAGCGCCGTCAACGGAAAGCTCGTCTGCTTCTCCGGCGTTATGCAAGAAACGCCGCAAAGGATATTCGATACCCAACGTTCGTTTAACTTCTCTATCTTCACTTGGAATGGTTTGCCCTTTATTAATGGACGACTGGACATTACTACACCTTGATTGTAACTGGCCACTCGCCTAGCGATCGTCTTTGTTTCCAGCTGAATGTTCCTACCATGATTTTCGTGGAATTCATAGCTCCAATCCCCGTCGCCAGCTGTTAAGCCAACGACAGCGGATTGCGTTGGTGTAAGTGTCGCCTCGTTCATCAATTTTCCCTCGGACACGTCGATAGATGTATCCATTCCCGTGTCATTTCTTGGCGGCATCGGGTCCAGCAAGAGTTCCAACGAATCTTGCAGTCTCAGACTGGCGTTGGGAGATATCGCGGGATTTTGTTGTTTGCTGCTAGTGATGTTCACGGCCACAGTGCTGCCGAAGAGCTCGATCACCGCATACACCATCTCCGGAACGTCAGACGCCGCCACACCCATATCCTCGCCGTTCATGTAGAACTTGAGGTTGCCTTCGGGTGTACGTTTCACGCCGATTTTGTCGTTCACTCGCAACCAATCCAGACTCGTGCAGTAATTCGAGGTGAGTGCAAAACCCATATGTCTCACTTCGTTACCCGTCAGATACCAAGCGTCGCTGGGTATGGACGTCATACCGGGCACAAGATTCATCGAAGTCAACCAGTTTCCCGTTTCGTTACTCAGGACGCCTATCCTCAGACAACCGCTCCATTCACGCGCTACTTCCTGAATCGCGATTTCGAAAAGCTCGTTATTTTCCAACGGCGTGTCACTCAACAGTACGGCATTATTGTACTCCCTGCATCTAGTTGCCACCGTCCTATCACTATTCAGTTGTATGTTTAGTCCGACTGATTCGTGAAACTTGTGTAGAATCTCCGTTTGCACCTGAGGTTGGATCACCGAAGTAGGTTGTTGACTAATACTGTTCTCCGATGGTAAATATTGCTGTGTCAGAGGATCCCTGCGTTCAGGCAACACAATCGTCACCTGAAATAAATCACTTTGAATTAATTACATTGAAAAAAACGTGCGATTATTATTATATAGCATCATTCGTTATACCTGAGCGCATTGCCCATAAAGATCGATTACTGGATAAACGTTCGACGGGAGACCCGTACAAGCGGGACCTTGATCTATTCCGTCCAAATAATAATGCAAGGAAGAGTCCGAACACCGCATCATTCCGATCCGATTGCCCTCGATCAATTTGTCTAAATCGCAAGAGTAATTATTGCGCAATGTAACGCCATCGCGCATTACCGTCGATCCCGAGAGCATCCACGTGTCGTGATCGATATCCGTCATCGTAGATGGGAATTCCAATTCATCAGGTCTTATCACAGTAACACCTGTAATTTTATATCGAGAAATTGTATGCAATAGCATTTCATTATTATATTTGACAGATATACAATTGGGATAGTAATTACCTGCTTCTATAGCACCGGACCATCTGGCGACCATTTTATCTATTGTCACTTCGAACATTTCACCGTCACGTAACGCGCGATTCGCAATTACAATGGCTTCGTTGAATTCACCCAGAGCTCGCGGTCTGGATGCCGTTAAACCGTTATTCGTGATTCTCGCATTTTTACCATGTACGTGATGAAACCTCAGATCGCTGTCAACAGATTCGCACAATTCGCACATCACATATTCGACGATACAATATCAATAAATCGATAACGTCTCTCAAATTCTATGGGATAATCGCACCTGTACAACGTTGTATTGCTAAAACTGGAATTATTCGTGGTCGGACTATAAAAGTCCACGTTATCAACTATGGTAGCTTGGGCAGCCTGTCCATAGAGATCGATCACCCCGTAGACTCTTTCGGGTACATTCATTGCAGCCACACCTTGATCGGCGCCGTTCACGTAAAAGTGCAGGGTCGAGTTGTCCTTTCTCATCACGCCCACACGATCACCGATCTGCAGACGGTCCAGATTTTGACCGTATTGATCTATCATCGTAGTACCGTTGTGCATCACGCCGTTGCCCGTCATCATCCACGTGCCGGATCTGCAAGCGATATGAGCCACCTTCGAGCAATAACATAAGCGGGTAAACAACTTACCGCGCACTTTACAGTTCTTCTAGTGATTGATTGTAAGATTGCTTAGAACCGATGCGCCCGATCTTACCTACCTGACATTCGTCATAGTAAAGGGAAACTCTAGCTCCGTTGGGGAATGCGTGGTGACTCCTATTTCGATAGAACCGGCCCATTTTGTAACGATTTTGTCTAATCGGACTTCAAACAGTTCATTGGGCTTCAGCGGTCTCGAAGTTAATACCACACCGTTATTGAAATCATCTATGGCGCTGAAAAAAATATTTATATATATTGTTAGAAGAAATCAGATGTCGTAGAAAGAAGGTAGGATAATAAATATATTCTTTCACTTACTTAGGTCTATGTGCTGTACGTCCGTTGTTGATTACATCGGCATGTGTGCCACAACAAGGATGAAACATTAGTCTATCGGGCAATTCCTCTTCTCCAGCTTCTGCAAAATTCAGTATATCATATACTATATAGTTAACAACACATTTCATTTCTACAGAAACTTGATATCTGTATATCATATTATTACCTTCGCTTTCCAGACCTTGTAACTGTAATGTGTTTCTCCTTGTCACCAGATTTTGCTCTTCCCTTTCGTCGCGATCAACTATGGTTACTTTTACAGTCATTCCATAAAGATCTATTACACCCCATACACCTGTTGGTACTTTGGCAGCGATACCTTGGTCCAGACCATTTATTAAATAATGAAGATCTCCATTACTCTGTCTAATCATTCCCACACGGTCTCCTTCCTAAAAAATAATACACAATAAATTGCAAACAAAAATACAAAATATGGATTTAGCTTTATAAATCTGGCTTTAAATCTTACCCTTAATTCGTCCAAGTTAAACTCTCCGTATTCCCGTTGTGTACCTTTGCCGTTTGTCAAAATACCACAGCCGGACATCATCGTCGTGCCGGAACGCATATTGGTCATTGTTGCCGGAAATTCTAGTGCTGTAGGACTGTGGGTTGTAACGCCGACTTCTATGCTTCCCGACCACTTGTAAACTAGCCTATCTATTCGTATCTATAAGCAATAGTTTTGCAATGTATAACATAAATAAACAATTATAAATAATTCTGACATAATTCTGATAATAAAATCTGATAAATATAATTCTGATATAAAATTATGATTGCAAGAAAGTCAGTAAATTAAATTGCTATTGCAATTTACAAGAAAATTCTTCAATAATAATTTTACATGCATCGCTGGATACTTACTTCAAATAATTCATTATCCCGCAGTGGCCTATGTGTCATTACAACACCATTGTTAAACTCATCGAGTGGTCTCCGCCTCTCGGCAGTTCTGGCATTATTGGACAGCTTCACTAACGTTCCGACTCTCTCATGAAACTTCAATCTATCTTCCCTTATTGCGGCAGGGGTAGGATTTTTCGGTAAATTAACATTTACATTAACATTTAAATTAACATTTAAGTTAGCGACTAGATTTGTTGTTGAGGAACTGGAGGTTTCACCCATAACGTAATCATTGTTAATCTCGACTTCGTCTTTTGGCATGTTACACAAAGTAGCAAGTCTGGGATTAGCTATGCTGACTTGTACACAATCACCGTACATATCTACAACAGCAAAAATACGCTCCGGAATGTTGCTGACAGCGATGCCTTGTGAAATACCATTGACGTAGAATATCAGTTCATGCTGCAATTGCAAATAGAAAATTATTATTAATTATTATCTTTAAAGTATTATTAAATCATAAATTAATGAATTAGAAATTACATTGGATGTTCGCATTACTCCTACAGTATTGCTCTCCTCCAGATCATTAAGATCCGTTCCATATAAATCGACAATTCGATCTCCATCGTGAACTATGCCGCAGCCGGTCATAATCCAAGATCCATGACGTAGATTTATGGCACAGGATGGTATGTCCAATGTCTCTGGATCGCATTCTGTCACACCAATTTCTATACTGCCACTCCATGATATCATCTGTATACAAGATATATATTTTATTATTTTATTATACTATTAATGAATATATGATATTTTCAAGATTATATGATAAATTAAGCCATTCAACATCCAAACATTAGATTGTTTAGTTGGCCTATTTTTTTCTCAGGTTAATTGTTTAAATTTATGCCAACTTAACATTAAATATTTTTATATATATTAGTTTTTGCAAACTTAATAAACAGATGAACGAATTTTCATAAAATACATGTTTATTAATGTGTGTGTTATCATATATCTCTAAAAAAATCAAAGCTGCGAAGACACTCGATGAAAGAAAAATGCAGGATGTTTCTACCTATAGACAAACACAAAACACTGCACCACGTGTACACACAAGACATTTCGTAGTCCGTAATAATTCGACAAAATTGACAGCGCACTGTTACTAGGATGCACGTAACGATGTAACTCGAGGGGAAGGAATCGTATTCCATGTGTATACATGTGCGTGTATGTGTGAAACGCGCGCGCGCGTGTACCTTCTTGTCGATGGTGACTTCGAACACCTCGTCATCCTGGAGCGGCTCGGCACTGAACACCAGACCGTAATTGTACTCGGAGAAGTTGCGGGTAGCGGTGCAATTGTTGTTGCTGAGGGTGACACGTTGGCCGCATTGCCGATGGAACATGTCGGACCCCAAATCTCACCGTGTCGCGTCGCGCCGTCGTACCCCACGAACACGAACACGAACCCGAACCCCGCAGTCGGTCGACGAACGTAACAGCGCGCCGCCGCGAGGCGACGTGTATCGCTGTCCTTCTCGCACGACTCGCCACTCGGCGGATCCGCAGTCCCACATGTTCTGCTCAGATACAAATGAGAGGATCGCGTGTCGATGAATGTAATTGTAAATGAAAATGTAAAGATAAATGAAAAATGTCATAAAAGATATACAAAATAAAATATATAAATATATATATAAAATGTAAATGTAATAATAATTATAAATGTGTTTATGTATATAAATATATAAAAGCCCGTCATAATTTAGGGCTGGAATGTTTAAATGGAAAAAAGATGAAAGAAAGAGGAAGAAAATGAAAATATGTATATATATATACATTTTATAAATGCGAGAGTGGAAGCAAATTTCTCAACCGCGAGCACAAATTCTATTTACGTTTCCTTTTACATTAAATGATATATATGTATAAATATATAAAATGGTTTTATTCGGTCTTTATTAATCTCAGCTTTCTTACCATCTATCTTTTTCCATTCTTCTCTTGTGAATTGGGAATATTTATTTTTAAATGCGGAGTAATTTGCCCGCATGCATGCAATTGGATCAATTATGCAATATACAATTTTTTTCCACCGTAAAAACGCTATCGAAGCGTCATCTAAGAAACAATTTAGGAAAGAATTCAGTTGATAATTCAGTTAATAATATTTCCAACGGATGATAATTATTCAGATAAGTTGTAAATATATTTTGTTAATAAAAAAATATGTAATATTTTTAATTACAATTAATCGTGCAAAAAAGTGATTAGAAAAAATGATAAAAAGAGAATAATTATTTTATATTTTTCTCTATAAAATAATATAAATAATTATATATAATATATAATAATATTATATATGTATTATATATATTATAATATATATTATAATATATATTATAATATATATTATATACTAATAATAATAATTTACATATATAAATATTATATATATATATATATATATATATATATATATATATATATATATAACTATATATTATTTTATAGGGAAAAATATGAAAATAATTATTTTTTTTATCATTTTTGTTTTTTGCATTTATTATATATAACATATAATAATATATTTATATAAAAAATTTCTAATATAAAGAATGTTTATGAGAACTTAAATTATGTTAAAAATAGACGTGTATTAATTTTGAAGATTTTACATCTAAAATTCCATGAAGAAGAAAGCAGAAGATAAAAAATTTTAAATTAAAATATTGCAAAGAAAATGCACGTTTCTCTTATTTTCTCTCTCTTTCTCTCTCATATTTATATTTTTATAATTTTTAATAATTGATAAAAATTTCTAAAATATATTACAAAAATTAAATATTTTGGCACGAGTCTAAAACCCTAATAAATTAATATATTTCATATTTATCATATATAAATTGATATGATATTAGTTTTTATTATTATTGAAGTTTTTATATTTCTAATCTAATATAAAATATATTTATGATAAAAATACATATAATACATAACAGCAAAAGAAGAGTGTAAGAAAATGTATTTTGTGACTTACTGTCAAATATAATTTAATTTGTGTAATCTTATTCAATTTAAAGAGATATAAACAATTAGTTGTTTTCTTCTGGAAGGAACACTTCTTTTATAAATTAAAAAAGTTGCGAGTTTCATTGAACTTCTCATCTTAAATTGAACTTATAGTGCGCTCATCGAACTTTGTTATCTCGATTTATCATTTTTTATCTTCACAATTCACTCATCATTTTTCACTTCTTCTAATCAACTCTGATTGACAGTCAAGGAGATAATTGATGTCAAAAGACGATTATTTTCAAAGAGAGTTTTTGTACACTTAAATCAAAGTCTTTTAAGTTTCATATAAATTAAACTTGGTCTACTTATAATCTACTATTGATTACTGTTTCTTTATATATTTGTGATTAATCTATCGATCGGTTCTTTTTAGTATTCTGAATCATTCCTGATAAACAGAAAAATCGATTGCTTTCTTTCGATAAAATATTACATAATAAAAAACAGAAAAACATATCTTTGTGTGTGCGAAGAGAATTCTTCTGTACACATCAAATGGTCTTATATTATCATTATATTTATTAAGTGTGGATTCCGATTCTTATATATACTTAATTTTATAGACTTAATCTTAATCTTATTTAATTTTAGATTAAGATTAGATTTTACAAATATATTTTTATACACTTTTCAATGAATAAATACATATAAAAAAGAATTTTTAAATATTATGACATATCCGTAATATTTAGACAATAAAAAATATGTATTTTTACGTTTCTGTAAAATTTTAATCTGCTTATAATTTTATTAATTTATATATATTTTTAAGAAATTACTTAAATTAATTTTTGGAAAATGTTTTGAAAAAAAAGTTTAAAAAAATGTTGCTTTAATTGTAAAGATTATATAACTATGAATAAGACTGAATTTATGGCTTTTATTGTTAATTTGCTATCCTATGACTATAAAAAATACTTTCCTTTTCCTAAAAAAAAAAATTCCTGTTGAATAGCAACATCAATAGTTCCGCGAGTTATTAAATTTTCTTTTAATGCGTTGGATTCATAATTCTTGGAAAGCGTTCGATGTCTCGCATTTGCATATCTTTTGTTCGTGAGCTAACAAAGACTTTCTTTTGAAATGACTTTTAATTATAATTTTAATTGATATATAATTCTCGTTGAAAAAATATAAGGATTAAATTTTTGGTTATATTTTATTCGTTCTTAACTTACAATTTTAAAGCAAAAATCGAAAGCAAAAGCGAAATCAATGCGTAAAAATTTGTGGGATTATTTTGCGCGTTGTTTGTAAGAGTTTTTATAATATAAATCTGTATTCTAAATCTGTATCTATTTGACAGATTAATTAAAATATCGTGGTTTTTGTGTCCTTCACTTTTTCTACAGATGTTGTCGTTTCAAGTCAAATTATTTTTAATAAATCTGTTAATATAAATCCTTTAATAAAATCAGTTAATATAAATCTCATATATAGAAAATCTCTTTCTATTTGATATACTTTGTTTGGTATATGTTTTCTCTCGATATTTTAGCATTAAAATAACATCTATTTTGCATGAGAGTATACTTAACTTCTTCTTAAAAGTTGTTCGAAAATATTCAGACTTGGAATTACACAGACATAAAAAAATTGATGTTATGAAGATTAATGTACGAGTAGGAAAGTCCAGCGTCTACTCTTTGATAAAGAACAAGGATCAAGGGATGCTTATTTCTGTTTGCACGCTGTGTTTTCTCTATATAGAATAATACATTGTAACTTGTAAATTTCTGATATTATTCCAAAATATATTTCAGAAATATGTTTAAAAAATTAAAATTTCAAAGCAATACAATATTGATTTATTTATCTGAAAAATCGAAAGTTTTCTTTAATAGAAGAAAAGACTCTGGGAACAAAAAGATTCATATGGCCGAGATTTCGCTAACATTGTTCGATAGAAAAATTGATTGATTAAATTCGTCGAAAAAGTAGGGAAGAAATTCCTGCGAAATTTACCGTTCTGGGGGTAAAGGTTTGGTACGATTTAGACCAATCAGAATTCAGGAAATTCTTAAATTCTCTCCCACATATATGAGAAATCGGAAAAGCAATGCTCGCTGATAGAAGATACAAATCGGACGTGTGGACTTTGAGCGGTCAAAGATCGCCTTGGCGCAAGAGGTGCTCTTATCGTGGTGGTGTGGCAGATGAATCTCAGTTGTCCTGACAGAAGGTACGGTCACTCGATTCGGTCAGTTAGTTCGGGAATTGCTCTGGACGAAGAAGGATCAGTTGGAAGACAAGAAAACTCGATCGAAGATGTCTTTCGAAATGTTATCGCACCCACCTGGGCCCGAAGCTAGGGCCCTAGCCGAGAAAGAGCTCAGGGAAACCGAAGAGAATGTGAAGAACGGCATCGTGGGGCTGAGAAAATTGATCGAAGGTTAGTGAAATTATATTTATATTTATCGTATTTCTCATGATTTTTGTTTTCTTAAATACTGGTTGTTATATTCTGTGATATGTTGAAAACAAATTACACGCGTTCGCTTTTTTGTACATTTATTACAGAATTAGCTGTGCTTAGAGGGTGAACTTTTTGAGAAGATATATTGTTGTTCGCTTTTCTTAAATTTACTTATATCTATACTGATAAAAATCTTTAAGGTTCGCCAGTAATAATTAATAAAAATTTTTCCTCAATGGTAAAAGTCGACCAAACTGGCAATCATTTATTGTAGATAATTAGTTAAAATACAACGTTTCGGCTGTCATTGCAACCCTTTTCAAGTAAATCTATAAAAAGTTACATAAAAATAATTATATCTATACTGTTTAACTATTTTAATTTTTATATGTACTTATATATAATACTTTCGTTAAAAAGATACGTCAGATTCTCGCTATACGATACGAGAGATAGCTGTAAATCAGGCATTAATTTTATATTATTTTCTGTATGCATATAAAATATATCGTTTTTATTTTGTTTATTAAATAACACCAATGTTATCAAATTTTTGACTTATTTTTTAAAATATGCACAATTGTTCTTTTATTCCTGTCACACTGGATACAGTAATATAACATACATATAACAATGTACATTCCCACACTTATCTATACTCTTTATCTATATCGATAAGTAATCAAATGCACGAAGTAAATAAAATTAAGATTCTTAGTAATTCACTAAACATATAAAGATTATATTAAGAATATTTTGTATAAAGTATATATAGTATTAAGTTTGATGAAAAACTATTATAATTTAATGTTAAATTATGTGTTTGCGATTGTTCATTTTTTAGCAGTTATTTTATAATAATTAATGTTTTAATCGCAAAACACAAGTGTTTTGTTGTGGCACATACTTTATGTAAAATCTAGAAAATTAAATGTACAATATTTTTTAAAATTCGGATAATTTAAAGTAAATAATTTGAACACTACAAAAATATATATTTAAATGTAAATGCCAATTCTTTTATCTAAAATATCTTTTACAAATATTTTGCATTTATCAACATTTTGTGTTTATCAAAATATTTGCTCCTCTTTATTTTTGTTTGCTCTTCTTATTTGTCAGCACTATAATTGTCATTATTTTCATTTCTAAATAAATTTGAAAGTGTTAAGAAATAATAATATCAACTTTTTCATATATTTTATTCTCTATTTCATAAATCATCTATAAAGTTTTACGATTATAATTGTTAAATATTTTGTCTTATGTTTGGCATTTCTTTGAATAAAAATATAAATTTCTATTTTCATAGTAATTCGCAATTAGTGTCCTTTTATTTTATAATACAATATGTGCATTTTGTATGAGTTTTTAATATTAATCTAAAAATAGCGATGCAGCCGTGGATATTTTTATCGCGTAATAGCGGAATAAATAAACGTTAGATAATATTACTCTTGCATTTTTATTTTTATTAAATATGGTTCTGAGATTTTTAGTAAATAATACATAGAACACTTCATAACGCTTTAAGTTTTAATAAATAATAAATTCTTTACTATTTTATAATCAATTTTTATTTTTTTGAAAAGGTATGGTATTAATTTTTGAATTAAAATTAATTGAAAAAGAAAATCTTTTTATGTCTTTAATCAAACTTTAAAGGCAAATAGATGATAAAATTATACTTTTTTGTTACTTTTAGATTTTTTTAAAAGAATTTTATTTTAAGAGGCTTTGTAAATATATATGATAACATTTTTCCTAGTATCAATTAATTAAAATTAAAAAATTTGTGCATAAGTATAATTATTATTATAATCTTTGTTGTTGAAATTGCGATACATAATAATTTCCACTGATATTTTTACTAGAAAAGACTCCGATTTAATAAAAAAACTTATTATAATTAAGATTGCAAAGTGCAATATAAATTTCGAAAGAAGAAAAATAAATATGTTTATTATTATTACAATTAACACTACGATATGCGGAGCGCAATTATATGAATTTTGAAAGAAGAGATAAATATCCTTAACGCTATCATTGTGAAATCAGCATAAATTGTATATAATTTATCACGAAGTGTACTTCAAAATAACAAATAAGCTATCATGAAGTTTAGCCTTTTGAACTCTCTGAGACTTATTTAAGATACAAATATCATTACTTTTAAGATTCATTTAATGATTCAACTTGTATTGGAAGGAATTTATTTAATTGTAAGTTTAATAATAATAAAAAAAAAATAAAACTTCTTATTACATATTTTTAAAAACTATAAATATAGATGTACACTTTATATAAAAAGCGATATATACGTTATTCCTAAAGATTAAAATAGAATTTAGTATAATAACGCCCCTACACAATATCTGAAAGATTAATGTTATCGTTACATTTTGTCAATTAATTGTTATTATATATGTCAAATTTATTGAATCTTTGATTATAATAAATATCACATATAAATAAATATCATAAATTAAGAAAAAGAGAGAAATATGTATCCAGTAAAAAATATTTTTTGATATAATAAATATTAGTTTCGCGTAGATAAACAATTGATTTTGAGGGATTTATTTTAAATATTTATAAAGTAAAAATTAAATTATTTAAATGGAATTTAACGCTTTAACATTAATTATCAAAATGAAATGTTATTTTGACAACATTTTGTAGCTCTGAATAGATGCATTGAAAGATAATAAATCGAGGCCGTTTATGACATTCTGATAATATGTGTCTTTCACGTTTTATCTTTCCTCGTTTCACTGCACAGAAATAAATTGAATCTGATTTATTTTTCTGAATATAAAACTTTTTAAAACTTTAAATCGTCATGTTCGATTCTTAAAATGGTTACTTCAAAACCACGTACATGAATTTCAACTTCTCTTATTGTTAGCTTGAAACATTTCTAATATCATTAGAATCATATATAAAACTAATCGTTTAATTTTAATATTGTGTATCATGAGATGTAACTATACTATAATATTTTTTTAAATATATGCAAGAAATAATCCATAACAATAGATACGGAAAAGGCTATAAGATAATAAAAGTGCGAAATAACTCAAAAAAGTGTTTGTACAGTACTTCTAAATAAAAAAAAGTTTTTTTTAATGCGGTTCATAACCCCCATCTCATTTTTTTAAATTTGAATGTGGCAATAAAACAATTTAAAAGAAATTTTTTTGTAGAAAGAAAAACATTTTTATTGACATATTTTTTATATCAAGAATTCATAATCATAAGCATAGAAGGTGGGGCGTTTTAAACTGCACTAAAAAACTTTTTTTCATTTAGAAGTTATGCGTAAACACTGTTTTAAAGTCATTTCGCACGGAGGCATTTTTTACCATCTTATCCGGCTATAGCCTTTTTTATAAACATATTTGTTTATCATAAGTACGTTATATACATGTTATGCAAGCATAAAAAAAAATTAATGATAACGACGATCGATCCGACGAGTTGGATATGCACCTTGACCCCCGTACGCGATAAAGAAAATACATGATACACATATCAAGTAGGTATATGTATAAGAGTATGGCGTTAAGAACCTTTAGAACTTTCGGCGATAAATCATACACTCGAGAATGCTTGACACTCGGATACTGTTTTCACATGAAATATCTCGAGATTATTGAATGAAAATCTTAGACCGGAAATCCATAATGTTGAACATTTCAGCACAAATATACATATTTATCGCGAGATCAAAGTTTGGTGCATTTAAGTATAATTAAGTACCAATAATAAACACGATAAAACAAGTAATATTATTCAGTTTTACCCAGTAATTTTGAGCAATCTTATATCTCTCTATCGCTATGCGGATATATTAATATAGCGTGGCCGCCCTCTGACTCGAGTACGCATTTATCATTCCTGGACGTTCTGCAAATCGTTTTTGGTCGTCCGTCATTCGTTTCCGTTGACGAGTATTACGTATTTGTGTTGCCTTATATGCGGCACGCGCATCTATTTTGCTTGAAGTAGAATAAAAAATAGTGATCCTCGCAATTTCCTTAATAAGGAGGAGCAATTTCTTTAAGAATGGAATTGTGACCTCGCACGCGAAATCGCTTCAAAGCGATTCGTCAACGTTCGCGCTGTCAAGACGGTCACAGAACATTGACAAAAGAATCATGCATGTGTATAAATGTAATGTTTGTTCGTGATTACAATTAGTAAATCTTGTATTTTTTTTTCTTAGAAAAGTCTTGTGTAAATGCATTGAAAAAATTGAAATCTATTTTTTTCAATAGTTCAAAAGTCGCTAAAGAAAAGTACATCATAATTTTTGTTGATTTAAAGATGACACACTACTAGCTTCGCACCTTGATCAAGTACCACAATTCGATAACAGATGACAGAATGTTACAAAGTCCGATGATTCTTCCAGATTAGAAGAATGATCAATTGACGCGGTGAATCATTATTGAAAAAAATATGTGTATGTACACACATGATTATTCATATTGTTCACGTGCGCAAGATCACGTTCAAAACACGTTCGAAAGACATTAAACATTTATAGCAATGTTTCGAGCAGATTATAACAAGTACTTTGAGCATTAATAGGTTATTTTTTATTTATTTTTTCACGAAGCAAAAATGTATACATACAAACGGCTCTTTTCAAAAGCAATTTGTAATTCAAAGTTATTAAAATCAAAAGTCACCTCTCGAAGGTCAGCTGGTTCTACATACGAAAATTGAAATTAAATTCTACAAAAAATCAAAATTAAAATCTAGATGGAATATCTAAAGTTAATTAATCTTACAAGCAAAATAATGAAAATGTCTTTTATGTTAAGTAATATATGTTAAATATACAATTTTTTAACAATTTTATTCATATCCATCCTTGTCAGAGTTAATGAATTTTTTATGTAACGTTGAATAATATAATTTTTTCTTTATTCCAGAGGATAAGACCATCCATTACTCCACCGATGATGACTTTCTGATGATTTTCTTGCGACCATGCAAATTTTACCCGCAGAGTGCATATGAACTCATGAAACGCATCGCGGATTTTAGAGACAAGAATTCAGTTTTGTACCACAATCTGATGCCGAGCGATGAAAGAGACGCCTTCACTAATTATAATGTCGTTAACGTTTTGAAGGGCGTAGATCACAAAAATCGCAGAGTGATGATAGTTCAATCTGGCAAAACTTGGGATCCATCTAAGGTCACAAGCGATCAGATTTTGAGAATGTTCTATCTTGTGCATCTAATGGCCATACAAGAGCCGGAAACGCAGGTAATATAATATATCAAATATAAGTATGTAGCTTTTAATTCGCGAATATTTAATGTATACATAACTCTTCATAGAAGTTGGACATATACAAATTATTCAAAATTATGTCCAGATATTATTGTAACACGATAAAAAAAAATAACTTGTGTTTAAATCATTTTTCTTCAAATCTTTGCACACTTATAAATTTCTGTGTAACAAATTAAATTGTGAAAATTGCTAAATATGCGTAATCACATCAAATCGCGTGTGTGTACAATTCACGCGTCAGCAAAATTTACAAATTAATTGTAAACCTGACCGCGCAAAAAAGAAAGAAGAGATGAAACAAAATTCAAACAGCGATAACAACCGTTGTTTAAGAATTAAACGTCAACAACGTTAAAGTGTCTAATCTTAAATCAGATGCAAACAGAGGAATCAGCGAGGCGTGCGATTGCACTTTGCTCGATTGATAAGTGACTCGGTATGATGATTCAACGTCGATGAGGAAAGATATAATAATATAATTACTTCATTTATCACTTGTTTTAAAATCAAATGCATTGCTGATATCATTAATCGATTTTTTCAAAAGCAATCTATTACGAGCGTTTATTAAGTTGCAGAATTACAGGCTTCTGTCACGTTACAGATATTATGTGTATATCTTTTTATAGATATATGGAGTTGTTGTCATAATGGACTTCGATGGTCTAGCCATGAAACAAGTCAAGGGAATGTCGCCATCCTTTAGCTTAAAGCTCCTAAGTTTTATTCAAGAAGCAATGCCATTGCGTTTGAAGGAGGTTTGTATTAATAATATTATAATCGTAAAAGTTACTTCTATATATAAAAAAATCCTATTTACATGGAGTAAGTCAAATATGTGATCGATAAATTCAATTATTATTACGTGTCTGTATATATTCCTTATTTTGGTACACGCGATACAAATAATTCTTATTCTCGATTAATAAATAAATTTCTGTTACACAAATACCGTATATTGTTTCCAGGTTCATTTTGTGAAACAACCATTTTTGTTCAATATGGTATGGACAATGTTTAAGCCATTCGTTAAGGATAAACTGAGGAAGCGCATGTTCTTTCATGGCAACAATATGTCTGCTCTTCATAATCACATCCCCGCGAGTCATTTGCCGAAAAATTATGGTGGTGATTTACCTGAAATCGACTACAGCGGTGCCGATTGGTATCCAATAATGTTAACCGTCGAAAATAAAGTTAAAGAATGGAACACGTATGGAAATGTCAAGAAATAAGCTAAATTTTCAGATAGTCATCCTAATAATATAATATTATTAAACGCCTTTTGAACTTTGGAAGATGTTACATGCGATATGTATTTTTGTATTTAGATTATATATATATATATATATATATATATATATATATATTATGTTATATTAGATTAACATATATTATATATATATACATTTTATATACGGTGATATTTTATAAAAAAGTGCGACACGCTAATGTAAAAATAACAATTCAGATTTAATTGATTAGTATTGCGCGTATTATTTTTCACGAATTAAAATAAATAATTTATTTTGTACTTATGAATACAAAAAAGTAAGAAATATAAGACATTGTTATTTAAAAGTAAATTTTGCTTGATACTTCAAACGCTCTCTTCTTATTCTTATTAAGACAGACTTGAATTTTATATGTAAGAAGAAAAAAATATATATCGAACATATCGATGTCTTCCACATGTTAAGATGTTCTAAATTACTATACATGAAATTTCTTTTATAATAAAAAATATATATTGTATACTCGTATACAATTCACATCAACAATTATTTATATAGGTTTTAAGGGAATTAACTTCATATTGCATTAAGAAAAATTGATTTATTGATTTGTAAATTTAAAATTTTTGTCAGTTGTACATTAACGCATATATAGTTACAATGAAATGTTATATATTAATAACGTCATTTGTTGTCATGTAATATATAATGCACAATCAGAAGCATTAATGCTATTTGTATTCATAAAAAAAATTTAGGATATGCAATTTTTACCAATCTTTTTATTATTTCATGCAAAATAAAAATGAATTATATATAATTATATTTATTATATTATTGCACTATAATTAAGTGTACCAAAAAGTGTACTTCTTGAAGTATGTAATATTTGAGTATATGAATATTGAATGATATTAATGCTTCTGATTTCAAAGATTTCCTTGTTTATTGTATAAATATGTATCAAATTATAATGTGCATTATGATATAATCACACATTAATGTGTTGGAATAAAAAAAAATATTTTTATTATTAAGCGATTATTTTTATTATCAAACAATTCAAATATTTATAACAAATAACATACCTATGTATTGTATATTGATACTGTTTGTGTATTAATTAATATTTTAAAGATTTCCTTGTTTATTGCATTAATTTCAAATTTACTTTATTTCTGTAGTATTATAATATCTTCATAATCAAAATGCATACATTTTACAAAATGCATAAAGTTTTATAATTAATTATATTAATTATTAAAGTTTTTATTAATTAATTATAATAAAAATTTTATTAATTTTATTGATTTTATTTAATTGCGCAATCTGATTATTGTTAATTGTTATAAAAATAGAGAATAATTGATTCGAATACGAAGGCACACAGTTCATGCTGTTACCTCTTCACTTGAGTGTCGCCATATAAATGATAACAACGATAAGGCTTCAATATTATAAATATTAACAATATTTATAATATTGAAGCCTTATATTAACAATATTTATAATATTGAAGCCTTATCGTTGTTATTATTTATATAACAACACTCAAGCGCTATACGTTATGTCATAAGAAAATATGGAAAATATATAAATTATTTTGCCGATGAATGATTAATAACATGATATTTGATCTTGATGTTGTCCAACGTGTTTATAATATTAATTAACCTGCTTCGGATTTGTTATGGCAAAAACAGTGGTGCGAGATACTCCGTTAAATTCCTGTTTTAATATCTCGATCGCGATCGGTATCAGAAAATTTTTTTGCTTTGATAATGAGTAATTACGACTTCTATAATTAATGTACGTATGTACTTATATGTATAACTATCTGTTACGGCAATAGATTTGAAACGCATTTTTTGCGTAATTTATTCATTCAATCAATAAAATAAGAATTAAAATAACTAAAATCTAGTTTATTATTGTTCCAATCTTCAGGAACAATAATTTTTTAAAGATATTTAGAGTCAAATATATCATTTGAATTTTCGATCTAATATGATCTAAATATACGAGTACATAGGTATAATTCGGAAAATATAAAATACATATTTATTTTTTAGAATATGCTTAAATTCAAATACATTTAACTTTAAATATATTTAGACTTAATTACAATTAGATGTAATTTATTAATCATTTTCGGATTAAGACAGAATTCGTAGTAAAACACGAATCGTAAAACTGAAATATTAGTAACAAAAAATCGTGTTTTACATTAACAATTTTGATTAAAAGTCAAAAAACAGAAAATTTAAATTAAATATTACAACTTAAAATTTAAGAAATAGGATATTTTATATTTACATTTTGATATATTAAATAAGTATTTTAACAATCAATTAATTAATCATTGCATTGATTTTTATATGATTATAACAAATACTAAGAAATACTAAATAATTATTCTTTAGGAATAATTAGAAATTATCAACTTAATAACTAATTAATTTTCACGATTATCGTCGGTTTTAATTGATAACTTGCATAATATTATGAATCGCGAGTCGCGAATATCAGGACAAAATTGTACGACATTATTTCCGAATTTTTGAATTATTAATAAACATTGAGAGTACAAAACGTAGTGATTTATAATGTAAAATATTGCATAATTATTGCGCACTGTAGTGTAATATCATGTTTTCGCAAGAGAGTCCCGTGAAAAAGCAAAAAATAAACAAAAAAGAAGAAAATAGAAAAGGAGGAAACAGATTAAGGAGGAACAGATATCAGGTGACGGTAAAGCAAATACAAGATAAAAAATTTAATTTTCTGCCAATTTATTACTTATTTCCAAAATCGATTTTTTATTTTTATGATGATTAATTTTATATGTGTAAATATAATGCATATATATTATGTTTTAGGTCTTTTCCATTTTACACAAAGAATTTTTATTTTAAACATTAGGATAGCTTACTTTTCTTTAAACTCATTTAAGTATTTAATACTTAAATTTAATATTTAAATATTTTAAATATTTCAAAAATATTATATATATATATAATATTGGTATATAATTAATAATTTTATATTGATATACATATGTATATTGTATTATTGATATTTACAACATATTCGATGTTTTAAGATTTATAATTTTTTAGATTATTTATATATTTATAAAAAATAAAATTTCTATTTTTTATATATCCTTATATGAGCTTATATCTAAAGCAAATTATTTTTTGAAATTTTTTAAATTAAATTATTAATTTTTTTATTAAATATTTATTTAAAAAAAATTAATGGTGTATAATAAATTTAATTCATATTTAATTTAATTATAAATTATTAATTATTTTGAACATTGCTTCATATAATTTTGTTTATATTTTATAGATTAAAACACATTATTCTACACTCTGCCGTTGTGCATTGTATCATGTATATTAAATCATTTTCTATCTTAATTACGAGGTAATGGATTGCAAGATAATATATTATATATTATAAATATAATTGTATAAAAATTAAATTTGCAATAAGCAATTAAATTATGTTAGAAATGCATAGATGATGTTCCAAAATTTTACAAAACAAAATATAGCAAAAAAATTCACGAGAAATTAAATAATAAAAATATGATATTAAAATGTTTGAGAATTTTTTCGTTATTATTTAAAATATATAGTAAGAAAGAAAGAGAAAGAGAGAAAGAGTGAGGAGGAGAGAAGGGCGAAAAGGAGAAAGAAAACAATAGAGGAAGCAAATATATAATTATGTTTCAAAAATGCAGAAACTTTATTTTTAATTTTAAATAGCATATTGACATGCATTAAGCGTCATCAATGCCTTCCTTTTCCGGGATAAACATTTACAAATCAAATGTATTTGTCTGGATATTTGTACATACCTTCGACTTTTGTAGACAATTTAATATTAAACATAAAGTAATAAATCAAATCACACAATACTAAATTAATTAATAAAAATATATCTTTAAATTTTTGAATTTAATAAACATTAATTTAATTAATGAATTTATAATAACTAAACATCTAAACATAATATATGTCTAATCTGAAAATCTCTAATCTGAGAAAAGTTATTAATAATATTACAATACACATAATTTCGAAATATGTAATATGTGTACAGCCTTAATAATTTTTTGTGTTATTTTATTTTAATAAATAATTATATTAATAAATAAGACAAATAAATTTTATTTATTTATTCTTTCTAAGTTATATTCAATAAAAAGTTATACGAGTATACAATTTATGTCACTATACACTTGACATTAGTCGGTTTATAGATATTTATAATTATTATTTAATATTATCAATTTTAAAGAAATTAATTTTATTATTAATTTATTAATTTTATTAATTTTATTAATAAAAGTTCAAACATTACAAAAACATTAATTTGCAAGTCTACACTTTTATATATATGTAAATATTATGCGAAGTAGTGTGAATTAATTTTTAATTCTTATTTGCCTTATTTATTCATTTAGATAAATATTGAAAAAAATCATACGACTCTCTCTTGTTTAAAAAAATTAATTTTAATTGTTTGTTTTTGATTCTCATATCTAATGTCTCTGGTGTATTTTGCTCTTACGTCGGCTGTAGAAGCCTAACGCAATGTCTTTTGCGTCGGTTATTGCGAAAATTAAAATTAGGAATAGTATCTTTTTTTGAACTTAAAAATAAATTCGAACAATTTGAATCTAAAAGTAAATAGCAAATGTATTTTTCGAAAATAAATTATAATTATTTACAATAAATACTATTTTTACTTAAATTGCTCTTGATGTCTAAACTATTTAAATAACAGTACCTTTGAATAATGCAAATTAACCAAACGATTCGGTTTTTGTTACTCTTTGATCTATTCGAAAATAGAATTTAAATATTTTATAATTTCAAGTTGATTTGTGAATTTCTACGAATCTGTATTTGAGGATGAGAGATTTTATTTTACAAAACATTTAATTTAGTTAATACTTTTAATTTAATTAATACACTACAAATGTTTAGTGATATATTGCTTGTGTTCTTATTTTTCACAATCTAGTTTATTCCCAGTCGTGTATATAGTTCTGATAGAATTCTAAACGATCATACGTTTCGCATTGTCACGGTCATGTAAAAGTGGGGGAAACTATGGCTTTCGAACCATCCTAACTGGATTGTCTGGACACAGTTCTCATCAGCAATTCGAACACTACAGTACTAATCCGGTTAATCCTTCCGAAGAAAAAGAAAAGTGATCTATTCTTTTGCTTTTTACATTTTATTTAGATATTTTGAGAAAAGGATTAGTGAATGAATCCTTGATTTCACAATCAACTGCAACTAAATTTTAATGTGATGTCAGACACATGATTTAGTGATACGTAAAAAAACCAGTTTGTGGTGAAGGTCCGAAACTGCGAGATCTCTGCAAGAGCATTATAATTCGTGGGTATAATTTTGATAAATTTTTATATATTACATGATGACTGATTTTTCTAAAATTTCCATAAAATATATTTCTGATTGCACATGTTGCGTAGAAAACTATTGCAGTTGCAACTGTTGAGTAAAAAACATGCGTCGCAAACATATACAATTAAAAATTTTTCTTCTTTAATTGCAGTTTTTAGATTCTCTTTTTCATTTTTTCAAATTTAAATATATAAATAAGAAAATGCTTTTCTTTTACTTTTATATGTGTGTACATTGCATCTTATTAAGTGTACAAGATAAATCCGTACAAAAGACTGTGGAGAATTTTTAATACATGCATAATAATTACATTATTTAATATAATTGAATTTTTAATATATACATTAATATAATAATTAGTATGTAATTTAATATTACACAGAAAAAAGATATTCAAGAATGTTTTACATTTTGTACGAAACATTGACGACATTTCTTACGTAAACATCTTCATTATATGTATTTTTTGTATGTACTTCAGTAAAACAATGGATCGTGTAAAACATTAGATAAGTTACATTAAAGCAGGTATGCATAGACGCACACCACAAATACATATTTATTTTGCATAATGATATAGAATGTTTCATAAGATTTACCTTCAAGAAAATATATTTTTAATAAATCTATTTTATTATCTCTGTAAAAATTTAATGATTCATTTTTAAGAGTAAGAAATTTCCAATTTTCAATCTTAGATAACATTTAATTAAATCTTAAATTAAATTTCTACTGCATTTGTCTAATATTAAAGACAATTCATTAACAGTTTTTACAATCAATTTTTAATAATCTTTGTAATTTGAGATTTTAACATAAAATTTGTTTTGGAATTAATTCTCTTTAGCTCTTTATAGTTCTTTTTCAGTTTCTTTCTTCTTATAGAGCATTTTGCGTCACATTTTCAATTTTAATGATTACATTTAAACATTATTATATGCATTTAAACATCATTATAGGTGTGTAATAACTGCAAAACACATGATAAACAATTTATTTATAATTTATAGTAAGTAAGAAATATACGGACTTTTTTGTTTTTCTATGCAATACATTTACTTATAATGATAAAAATTGAAATAATCATTTCATAAGAAATCTTGTTAGAGGTCAATAATGTATCGATCCATATACAAAAAAATCGATTAAAAGAGATGTGCGAGGCATATTTAAGTGCTAAGTAAGTAACTTGATACATAGTGACAAGTATTTTACAATATAATGCGAATTAAGAACCCAGATAGCCACAGTAATTATTATGACATTATTTTGATGCCAAAAGGCATTATTTTGATGGCAAATAATGCATTTTGACATCAAAATGATGTCATAATAATTACTGTGGCTATCTGAGAAATATTTTAAAATGTTTTACAAATTTACTTTTATCAGATTTAATACTAAATAGAGATTTGCCTGAAAAATTATTTATCGGTAATATTTTCTAAAAAAGGTGAAATAGATAAGATGAGCAATTGATATTTTTGTCTCAAAATTAAATTGTTAATGTAAATAAATGAATGAATATTAATATTAATACTCATTGCACTGTACAACGGCTGTCGTCAGAAGTGAATGTTTTATCTTATATGTTCGGAAGTGCGTCAGGCAGAAAGATGAAACCTAATTGAAATGCTGATAACCAATTATTTGCGATTCATTTGTGGCACTTTGATATGTGTATAATAGAAAAATATGAATTAAGAAACAATTAAACAAAATGTAATATAAAAATAAATTAATACAAATTGTCATATACAAAAATGTAATATACATACATTGAATAATCAATGTATGCAAAATAATATGTGCAACTGTTATTGTGTGTATATACGTACACATATATACAAGAACTTTATTGTTTCTCAAAAAGTAGTATCAAACTTTGAATGATAAATTGAAAAAGTATAAAAATGTACTCAATCGTCAAATGTGTTTTCCAGTAATAAAAATAATCCACATGAATTTTTATGTTACTTTGAAGTCACGAATAAAAATTGCTGTTACTGAATTAATAGAAGGCAATCGTTTTGCACACAAAAGATTTGTGAATTTCTGTATAATCTTCTCTGACCATTATCTTTGTTGCGAGATTCTCACAGCAGTTTCAGGACAAAGCCGACAAATGCGCATATAATATATTTAACTGTGTATTGGACTTTGCAATCACATTGAACGCAAATTCTTCCTACACGTACATTGCACATGTAGACACGCATCCGTTTCTATAATCAAGTGACGAAATTCTACTAGGTACATACATGTACATTCTCGACCGACAAAATCAAATATACGAGACCGATTTCTCGTTCCTCATCACGAATTTATTGGAGTCATTCGCCTATTTCTATGTAAAAGTACGATTGACAACACGTATGTCGCGTCGAATGCATCAATGAAGTCTTTTGTGTTATTGCCGCACGATAATTCGGACTACGATTGTATCCAACAGATATTCGTTGTGATGGATACGACAGCATCATCCGCGATTATCGAGGATCAAAATAAGTTGAAACATCCATCCAAGGAAGAGCGAAGTGAGCTTTATCAAAACTGGCTAGAAAATGGACCCAAAATTTCGTTTAGTGGACACGAACTTAACCTTGAGTTAGATAGTATCGACGAATTCTTCATTCAAAAAGCCAAGGACGAGTTGCGAGAGACGCCGGAAATCGTTGCCGAGAGTTGTAGGGAATTGCTGCAACTGATTGCAGGTAAAGTAAAGTCAATTGCATGAAAAAAAAACATCTCTCTGCTTTATCGATGCCTCGAACGAGGAACGAGAAGGGGAAATATGATTATAGTTTGTGTTGGGATTCACTAAAGTAGTTCCTGCTGTAGAGGACAAATTGAAGAGAGTTGTTCATCTATTCAATGTCCTTGGCATTGCTTATTTTTCTCTACATCTTTCTCTCAATCGTTGTTGTCATCGTCCTCCAATCGGTTTCAGCACGTTAAAAGGAAAAGAGTTTTTTTTGTAAAAGTTGTTGCATTCAAGATTTTTTTCCTTTCTACTGATATATTTCTATCGCAAAATCTTTTCTTATTAAATTATTTAATTAACATACTTTATTATATAACATTATCACAATAAAAAACATTACATAACAAATAATGCTACTAGCGCTTCACGGTTGCACAGATTTTAAAGAGAAAATGGATAAAAGAAATAATTCACGAAAAGAAATGATGACAAATGGAACAAGAAAACTTTCCCTTTTATATAATCTGTAATAAAGCACACACAGAGTTCCTGTATTTCATATATTTATATTTATAATATATAATTCAAATATATAAATCGGTTTCATATTTCATAGAAAGTCGTTCAAATCGTGGAACAACGATCGATTAATTTTTTTATCTGAAAAAACGTTTTAAATAATTAAAGAGTGAGTCAGATTAAAGAGTGTTTCTAGAACGAAGATCAACTTTTGCATGCTATAAGCACGTTAACTACTAATGTAATGCAACGCTCAATCTAACAATGGTAAAAGTGCCCAATGTAACATATGAATTTAATTAGATTCGCGTGAATCGAGTGAAAATGAAAGCTGCTCGCTCTTGCATCGCGATAATTTCCAACATTTCTTTGCCTTTCATCGTAAAAAGGAGAGCGCGCAATTGTGTCGAAATATACAATTGATTACTATAAACGAAAATATGTTAAGTACAAAGACGGAAATTTATGTTTAATGGTTTTTTAATAGCGATATTAATCACCTTATTAGATATCTTATGTAACTATTATTCATAATATAATTGACTAATAATTTATGATTATGATAGCATAACGAAATAAATTTCATGGAAGCAAGAGTTCGTATTTTGCGCTATTATCAGAGATTTCGTATGATGAAATTGTGTATTATTATTGTATATAAATTATTTTTGTTTTTAAATTATTAATAATTTTATATTTAGGTAACTGATATCGATGATTTTCTTGCATTGTTCTCACACATAACATTTTTCTCATAAATCATATAAAATATCTATATGCTCTTTGCATATCTATATGATTTTTAAATTCTTTTTTGTTAATATATTAAAACCGTACACCCAAATCCATATAGTTTGCTTAATATTTAATTGCGATAGCAACAATACATTGAAATTGTATCAACTTATGTTTATATTTTGTTAGGGGAACCTTATCTAAATATACCGACTGAAGAAGAATTTCTTCAAATATTCTTGCGACCATGCAAATATTATCCGAAAAGTGCTTTTTCCCTTGTAAGTTAGAACATTTCTTGTATGTAATTATTACTAACATCATTAATTAATTTCACTTTAAAATAATATCATAAATATTTTTCATCAATATCACATTACATGTGCAATATTATTATATATATTATTTAAAATTTTGTTACAAATTCTGGCTAATTTGATATTAATTTTTTCTTTAAAAAATGTCGAACTAGCTATAGTTTTGGCGAAATTAATGATTGAATAGAAATAAGGAGCTTTTAAAAAATTAAATTTTAAAAAAGAAAATCGATGAGAAAATAATTTTTAATTAATCTCGTTAATAACTGTTGATTATTAACAGTTTCGTTTAAAAACAAATTTAAAATTTTATATTTTATATTAGAAATGAAGAAAATATGCTAAGTAATATCTAATGCTTCCTAATCGACATTTTTGCTGAGGAAGCATCATCTCTAAGTGAGCCAAAGAAACTGTATTAGATATATATATAATCGCAGTGTTTCAATCTACTACTTCTTTATTTAATATTAAATTACTCAATTTTTTTGTATTATTTGATAGATGAAACGATACTTTCGGTTTCGCCAGAACTATCCGCATATATATGTCGATTTATTACCTAGCAAAGAAAAAACGGCATTGTGCGCCAATTTAGTTTATCCATTGCCATTTCGCGCTAAAGATGGATCTAGAATAGTAGTAATCGAGGGCGGCAAACGATGGAATCCAAAGGAAGTGTCACCTAATGCGTTCTTTAAAGGCTTGATAATTATGTTGTACATTGCAATGGGAGAACCCAAGACTCAGGTTTGTCATAGTTTCGAAAAATTCTTTTTTTTTTTTATTTATTTGTTATTTTTCCATTTAACTGCTGAATTTTATTCTGTTTCCTAGATCGCAGGTGGACAAGTCATCTTAGATGTGGAGGGTTTATCTCTCTCACATGTTACATATCTAAGTCCAAGTTTCGCCAAAATGATGGTCGATTTTATACAAAAATGTTTGCCCCTTCGCCTTAAACATATTCATATTGTAAAACAGTCCTTTTTCTTCAACATGGCATTTGCAATTTTCAAACCATTTCTAGAGGTACACAGTTTTAACCGACTATAATTTGTCATTATACACGTTTCGTATGGGATAATAAATTTCCAATAATCTAAAAAAAATGTTTATCTATAAAATATTTATGAGAAAAAGGAAATGAAAATATGTGCTATTATTTGCAGGAGAAGATTCGCAAACGAATTCATTTTCACGGTACAAATTGGGAGAATTTAAGTACTTTTATAGATAAGAAAGCACTACTTAAAAGACACGGGGGTGAATTAGAAATGCCCGATGGACCATTCGGTGTGAAACTTTGGCAAAGTATAACTATATGTGATCCCATTTTTGAAAGTAATTATTTTACATAATTAACGATTTATTTATTATTTAAATTTCGATAATAGAAACAAAATGCATCGAATTGAATCACGATTATAATTTAAATCAATTTTATGTATATATTATGTTATTTAAAAAGTCAGTGTTTTGTTTCAGTTGATCAACGTTGCGGATACAAAACCGATAATAACGTAAAATAACCGCTATTTGAATCAGTTTGTTGCATTATCATCACCAATCATCATCATCAGAATTATAATGGATTAGCAATTATACGCTTGAAGCTGCAATAACAAATTACAAACATGAAATTACACGAAAATGACGCTAAGCGCTATCAAAGAAGATCCATTAAAATCAGATTTTATTTTCAAAGATTATAATAAATTATATATTGATATATGTATATTAATGGCATCAATAAAAAGTATTACGACTTACAAAATTATAATGTTTTTAGAATTATTATTTGTATAATTACAAATTTTATCTTTCCAAAGATTTTATTTACATATATATGTGAATGAAATATTATCTAATAATATTAAATAAATATAAAATTTACGTGAATAAGGATTATATTTCTATCATAATATATCATATAAATTTTTATAAGAATGCAGTTTTAATACTTTTTATTAATACCGCCAGCATATTGCTCTATATTTTAATTAATTAATAATATATGTATTTAAAATATTTACATGTGCATAACTATTACATAGATCATCTTACACAGAATATATATACATAGATTAAGTCAAAATAACAATTTTTTAAAAATTTATTTCTATGTTGAAAAATTATTATGTACCAAATTCATAATTTAAGTATATTAATTAATTTGTATATGGCTTTAAATAAATAGCAAAGTTGTATCTCTTGTGCTAAATCACAAAAACACCACATTTCTCAACATCTTGTATGCAAAAAGTATTTAAAAATGTGGAACTTCTAAGTTAAAAGATTATTCTATCCCTATAAATTAAATAATTATTTTAAAATCATTGGTGTTTACTGTATACAAAATATATGGAATGTATAATAATCTAATCACACACATCAGATAATTATATTATGTATCTCAGATGAGATCACAGATATCTATTAACAGATTGTGAGTCTTGTAGTATCAAAATTGTAAAGAAAGTACAAGAAATATATAATGCGATGCATTACGTCATTTCTCGCAACTTTTGGCTTAATCTTATAAATTGGTAATCTGTTTTACAATACTGTCTAGTCAAAGGAAGAAGTAGAAAAAGACTTACGTATATATAACAACATGTTACAAATAAAATTACAAAGTGAGCAAGGCTTAACTCGTCGGTTTCGACGAGTAAAGAAAAATGATCTATAATGATCGTCGTAATTCCTAATATGACATCTCACATCACGAAATATTGCTTCTTTAATTATTTTCCAATAATTTGAATCTAAATACTTATTTTTAATTGTGATAAATTTAACGAGTTATTTCTTTTTATAACCATACTCGTTGATGGCTGCAACAAAAGAAAGATTATTATAGTCAAATTCTATCGAGTTATAATATTAAACAATTAAATTCCTTTATATTAACATCAAATAGAATTTGATATTTTCCCTCAATTCTGTTATATTATACTTGCAACAGATAGTATATAATATAACAGAATTATATGATACAATATCACAGCAGAATTATGTGGTGCAATTTTTTTTACACTTACCTTCGTATTCCTTTTCGCACTGGATCAGCATTTTGTACCACGTGGGTCCATCTATCAAAGGTACGTCCAGGGTACCGCCATAATTCGCCGGCAGACACTTCGGCGATATGTATCCATGCAATGATTTTCGGTCGCTGCCGTGGAAAATGATCTGGAAGAAGGAAAAGAAGAAAAAGATTTAAATTTCAGCTGTTTATGACACACACAAGAGACTTACCCTACTCTTAAATTTCTCTTTCAGGAATGGCTTGAACAGAGCAAACACCATGTTGAATACGTATGGTTGGTTCACGATGTGCAGATTTTTGATCCTCAGTGGCATCGCCTCCTGAAGCAGATCGACTAGTCTCTTGGCGAACGGCGGGGTGAATTGCCAGGCTTGCTGAAGGGTGAGACCGTCCATGTCGAAGATGACAACCGCACCGGCGATCTGCGTGCTCGGTTCCAGCATGGCAGCCTCCAGATACAGCACGCATCCCTTGAAGATCTCGTCCAGACTGCACTTATTGTGCTTCCACTTCTTGCCGATTTCAACTACTAGCATGCGTCGACCATATTGGTCGCGAATGGGCAGCACCGTCAAGATATTCTGATCAAATATATTCTTTTCTCTGCTCGGCTTGAGATTATCAAAGACTGAATGCCGTGCCTTGAAGTTGTAATATTGCTTGATAAGCTGGAGCGACGACTCGGGATAATACTTGCATGGCCTCAAAAACCTGATCAGCCAGGCATCGTTGTGGAACGGGCTTTTGAGATCGATCTCGGCTGTTAAATCATTACAAATACTTTAAACAATGGTAAGAACGTGCAACAAGATTTCAAAAAATTCCGAAACATATATCAGACATTTTTTCTTATGTTAAACATATATGCTATATATAATTATATATATATTATTTAATATGCCACCTTTTAATAATTCTCTTAAGCGTGCTACTGACTCTTTTTGAAGTTCGGGATTTTCTCTGAGCTCCTTTTTGGCTACTTCCTGCAATTCTGAAGGAGGAGGATTTAATTCGATCTCAAATATTCGGTTGCCGATTTTCATGCATGGGATTTCCTTTAAATCCGATAAAAAACAATCTGAAAAAAGGTAATCTATTTTCAGCCAATATTTCTTCGATTTTTTACACAATCATTTTTTAACAGTAATATGATAAATGTTTGTAAATTTAGTTAACTAATGATGTGCTAATTTCAATGCTACTAATAATGCAAGAGAAATTTTTTACATTATTTCTATTGATTTATTAATCGGTTAAATCTATGAAAATTAAATTGTGAAAATTATAATTGTAAATTATAAAATTAATAAAATTTATGGTCCTAACGGCACATGTCCGAAAGATATTCAAAGGACATTCAGAGAACATCCACAGAAGATAAAATATTCTGTGCTGTTAAGAAGATATAATTTGTTCACGTTTTTGCGAAAAGGAGATAAAAAAAGGAAATTTATTTTTCGTAACAATTATATAAAAATTTACATATGCATATATTTTGCACATTTTTAAACAGTTGGTCCTCTTGAATGACTTCTTTTCGTTTTGAAACTTTTATGATAATATTCTGTTTTTGTAAATCTATTATAAATTTCTACAAAAAATAAATTGCTTTTCTTTCTTATGCATAGAAACGATTTATTTGAACAGAAATGCAAATAGAAGTGATATATTTAACGAAAGTAGTTTTCAAGTTACGTAAAAGATAAGAAACTTGTTCTAATCTTGTTTAGATCACATGTTTTATTTATTTTCTCTCTCTCTCTCTCTCTCTCTCTTTCTCTTTTTTATATAGTATTACGCATTTTAATTAATTAATAAGATTGAATTGATATAATATTAAAATGTCATAATGCAGAATATACTTAACCGTTTAACGTTTTCATACTTTATCTTCTTAAGATTAAGGCTGCATTCGTCTTGGACGCTTTCAGAACTATAAACATCTTCTCTCTTTGTTTGAAATTCGATGCGCAACGAACACAAAAGATGCTTATAGTGCTGAAAGCGTCAAAGCGGACGCAGCCTACGTAACAAACGTAAATAATTATAAATGTTTAAAATACATATTCTCACCGATCTCATACCTGTTTTCTGAAGCCATCATTCTTTATAATATATAAATAAAATACAAGAAGATTTAAAGAACATTCTATAACACAATAACGCACATGAATAATTTACGATAATATCTTTAATACATATGCGAACGCGATCAACCTATGTAAAACGTGAAGTAATACTGTTACCCTGCGCACGCTGGTCAAGGAGATGAGTTTGCTTTTGCGTATGATCATTAATTATGTAACACATATCGCGGATATAACGAGTAATGCAGTCGGCTGTGATTTCGGACAGGATGCAGAACAGAAATTATCGCCGACGTGTCACGTTAAAATAATCATTAAAAACGTGACTCAGCTTCCTGATTTGTAAACATTCCAAGATAATTATAAAATATAATTACAGAATTATTATTGAATTCCCATCGAATCCCCATACAGCACAGATTATTGCAATTATATTGCAGCAACGTTGCAATGTTGCAAGTTGCAATGCAACATTATAAAGACATTGCAGAGATATAGGTGCACAAAATTCCAGCACACTTGTAGCAACATGACATTAATATTTCGGAAATATTGCATGTAATCCAAATTCTATAATTTATATATTGTAATATATATAAATTAATTACAACGTATTTTCATTAATGATTTATTTACATTTATATACCTGTATATGCAACATTAGTTTATGGTTGCAATAACAATGCATTATTGCAAATTCATAACATTGCAATGTTGTTGTAATATTTTGTTGCAATCTTCCAAAAAGCGGACATTTTAACATTGCTGCAATTCAACAGCAATGATGTAGCAACATTTTGCAGTGAATTTGCAATATTGCAATATTGCGGTGAAAGATTGTTGTAATGTTTTTGCAATCTATCGGTGCTGTATGGGTCGCGTTATGATAGAATTACCATTAAATTTTCATTGAATATCGCGATGTAATTATTTTTGTATTCTTGATTTCTTATTATTATCATCATTATCATCATTTATCAAGAGAATTATTTATTAACAAATTGAACATACATTTTTTATATTTTAACATTTTTTACCTTTGTTCTTCTTGGAATTTATTTCATAATTATCTCTGAGTCTGAGTATCATAAATTCCATTAAAATGAGACTGCTAAGATAAAAGAAAAGCTCAATCAATCGATCAAAATCTTAGAAGTTACGTATACAAAATATTTGTTATATTTAATACATTTTATTTATTTATATCGCTTTTTTGGATACAATTATATTCGATATTTATCAAACTGAATAAAAATCGACAATAAAACTTTTTTTAAGCAAATTTATTTTATCAGTGTATCGCACAGTATAATTAAAAAATATCCTCGACCTACATTTTTGATTAGACGAGTTTCAATTACCACTTTAACAAATTGATAAGAAGATACGACAATTATGTCAAGGAAGTTATGTAATTATTTGCCGATATAACACATGATAATTTTTAGATACTATCGTGAAATAATAATATCATCATTATTACTGCGATATGCGTGATGCGAAATCGAAATCAGTATAATTTGAAATAAGTAATGAGTCTTGTGAGCAACCTTGATTGTACAATTAAAAGACAAGTAACGTTACTTCTAATAGATCGCGAGACAGTTAATGCAACTTCTCGATCTCTCTTTTTTTTTTTGTTCTTTAAAGTGCAGTCGAAAGCCGTTATGTAAGAAGCGTATATAATGTTAATTACTTGCTATTTTCGACGTTAAACTCATTTTACTTTCACGAAATTCAAGCCGAGTGTCTCGACAAACTTGTAAATTGTTATCAATATATATATATATATATATATATATATATATATATATATATACACAAGCGTACACACACACACACACAAATGTATACTGTATGCCTAATGAACTGATATCATTAGTGCCATTGTTGGGCAGTTTCCATCAGCTGCGCCTTATCGCGCTCCAAATGAGCCTGTTTTAAAACGAGCAACGACGAGTTTTATTCTAGATGCGTCTGCAAATCGACAAATATGTATGCGCAATCTAGGACAGAGTGCAAGCGATGCAAATTGCAGTTGACTCGTGACTGAATTTGCAAGTTTTTCCGCATTGTACGTGTCCCTGGGACTTCAAGCGTCAATTATAATAGGAGAAAAAATTATTCCACATATCCTTTTTCCTTCATTTTCCACAACGTGTAGATTGCGTGGATTAGTCTAGAATCTTGATCGAGTGCGATTGCGTCGCAATTTCTACGTGGGTCTGCATATTACAATACATCCTTACGTCGCGAATCGATGGAAAGAAAAATACCGACGCGAATCTCATCGTAAAACGTAATGATGCTCGCGCATAACAATTATACGTGCCAAAAATAATAATTACACCCGTTGACGAAAAAATGTTGTTTCGTTCCTTCCTCCGCATGCGATATATTGAATTACATAAACGAAGTTATCGATGAAAAAATCGTCTGGAAATAATTTGCGCGTTATTTAAAACATGTCAGGTTTTTTTTTTATAATTTACCTTATATATGCAGACATGAAAAATAAGATTTTTTTTTAGTTCCTCCCAATTATTTTAATTGCACATTTTTTTCAAAGATTGTTTCATGCGCGTTCAATTATTTTCATTACGTTCTATGCCGAGGAATATTGGTATGACAACAAAAGAAAAGATATTAAATATCATTTGTGTCTAAAAATATAAAATATAATACTTGGCTGACCTGTTTGTGCAGACGAGGTATGTCACGACATAAACTGTATTTCAAGTTTAGAATTCTCTTTCGCGAAGTCGTTTATAAAGCGCTTCTACTTTAATAATGTATCGATTCCGCGCCCGAGATATTTATTGATAGAAAAACTGAAACAATTTCTTCTTAATAAATAAATTGAGATTAATTTTTAATATTGTTTTGCATTATATATTATAGGAAAAGAAAGAATTTTTATATAAAGGATTTATTCATGGACATGAAAAAATAATAAAAGTTTTATCTCTTACAGTTAATTTTGGGATCTACTTTGAGAACCGCAATTATATGTAAGATTAACAACAATATTCATTAAAATATATTAAAGTTTTCAAAGTAAAAAAGGATTCGATAAATACATTTCGAGTGATCTCGTTACTTTTAGACGATGCAGATGAAGAGGCCTATAGATGCTCCCTTTCACTGTTTTCCACGCTTTGGCAGTCACGAATGTACCTACTTAACTTTATTTCACTTTCGAATCGATATCGAGACATCGGCTTTGTAAACAGCTGGCAGTCGACCAGAACAACCTCGTGAATTGCAATTTAAATCAGTGAATATATTCCGCGAAAAAATTAGCATTTTTCGTGCTATATAATATTTCAATGTCGCTATGTAACTTCCAATAAAGGGCAGAACGAGAATGATTTCGGCAATATTATTAAAAAATTGCATCCTACGTGTAAAATGGAATTTTTAAAAATTATATTACTGTGTATATATATATAATAAACACGTAATAGCTCTTATATCTGGTAAAATAATTTAATAGTATTATACTTTTTTAACTTTATAACAATTTTGTTGACCAGCCGTCGCGTATTTTATGTGTAATTATATACATATTATATAATTAAATAGTATAATTAACGTAATATGTAAAAATTGTTTTTCAAGACTTCGTAATTACATTCTTCAGTTTCTGTGAATAAGGCGTCATGTGATAATAAAATCAAATATTACTCGACAACACATCTTCGCTAAAGAAAACGATATTTAATTTCAAAGTGAGTGAGTGAGAGAGAGAAAGAGAAAAAGAATGTCCTTGTACATATCCAATATCTCCACGAGATGAGGAAGACGATGTAGACCGGGTATAGGAAGTTGCGTTTTGAAAGATTTATCGTTTAACATTTACGACTTCGCAAACAAGAATCGTCTGACCAGTTGATTCTCTTACGTTTAATGTTTAATATATCGTGAAATTGTACAGTATAGAAACGAGTGTTTTCCGCAAAATAAAGGTGTGCCATAAATGGAACGTCAAATATTCCTTCGCGCACGTTGTAAAACCTCTCTATTCTGTTGAAGAACGTAATGTTGATTATTTTTTTCCGGATCAAGACGTACGCGAGATTCTTAGAACTATCATTCCTTGAAAGTTGCTCTCCTACTAATAAATATAAAAGTGAGAATCAGTCAATCGAAGTCGACAAAAGTCAAATCGTGTCGGATGATACAATGACGTAAAGTTTTCGCAGTGGAAATTCTAAATGGACCAAGTTCATCGTAATAAAGTTCAAAGAAAAACGTAGATACTTTATCATTCCTGAAAGTTGCTCTCGTACTAATAAATATAAAAGTGAGAATTCAGTCAATCAAAGTCGACAAAAGACAAATCGTGTCGGATGATACAATGACGTAAAGTTTTCGCAATGGAAATTCTAATGGACCAAGTTCATCGTAATAAGTTCGAAGAAAAACGTAGATACTTTAAGACTTTGCAAAATGCGGATTTTTTAGTCTTTTATTTGAATTCTTTATATATATACGTCACTTTGTAATTCGAGATGAAATAATAATTTATTGTCGTCATTAATCTTAATCAGACCACGTAATGTTCTACATACGTGAGAAATTAAGACATTTACTTTATCCGTGTCATAAGGTTTACGTAAATATAAATGAAACTGTCACGTCTTACTATAACATAAAATACAAACGATAGAAGAATCGATGATATAAAATGTAATATTTAATTATTTTTTGTTTTTTTTTTCTCTTTAATAACAATTTTCGCTTCTCAGAAATCGTTGATAAGGCATAATTTTTCATAGAAAATGGATCAATTCCAAATCGTGATCAAAAGCTTTTGAGATTGAAAAAGAAATAATATGCGATATGAGATCTAATGACGCGGAGAGACTCGCAGATCTCATATCAAAATCAATTAACATGAAATATAAAAATTTGTTCACTGAGACTTCTAATTTCCAAGGCAGACTTCCATTGAAACGGTATGGCAAAGAGTGGCTTTTTATGTGTTCTATCTGTGTCACGGCCACGGAGAAATTGCTTCATGGAATCAAGACTTGTTTTGAGTCTACTCAACTAACTTGCTTGCAGCATAAGATTATATATCGAGTGTAATAATAATAAATATAATCTCTACGAAGAAAGAGAAATTTGAAAAGATTTCTACAAAATTTCCTTTCGAAATATTTCGTAAACATTAGACGAGCATACAATATTTTCATAATTGTTAACTTTAACATTTAGTTTCTGAAATATTTAAGCTTGTATACAATTTTTTCTTTTATCATCGTCAAATTAAAATTAATACTAGTTTATTATTAGCTTATTATAAGCTTATTAACATTTTTATATACTTAATATAATATACTTAATATAAGATACATTAATATAATATACATAATATTTAATATAATATACATTAATATAATATACATTAATATAAGAAGCTATTTCTGATTAAATTACATTAAAAAAAAATATTATATGCATACCAAATGATATGTGAATAAAAAGGTATAATGCGCCTTTATATATATATATACATCGACTATAGCCTGGTAATTTTGTATACAGATGCACAAATAATTTTTTTGAATTGCTTAATTGTTTTTGCTAAAGAAAACAATATATAAATATATAATTTTTTAAGGTCAACAGTTATGTAAGATGCACAGTCCTAAATAACTTGTTGTGTAATCGATCAAGTATAACGTTATGACGCGAGTAAATTTTAAGATCGCGAAAGTGCACCGCTAGCAAATTTTTGTTATGTAACATCTATGGGATAATAAAACGCTAAGTTAACACGTAGCACATGACGAAATAACGAATTTCCAAACTACAGAAAGTAAAACGCATTAAAACTCGGGAAAACTCGGGAGAGTATAATTTCAAAAATTTGTTCATTTTTCGAAGTCTGTTTAATTCTTTGGCAATTTCTTTTACACACAGATTAATATCGTTACAAATGCAAGAAACACAATTGACAAATAAATTTAAAATTCTTGAACGATGACAAAAGCACTGAAGCTGTACTTACATTTTAATAGATGCAGTTCTGAACACATGATTCCCGCAACAGCGAAAAAAACTGACTTACACGTCAAAAATTGAAAGAAGAAAAATACTTTGCAAACAATTCACGTTAAAACGTGCGTCTACAAAGACACGAAAATGTGAATGGCATTCAGCCGTTTACCAGTTTTATACGTGCACTGACACTCGCGTTTAAAAGTTAGAAAGTTGACGTGATATCATAAGTGCTTTTAATGTTCAGATTCAAGGTTCTTTTAAATTTCATTTTATAAATCAAATGTATCGATTTTAATAATCGAGATATATCGATTCGAGACATATACATACGATTCGCTCTATTTGGAGATACATTAGCTGCAGCGCTTCATTAAATTCATTAGCTCATAAAACGTGTATCTAATATAAAAAAGATTCAAGCGCCTTTTGACAATTGTGACAATTCTTTCTTTAAAAAACATTTATAAAAACGGTTGGTATTTTCGGGCGAGGAAAAGTTTCGATAGTTATTATGTGTGTGATCACAGATGCACTTTCGCTTAAGAAAATTATGTACTTCGTACTCACTTTCTGACATGATGCGCCTGGCGTATCGATACGATTCTATCAGCTGCTAACGCGTAAAACTACCAGAGGATGATGCAGAAAATCAAACGGCCTGTTCGGCACCGAAAAACAACCGAAAATAAGACCGGTTCGCGCTCGACCGCTCTTATACGTCGTGATGTTCAGGGTCAAGAAAGTAATAGTGAGGCAGTCGTCGTGTTGATTGCCGATTTTTTTCAACATACAGGCGCGTTACAACTTACATCGTCGCATGCGATTAATATACGTGATATATATATGTGTGTGACGTAATTTTATTGTTTCATATATTATGTGATGATAAACAGTACGGTGTCATAGAATTCTACACGGTTTGAATGTGGCGACAAATGTGGCCGATTAATCGACACATTGCTGAAACGATGAGTGTCGGATATGAATTCGTACGTATCATACATAAATATTCAATTTGTAATCACGTCAGCGCGATGTCGAGAAATGACATAAAGATGAGGTATGCAAAATGCTCGTTTCGTATGCTGTTTTTTTCACAGATAACGAAAATGTCGAAAATAAAATATACTTCAATGACATTTTCTTGAAGATTCACACTTTTTTTCGATGTAATATTTTTAGAAAATTCTTACAATCAATATTGCACTGTTAATGTTCAGACTGTATGTATACCCTATATACAGGGTGTCCGGTAACTAACGGACCAATGATTAAGGACGGATTCTCTGGCCAATTTGGAGACGATTTTTTCTTAGCAAAAATGTTGAGAAGTCAATAATTTTCGAGTTATAAGCGATTGAAAAAAATGGGTTTTTTGAAAACTAAACGTTTTGGAGTTAAAAGTCTAACATAATTACATTCTTCAGTTGATTTCAGGTAGAGTTTACTATAATAAAATTTTTATCTGAGGCTTAGTTATAAAGATACATAATGACAAATATTGGAAAGTTATAAAAAATGATGACCTTTTTCGACATTTTGATGAGGAAAAATTGTTCCCAATTGACCAAAGAATCCATTTGTAATCGTTGGTCCGTTAGTTACCGGACCCCTGTATACACTTATCGATCGTCATTTATAATAAATACTAGAAGAAAAGTAATATATTATGCGAATATAAAGTTGACCAAATTTTTTATTTATTGCAATATTAATTATTTAAAAAAGAATGGATGGACTTTGATCAGATAATAACGTAGAATTGTTATAAAAACGCTCTATGCGAAACGTTTTCATAACAGTAATGATTCTGTGTTGTTGCTGATAATATATAGGCATGTGTGTATGTTATACAGGGTGCCAAAAATTTTTTTGTTTAATTTTGCCTGCATTTCAATTAAAAAGATATTTTCTAATTTTATCTATTTTTTAACATAAATAATCATCTTTTAGTTTGAACAAAGAGCAAAAAAATGTTTTTTAAAAATATAAATATAATAAAATTTTTTTACAAATTAAAAGTTTATTTAATAATTATAATTATTAAATAAAACTTTTAATTTATAGTTTTTAAAAACGGTTTTTGCTCTTTTCCCAAACTGAAAGAGATGAAAAATAATCGTTCAAAATAATAATTATATTACTTATGTTGAAAAAAGGAGAAAAGGGAAAATATGCAAAAACTGCCCTTTGTAATTTTTTAATGATTTTTATTAATTGTTCCACTGCGTCTTTAGTTCACTTTGGCAGTTATCAACACGATCTATAATAACTATTGAGACCGAATTTTGAATTGCTTTAATTGATTTTGATAAAGATGAGTTGAATTATTGAGAAAAAACCGCGTGTTATTCAAATGAGGAATTCAAGGCGAATGTGGAACCATTAAATAAAATCAATTAGAGTTGGCACGTTAGGGTAATTATTATCTCCTGACTAGCTAACTTTTTAGTTAGAATGCGGGCAAAAATAAACAAAAAATTGTTTTTACACACCCTAGTGTATATATATATATATATATATATATATATATTCTTGGCATTTTATAATCATAAAATTTAAATGTTGATATAAAACTGGTGATAAATGCACGCAAATATAAGAGACAAATACAAATTTAAAAATTTTTAAAAATTCTCTATTTTTTTATGCAAATTATGATTGTGACATGACAATAAATTTCGTACCTGTTGTAACTGCTATTTTTTCTATTATCATCTTGATGTTGTTTGAGTCCATTCAATCGGTTCCGTCGAATTCGATTAGTATTGTCCAACTGATGAACGATGCGATCAAATTAATTGACTGTCTGGCAGTTGCTGGCGAGTAGATGGCGTCTACTTTGTAAAGTGAATTCGATGCAAATGCCGACTACCGACACATCCCTTCCTATATAAACGGATATGAAATTCGCGTCATTCTGATCTTTAACCTTCCGCCACTTCTTATACAATATTTTCCTACTCGCGAATCACAATGCTCTGAATCTAGATGACTCAAATATGACATAATCAATGATCCAGACAGAGGAAATATTACATTAAAGATTATTAAAACAATATATTATTTTATTTTTTTTCGTTACACTAATCTCTCTCATAAAAAATTCTATTTTTTGTCTTCTCGTGTTCGTATATATTTTGTATTGTATAATTATTATTTATCAGTTATTTTGAATTGCTTGATTGGCTAAAGCAGTCGCGTTTTATAAATTATTTTTTAAAATCAGAAAATTATTATAATTAAATAATTTCCTTTGAATTTATATTTTTCTTAAGAGACATTTTAAATTGATTTAAAAATCTACCGTTGAAAAATAATTTGCATAAAGAAGAACGCAAACGTAAAACTTTTTAATATATATATATATACAAATATATAAGTACATGTATATACAAGAGAGTTATAAAATTAGCAATAATTAATTGCAAAAGAAAGCCGAGTAAGGCAACTCAGATGCGCTTGTGCATTTCTTGGTCCTATTAATTTTTTTAGTGCGTAAACAAAATTTTTATATTATCTGACAATAAATCAGATGTGATATATTTATCTATTGACTATGTCCAATAAGATAATCGTATTTTTCGTACAATAATAAATCAACAGATTCATTATCGAATATTATAATACTTTGATTATATATATTTACAAACAAGATAAATTTTAATTTATAAATTCTATACTACTTTAATCAAATGTATCAATTTAATGAGTACTACATGAGTTTTTTCTCTCAAACTTGTAAACATTATTTTTTCAATCTTATATTTTACTCATATTATATTACATATTACAAGTTTATTTTTATGGTAATTTTTGATGTAATACACTCTAATATAATTGATGCCAATAAAAACTTCTTACGCAACTCTGTCCACAGGATGCAGTAAAAAACGATTATAATTAACAACTATGTACTATTTAAAGTTATATTTATTCATTTATGTAATATTTATTTATGGGAAAAATTGCTTATAATTTTTACCAAGACTTTTCCAACGTTATTAGATTATATTGATTACATAATATAAGGTGAGTCATCTAACTTGACAAGCTTATAATAAATCATATAACACTTGCTATGTAAACATTGTTCAAACAAAAGTTATTTCAAGGATCACATAGTGTATCAAGGATAACATATTATACAATAGTCATTTTTTTGTTATGTAGATGCTAGTTGCAAATTACGTACTTTATTAAAAATAATATTAATTGATTCCTGTTAACTATTTTGTATATAAAAGTATAGGTAAGATCATTGAACAATAAATATTTTACGAGATAGATATTTTATAGTTTATGGAAAATAATATTATGTCAAATTAAAGTATATCTCGTAAACTATTTAGTTATTGGACATCCTACTTGTATAGCTTTTTAAGCCGAATATTCTGAAGAATCAATCTACATAAAAAAATAGAATGGTTTCATTAAAAAATTTCAAGATAACCTTTATATTTCTCGATAAAAGAAGCTAACAAAATGATTACTGTATATATTTGCCATTTTTGATATCACGCAACTTTTATTTGAGAACAATTTTTTTACATAGCAAATATTGTACATTGAGAAAAAAATAATGTTAATATGACTAAACGCGTTTAGTCAATAAAATTTTTTAAATTGAAATATTTAAATGTTTAAATCAAATACACTGCAGTATTGTTAACTAAGGCGCTTAATTTGGAACATAATATTTTTTCATATTGACAAATATTTGTTTGATAGCCCGCGACCGCCGCATTTAGTTAGATTTAAAAAAATTTTTTTTGATTGAATATTATTTTGTTCTCAGTGTACTATTTATATTTAAAGTTGTCGAGTTAGATGACTCATCCTATACATATATGCGCAATAGGATTTTTATTTATTTATACATTTCATCTATTTATACATACAACTAATGAATTTCATTTCATAACATTTTTTAATCCTATTTTAAAAGTTATACATTTAATGAAATGCATTTTCTTCTTCATTTTATCTGTTTTAAAATAATATATGCGGAAGAAATAATTGGTGTTTGTGACATATACACAAATAATTAAAACAATTTTTATGAAGGATAACAGCACGTGTTACTGAAGGACGTCCGGTTAATATTACAAGAACGCACTATTGAACGCCTGATGAATCGTGAAGGAGATCGACAAGTTGTCTACAACTGAACTAAATTCCGATTTTTTTCTATCAATTCTATACGAACACCGGAATTAAAGAATTATTACAACAGCGTTAAAAAAACACGATTTTAAAATATAGAAAGAATTTGCTTCACAAAGTATAATATAAATATGATAATGTAATTAATATAATTATATGTAAATCAAGTCTTTTTCTTGGCGCTAAGCTGAAATGAATAAATATCTAAAATCTATTAATATAATTATATTTTTTTAAAATTATTAATAAAGGCTCGTATAATTTAACAAAATTAAACAATCATATATATATAGGAGGCCAACTGAACGAGCAAATAAATAAGGTGTAAAAATTTTTATTAATAGTTAAATAATTAAATTACATTCCGTTACAGAATCGATATAAATTGTAAACGTTCGACTGCACTACAGTCTTTATCAATACATAAAAGTTAAATATTAAAATACAAAGTTAAATGTTAAAAATACAAAGTTAGTTAAATATTAAAATATAAATTGAAACGATTCTTCGCTGTTGACCAATAGATATGCAAGGCGATGGTCTGAGAATAACTTGGCATCTCAGACCAATCGCCTTGCATATCTATTGGTCAACAGCGAATCGTTTCAATTTATATTTTTAATATTTAACTAACTTTGTATTTTTAACATTTAACTTTGTATTTTAATATTTACTTTTATGTATTGATAAAGACTGTAGTGCAGTCGAAACGTTACAATTTTATCGATTCTGTAACGGAATGTTAATTTAATTATTTAACTATTAATAAAAATTTTTACACCTTATTTATTTGCTCGTTCAGTTGGCCTACTATATATGATTGTTTATTTTATTATATTTTTTATTAATTGTAGTGTTAGCTGCTTACTATCGCATTTGCCTAGATTTTTATAATTGCTTAAATGACGTAACCTTTGCATTTATTTGGCACGCGTACATACATG